GCCATTTTCAGGAAAAGAGGATTATTATTCATTAAATGTGCTAGTTGCTTTATCTTGCCCAAGGCAACCCCCCCCTGCACTTAAAGCATCCCACCCAGGATTAAATTACAGATCTATTTTCAGTTATGAGTAGATTAATAATATTTGCAACACATGGTGTCTTTTTCTTCAGATAGAAGCAAGAGCTAGGCTTTTTCCAGCCATTCCATGGCAAGGGTTTTTAGATAGAACAGGCAAACTTTCCTGGAGCTGTCTCATCTGAGTGCCTTGGATAAGGGGGTAGCTAGGGATGGGGGATAAATTCAGTTCACTTTTCATTTTAATATAAAACTGCCCAATTCACACTTTCCAAAACAATGCTTGAACCAAAACAGACATTCTTCCAGATTCTCATTTCTCTGAATTTTGTTATCAGTTCTCCAACTATTTAATGTGCACACAAGTGTGTGTATTAGGATGCGTGCACAGAAATTACTTTATTATTGAAAATATAAATATGCATTGTATTAGAGGAAATTTCTTATTAAAAATTGTGTATGTTGGGGAAATGTTCACTGAGGACTTAAAAAGAAAAACCCTCGCACTTGTGTAGAAAGGTGAGGAACTGAACTTCTTCTTGGACAAAAGAGAAAATAAGAGAAACTGAAATTGATGGATTTGGTCAACCCTAGGGTAATCAACATGGCACCTTCCATATATTGGACTCCCAACTCGCATTAGTTCCTGCTAGTATGGCCACTGATCATGGATAATGAGAAATGTGGTCCAATCTGGGGGGCACCATGCTGTCTACTCCTGCCTTAGCATCGCCTCATATTTACCGACACAACTGTTCTTGCCTAACCCACTTTGTTCTTCATCACCTTTTTATCTCCTTTGCTCAAGATGTTGCCAATCTCCCCTTACCAGTAATGATTAATGACTATATGTGATCTGTGAGTTACGTAGTATACTTGTAATACGTGAGAATTATAATAAATGCCCTTGGAAGCAAAATGCATAAATGCCTTGGGAAGCATCTTTGTTAAAAGCAGAAACCTTTCTATATAATAGAACAAGAACTAGGATGGTCTGAAAGACAAATGAGTCCACCAGTTTTAGCTAAGCAGGTCTGGTTCTGGCCACTGCATGGATGGTAAACTAATGTATTCCATCTTGGATTCTGTGATGGAAGATGGGACAGAAATGAAATGGAAATAATTCTTATATAACTTAACACTGCTGAACTCTCCAATGCAGCACACTTTTTGGTAATTCCCTCCAAGTTTTGCCAACTTTACACTGGTTCAGATAAACTAGTCTGGCTCTGCCACCAGCCAATCAGGGATGCCTTTTAAAACTGTAAGTCACTGGGCTTCACCTCATCCACCCTGCCCTTTTATAAATATTTTGGTTCATACAGACCTCAAGCAAGAGTAAATGTGAATAATGGTCAGTCTCTTAAGGCCTTCACCTGTCTCTCCAGGAGGAGCTAGCCAGTAAGTACTCAAAAAGTAACAGGCTGAGTTGCCTGTTTATCAGATAAAGGCAGGTGAACCTAGGAAATAAGACTGAAAATGGGAGTGAGCAGGAGACTGAGAGTTGAGAGATAAGCCCATGAGCTGCAAAAGCGGGGAAAGTTTTTATATTGGCCTGAAATGATTGGAAGCCTCTAGCAAAATGAGAAACAGATACGTAGGCTGTTGCAGTTGTATAATGTCTTGATGAGTAACAATGTTGACACAGAGGATTAAGGCATAATATGCTGGTGTGGGTCTACATGCAACGCTGTTGGCAGGTTTGTCACAGAAACAGCAAAATTGGATTGATGAGTAGAGATGTGTGAGCACCTCTTGTGTGTATTGGATTGTCTTAGAATTAGCAAAATATATATGCATGAAGATTTCAGAAGATCTTTTCTACATACAACTCAAAGTGCATGCATTTTTTTCATGTTAATTTATTTGGTTTGAGTCATGGACATGGACTTCATGCCAGCATTACTTTCTTGATTTGAGATTAAACCATATGGAATCTCTGGGAATCAAGGGTAACAGGGCTGTTTTGCTAATTAATTAAAAAAAATCAAATAAAAGTTCCCCCTTTAGTTGTTTTCTCTTTCTTTCTTTCTTTTTTGGTTGCGGGGAATTAGACCATTCGAACATGCAACTCTCAGTGGAAAAAATAACTAAAAATGGGATTGGGCTACTGACTTATAAATCATTTCCTTTCTGATTGACCAGAATGCTTCCCCTGACTATTCTCCATGCTATTCTCCATTTCATCAATTAATATAGCACATCAAGTGTTCCCAAAGATGCAGAAACTCATGTCAAATCAGATTGCCTACCAACATAGAAGTTTTGGAGGAAATGGCCAAATGCTATAGATAGTTCAGATGGATGTAGATTGGTTTTTGAATGCCTAGGAGCCTGTGACTGACCTATTCATGGATGGTTTATGAATATTTTAAAGGGGATAACTTGCATGGGATTGAAAATTTGGAATTTGACTGCATTCTGATTGTCCAAATCACATTTACATTGAAAAGCGAGGAAACCATCATGCTCTGGCAAGGCACAGTATTATCTTAAATAGCACCCAATCATATTCTTCCTCAAATCATTTGCAGAATTCCATTTGAGAGGAGAATCAGGCCTCCATATCCCTTTAGAGCCAAAGACACTTTTCAGATAAAACCATTCACACCCCTTCTAACTTTGATGCCATGGTTGATCTGATCCACTTTTTGTAGCTTTGGAACTTGCTTGTCCAGTTGTTAGGGATACTTTTTAGCTTGTAAAGAGTGAGCATGTGGACAGGACTCATGAAGTGAAATTTACCACGTGTATGATTAATCCTCGTCCTGGCTCATAAAAGCTGCCAGAAGGACACGGGGTGACTGGGTGATGTAGGGAGGCTCCTCAATACCTTCCTGCATGAGGAAGTTGCTTCAGAAAGCATTAGAGGTAGCGGTAATGTGTTTGGGTTTTTTTAATTACCGAACCCCCATGTATTTGGGATAATTTCTGACCGGTCTCCATTGCTCTGTTCTTGGACAAAGGTGCTTAAGCATGTGGAAGTATCTTAATGCCATGTTTTCCTGGATGGTTTTGAATCATCTAGAGCCTTTTCCATTTGGTCGCAGGCCTAGATAGAGGCTGAAGACTGGTTTAGTTGCCTTCATAGTTTATACAGTTGAGACAATGGTAGCCTGCCTCTGTTGGTTCTGTTAGCATGCTCAGCAGCTTTCGATACCATCCACCATAGTATCATGGATCACCTGAGTGGCACCATTCTGAGATGTCAATTCCTTGCTAGAGGGGTGGTTTCAGAAGGTGGTGCTGGAAAACTCCTTGGCCCACTTGCTTATAGGGTTAATATTATTATTAATTATTCATTAAATTTCTATACTACACATCATCTGAGGATCACAGGGTGGTTTACAATTAAAAAACACAAAAATACATAGCTTACTAACAAACAAAACAATACCCCCCCCATTCTGCCCCCCTCCCATGCCACTTAACATCTACGTGAAGCCACTGGTAGCTTGGAGTTTGGTGTCATCAGTATGTAGATGACACCTAACACACACACTCATTTCCATCACAATCAAAGGAAGTTGAATCCATGTTTGATGATGATCATGGACTGGATGCAGGTGAACAAACAGACGCCTGCAAGAAAATGGAGGCAGATCAAGGAACTGGGGTTCAGCTTGTTTTGTATAAGGTTTCACTCCCTGTAATTCCTCCTATATTTTTATAAACCCCAATTAACATACTGTATAGCCAATAGCCAAACATTTCCTACATTCATTATTGGATTGAGGATGGAAAGCACCCAGCAATCCTGAAGTGGTAAAAGACCAACTGCTTTGACTCCCCCCCCCCTATAGATTACATGGTTCTGTTTGCCTAAAGCTGACTTGTCTGCTGTTGCCATGTTTGCAATCAAAAATATATGTTCCTGAAAAGAATAACGGCATGACCTGACGGAAATAGGTTTGGAGCAGAAATTACCAACAGCTCACCTTGAGCCGCTAACTTGAAGTACTTCTCAAATCCAAACTGAGAAGGAGCTGCTTGTTTTGTCAAAATGACTACTGTGTTCAGGTTGTTAAGTAATTTTTAGCTGCAATTTGTTTTTGTCAATAACTTACTGTTTTACAGAAGAAATAGTATTGAATTAATGTCCCACACTTCTTTAGTCTGTTTGTCCTCCTCCTCTTACTGCAGTGCTTTGCCAATGCCGTTGGGAGATTTACTTCCCAAAGGTCGAGAGGGAGGAGAAAGTGACCCACTATTGTTTACTTGAAGGAGAGCAAGTGCTCCCTCCTCTTAAGAACTGCAAAGGTGGATAGCACTTCATTCTGCCTGAAGGAGGCATTGCTGCTGTTGTGATAGCAGCACATTACTCCAAAACCCAGCAATTGTTGAGCCTAGCAATCAGCATGTACAGGCTTGATGCTGTGCCAAGATTAAAATGCATCTTGTACTATTTAAATATGGCTCTAGACAGTTGGCAAGTCCAATAAAGCAGAAGCACAACAACCAACTTGTGTATTTGGCAACCCAGTAAGCTCATGCTTGTTTGAGACATTTATGCTTATGATTATATTCATTCTTTTAAAACATGTACCAAACTTCTTGTTTCAGTCCTATCCTTTCATTTTAAAGTTAAGTGTCTGTAACCCAAATAGACTGAAAACTTAGCATAACCAATGAAGCTTTGCAGTTGTTCTATCAGTAACCTTGATATCAGGCCAGAATGTCCTTAGCAACTGCTTAGCGACCACATAGCAGCAAGAATACATTTGTGTGTATGTGTGTATTTTTTTCCCTTCCAAAGGCTGAGAGCAAAGAAGTAGTTGGGGGCTGTGGCTATGAGGTGTGAAGATCAAGCTGTAACTGGGATGCAAAGCAATTTGCTACTTGGAGAGATTGTGGGCCTATATAGTGGATGTTCCCATGCATATGAAGAGGATAATAACCAAGATATTTTTCAGCACCTAGAACATGGATTTTGGCACTGCTTTGCAACTTTATGGTATTCTGGATCCTGTGGGAAAGGACTTTGTTTTCCATCCCATGTGTCTAAAAATGCAGTTCTTTCTCTGTGCTAGTTTGGAGAAGGCTATAGAAAGAACTCAAAGGGACAATGTGTTGGCAGGCACCTCCTTCTTTCAAGCCTCACCTTTCCCTTTTTTCTGCTTGCTATAAGGATTCCCTAGACAGGATCTTTGATGGGAATAGTAGTAGACTTCACCCTTCTGTCCCCTTGCATCAGGCATTGTTCATTTGACCCTAATGAATGACATGCCAAGGAGGCCCAGACAATATTGGTAATTATAAATAATTATTCTAAGTAAAAATTGTAACCTTCCAGAATAGAAACAGAATGGGGAATCTAGATTTCAAACAAATGACAAATGGAACAGATGGATTGGGTTATCCCTCCATGCTGCTCCGTAGGCTCCAGTATCAATCCCTCCATTTGTCCATGAAAGGGGCACAGAATAACTGCATCAGCAAAGTTTGAAGTCGGCTTTCAGCAAACATGCAGTTTAGTCAATTAAAAGTTCATGAAATATTGTTAATTAAAATGTGCAGAGAATGTGAGAAATCATTTAGTGAGGTATGTTCAATGTATAACAAAGATTAATGGGAACAATATGGAAAGATAAATGTTTGGCTGAACTTCAAGAAAATCTTCTTGACAGTGATGTATATTGCTCCAAAGAACTTTTCCCAAGGGAAGTGATACAAACCCATTATCAGGGACATGTCATGCCAGAGAAGATAAGAGCTGCAAAGGTGACAAAAGTTCACTGCTTGAGGAATCACATGTGGTCTGAAGAAGGAAAAGGTATTATTGCATATCTTGCTGGTTGTGTGGCTATCATTCATTGGTTAAATCTTGATGACTTACTTGTGTGAAAAGGCCACTGCAGATTAAAGAGCATAGATGGTGCTTTAAATATTGCCTACATGAAATCACTAGGGGGCAGAGAGGAGTGTAGCTCAGAGATAGATCATTCTGTTTTCCTGTATCAGACCCAAGGTTCAATCTCTGGTGTCTCCAATAATTATTATTTTTAAATCACAGGCAATACAGTTGGGAAAGATCTGAAACCAAGATCTGGAGAGCCACTAATAAGTACAATAAATATTATTGCGGCTAGATATGCCAACAGTCTACCTCAGTATCAAGGTATTATTTTGTACGTGCAAATACATCTCTTCTAAATGAGCACAGATGTAATTTTCAGCTGTGATTTACACATGTATGTGTGAACAAAACCTCCATAAAACAATCCAGCTTCTCTCAAACTCAAATCCCTCATGGGTTTCTTCTCAAGTTAACTCAAAAACAAAACAAAACTGCACCTGCTCAGGTTTGATTTCCAGCTGATTTGGGGAAGCGTTGTATTCTGTATTGCACGGCTGATTAGAACGAGCAGACCTCTGTACATTGGCTTAATCATTCCAAGTAGGCAGAACTGAGAAATACACTGCACTGTATGTATTCATTTAATTTTACCTTAACATTAATGAAATGCCATTCCTTATTGTAAAGCACCAGTCAGTATTTTTTAACAGGGAAAATGTAACAAATGACAAATCTACACCATTAAAAGCAAGCAACAGAAGTCTCATAAAGTGATTGCAAAGTTGAGATAAAAATGTTTTAAATCATTCATGGCATAGTAAGAGCTGAAATTTTAAATGGAGGAAGGGGGGGTCCCAACAACTACAGCATGTTAATTAGCCAGCTCTAAACAAGCAAGGTTGTAGTCCATGCATCTCCAAACTTGGCCCTCCAGCTCTTTTGGGACTACAACTCCCATCATCCCTGACACTGGTCCTGTTAGCTAGGGATGATGGGAGTTGTAGTCCCAAAACAGCTGGAGGGCCAAGTTTGGGAATGCCTGGTGTAATCAAACAAAAGATTCACCACTGCTGAAGCTGCTATGGTGAAAATGTCTAGTGGTGATTTGTTCATATCTGATCGTATGAGAATGATCAATGAGGTATGTGGGAGTACTTCCATACACAGTTGGCTGTGGACTCGACAATTTTTTCCATAGTGTCCATACAATATTGTCACTATTAAAGTGCTGTCCCTTCTTCCTGCTCTTCCTGCTCACATCTGGATTTAGCATTTTTGTAGGGCTTGTTTAATTATTGCATTTTCCAATTCCAAACTGAATGGGGAAAATTCAGTTTACATGGGAAAATAATAAGAGATAGCATTTTGGTGAGGATGCCGTGTGGGTATTTCACAAAATCTGCATGTACAAGCAACACACAGTCACCAATAAACTGCTGCATGGAATAGCCCTGATTGAACCCATACAGCATCCTTCAGAAATGTGTGCATAAATGTAAACCAAATGTGAAACAAAGGCCTTTCATGGTTTTGTTTGAGGGAGGCTTTTGAAGAATTTCACAACTTCAAGTTTAAAATACTCTTAAGTACAGGGATAAAACTTGACTTTATCTGGTCGCCCTCTTAAAATCTGTGGATTGAATTACTTCCTGCACTTGCCGGTGCCTGCATTATGAAAGGATATACACAGATGGGTAGGGACATGTGAATATCTGAGGTTAGAAATTATATAAACAATAAAATTAAATGTTGAAATGTGTGAGCAGGTGAAGGTTTGTTTGCAAGAGAACCATGAGAGAAGAACGGAACAATGTGTACACAGAAGCTATTGCTATACCGTTGATGACAAAGGAAGGAATGAAAGATGAGAAAGTTGCTGTGCCTTGTGATTAAACCAGTAGAAACTAGTAGAAGGAAGTGTTGCCATACACGGACATAACTGCTCCTTTGCTTGTAAATGTATAGATGTGTGTGCTTTTTTCATATTTGGTGTGCTACCCACTCAACAACTTGCTGGTTGAGGTTGTGTTGCACTGACCTTGGCTAAAAGACTAAGCAATCTCTAGCCTTTTAAACTAGGGGAGGGGTTATTGCTTTGTTGTGTATTTTTGTGGTTTTTTAAATAGTGAACCGCCCTGTGTTCCTCAGATGAATAGTAGTGTAGAAATTTAATTATTATTAATAATACATGAATGCATCATACCCTCAGGCTTCCCCTTCACTCATTACCTATATAGGATGGGGGGGGGGAGAGAGAAACAGCAGAAGAACCACCTACAGTACCCTCTCTTAACATGAGGAAAGAGGAGGTGGCTGCTGACTGGAGGTTTTTCAGCAGAAGTTGGATGGCCACCTGTCATGGATGATTTGAGAGTCCTGTATTGCAGGGGGTTGGACTAGATGACTCTCGAGGTACATTACAATTCTATGAGTCTATGATGCTAAGAAAAACAGAGGCATATGTAAGGAAGCCCCACAAGCCTCCCATTCTCGCGCACCCTTTTCATGAAGAAACAAATTCTCCTTCCCTCCCACCATTTCCAAAACCCCAATTTCCACCCACCCTTCACGACTCACTGTACAAATTAAAACTTTAAAAAAGTAAACACAGCTGATGAGTCGCTTCTTCCTCTGAAAACTACCATTTAAAATTTCTGATGTCCAGACCCCGCAATCACAATTCGGGCAGGGGGGGAAAAACCGTAGGAAAGGCACTGTAGTTGGCTGGCTGGCACGTTCTCGAAGAAGTCAGTCAATCTCCCGCGCGCCAGACAACCCAATACATCTCGGTGTAAATGCAGAAACCTTCCCTCCACTACCAGCTACGGCCACCCACCTGAGCCTCAATCAAAGGCTCCTCCCTGGGGGAAGGTCTGGCTCTCAGAACGTGCTTGCAGCCGAGGGAATGAATTGCGCAGCCTCCGGGCAGAAACAGCCCATTGAAAGGTTCTGATTGGCTAACAAGGTTGCCACGTGATCCACCCTAGTTCCCTTTGTGCTGTATGGTATTCCTGTGACCTGATTGGCTAGACCGCTAAGCAAGAAGAAAAGGACGCCATTTTGTCTGCTCACAGTGTTCTCAGGAATTCTGCCTTCTTTTGAACTAAAACGGTCAGAACTGAAGAACTGCTCCTGTCCGTTGCAGTGTTTTCTGACTACCTACAGAACAGGAGAGCAGCAGTGAGTTGCAGAAGTCTCTGTAAGTGATCGTGAAGGATATATGGTTGGGCCTGAGTGTGTTTGGCTTTGGGATTTAGGAGTTTTTTTAAAAAAACGTTTTCTCCTTACAAGTTCCTCGGGGCTCTGCCAGTCTGTTCAATAGACACACCTCTAGTACACTTGATTACTCGCTTTCCCCTGCCTTCATCTGACTAAGAACATATAGAAATGTGGGGGAGGGGGACGAAGCTTAAAGGATATTTCAAATCCAGCCCTACTGATGATCCCCCCCAAATGTTTTTAAACTGAACTGTAGCCAATTCAGCTCCCCCTTTCCAATTATTCTGTTATTCGCTAGATACAAGCTGAGAAAGTTCATACATCTAACTTCATACATCAGGCAGAAAAACAGATTCCTAGTTTGGAAGGATCCATTTTTGGGGGGCATTCAGAAAAGGTCTGTTCAGCCAGCAATTTTGAAAGGGAGGTTAGTGCCTAAACAACCCAGAAATATCTGGGAAATGGCTTATAGGAAAGAAGATGAACATTTTGTTTCCAGCGTTATTAAAATTGCTGGAAGATGTCCATCCAAAATGAAGTGTGCTTGAAATCCAGCCTGTGTCTCTAGGTCCTTCTACCCACCCTTTTAAGTTAGCCATCCCTACACCTCTTCGTTCACCTCTTCCTGCTTCTGGCATACCTTTTGTAGCCTGTTATCTCATTTTCCTCATTAGCTTTTTTGGCTCAGGTTATGGTGAGGCACTCTATCCTCTTGTGATAACAGTGGTTGTACATATTACTGGCAAGAAATGTAGTGTTAGGTTCCAGGTTAATTGGTGCCTGGGATTACCAAACCATGGGAGCAACAAAAGCCCGAGGCATTAAAACGAAGATCTATGTACTCCTTCAAAACAGGCTGTAGGAGAAGACCTCCTAAGGGATTGTGGATAGTAGCAAATATAATAATGACATATGCTTGGTCATGGGTAGGGACAATATCTCAATTATGTAAGCGTGGCGAATGTTCTTTTCTAATGGGAATGGGAAAATGATGATAGGCATTGTGGAGGCTTTTTGAATGTGAAAGTGTTTCCCCTCTGACTGGTAAACAGAATTCTTCTGTTATAATGTAAATCATTTAAAGATGGCTTATGCAAGAGACTTAAATCTGAAATAGCTTCTGATAACTGCACTCTGTTAGCTCAGGAGGCATTGTTGGACAATTGCTAAACTGCCCTACTTGGAAGAAGGGATAGGGGGCAAATTTGAGTCAGTTCACATTTAAAAGCAAGCACTTCTCTGAAATTCTCAATGCTGTTCTCTAGCCAAGTAATGTGTACAGAAATGCAAATACTAGGGCATGGTTTGCATAAAATGCATATATAAGTGAAAATAACATACAAAATGTATATTAGGGAAAATCAGATTGCAAAAAGTGTATATTAGGGAAAATTGCATAGAAAAGTGTATGTTAGGAGAACTTCACACTAAAATGCTGATAAAAGTTCATGAAGACTTTTTTATATTAAAAAGAAATCACAAACTGATGTGGAAATTGGAATAACTGATTTTAAAATGGAAAAATGACAAACTCTGAAAATACAAAGTTGATTGATTCATCTATACCTCTTTAGAAGCAACTTGCTGTTCCCCTTGTTAGACAAGCTCCTTAACACTTTTTATTTATGGCAGGGGTTGTCAACCTGGTCCCTCCCGCCCACTATTGGGCGCTTCAGGATTCTAGGTGGGCTGTAGGGGGTTCTGTGGCACAAGCTGAATCCTCCTTCCATCGAGCACTGGTGGGCGGTAAGGAAATTTTACCATCAAGAAAGATGCATTAGTGGGCGGCAGGTATAAAAATGTTGCCTACCCCTGATCTATGGAAATGTGCAATGTAACTTGAATGCTGTTATGTTGGGTCAAGTGGAAGGAATACCATATCTAGGTTTTTGTATAAGCAAGTATCTAGCAGATGTTTGTATGATGACTATTAGGTACTAGTCACATCCTGTATGCTCCGTTGGAAGATGGTGGAGAGAAATGGTTTTGGAAATTTGAATGAAGCCAATTTAAGGCAGAAGTCTTAGTTTTGCATATGGTTGGCAAGAAGCAGTCTTTGTAGGTGTGTGTATTGGCTGCTCTTGGTTTTGGGAGAACTAGTGCTGTCTTGTCAAAATGCTTGCCTGCTTCCTTCTGCTCAACTTGTATATTTTTTTAAAAAATAACATTATAATGCTCTAGTAAAAGGACCCCTGGATGGTTAAGTTCAGTCAAAGGTGACTATGGGATATGGCACTCATCTTGCTTTTCAGGCCAAGGGAACCAGCGTTTGTCCACAGATAGCTTTCTGGGTCATGTGGCCAGCACGATTAAATTGCTTCTGTCACAAAGGAACACTGTGACAGAAGCCACAGCGCATGAAAATGCCATTTACCTTCCCACTGCAGTGGTACCTATTTATCTACTCGCACTGGTGTTTTTTTTGAACTGCTAGGTTGGTAGAAGCTGGGACAGAGCAACGGGAGCTCACCACTGTCGTGTGGATTTGAACCGCTGACTTTTCAATTGGCAAGCACAAGAAGCTCAGTGGTTTAGACCACAGCGCCACCTGCGTCCCTCAATATTCAGTACTCTAGTACACTTTCCTTAAAAGATAACTGACCCTATAAAAGCTATCTTGAAATTTCCTAGTTCTTGCAGGAAGTGCTGGAATAGTAATAACATTTTTCAAGTCAGGCATTATTTCATGGGACAATCAGGTTCCTGGGAAAATAATTTTTGAGAATTACTGAATGCAATCGTCTCAGGGACAGGATCTCTGAAAAGAGAACTCAGCATGGAGTCCAATTGTAGAAATTTTGGCAGGAATGATATGCACTAAGGGAGGAGAGAATGCACAGTCCAAATGAATTAAGGCCTTTTTCTTGTGGTTGTCAGCTGGTTAGCAGATGGAACCATTTCCCCCACCTCCCCAAAGTTAGTCATATTTTTAAAAAGAGGTGCTTCAATAAAAATAAATTGCTCTATCAATCACTGTGTTTTTCCATGAGCCTTCATCAGATCCGCCCACAATTTGCATCAACTGCTGTTAATCTTATTTATTTAACGTTTTAAAAACAAACCTTACTGCATGAAAAGAAGACCCAATTGCCCACTCTCCTTTTAATTTAAAGACCAACTTGAAGTTGTGCACTTCAGTTATGCAAAGCGTTTGTCCACAAATTACTGTGATAAAAATGTAAACTGACAAACTATGGCACAAAAGCAGCTGTCCAGAAGCTCAAAATAGGCCATCAGTTTTTTGATAAGCAAAGAGACAGGAGTATTTTAAAAAGAAGACAAAATTATCTCCACTGAGATGCTGGTCCACATATTTCCATGTGTGCTGAGTGTTTTAATAAGTAAACATTTAGCCTAGGAAATGTCTAGTTTTCATGTAAGAGATTCTGGAATGGAAGGTGCACATGGAAGCACTGGAAGACTGTGACCTTAGCGTATTCCATAGAATGGTTCACATGCTGCCTGGCCACACACTTACGTACATAATTGTGCTGTCAATATGCAGCAATTCCAGTTAAAAGGTCTTGAGAAACAGGGCTGGGAGAGCCCCTCCAGAATGGATAATGCCTGCCAAATTACAGGCAAATAGGTCAAGGGGCTTTGGGGATGGACACTTTCAAAATGTGATCCCCCAAATTTATATTTAGTTCCTTAGATCCTTTTCTTAGAAGTGTAGAACAAATATTATATTGCACCTGTAACAGTGCCACTAACTCAGATCATATTGGTTGAGTGGGCATATATTGTGTAAAGCAGGGGTTGTCAACCTGGTCCCTACCACCCACTAGTGGTCGTTTCAGGATTCTAGGTGGGCAGTTGGGTGTTCTACGGCATAAGCTGAATCCTCCTTCCATCAAGCACTGGTGGGTGGTAAGGAAATTTTACCATCATGAAGGACGCATTTGTGGGCGGTAGGTATAAAAATGTTGACTACCCTTGGTGTAAAGTGATCCTGCAACTAAACTGGTACCAAGGGCTTTATATACTAACTCCTTAAACTGAAATGATAATACAACTGGTTAAATAACTGCTGCTTCTGTTTCAGGGGCTTTAATAGCCAGGCAATGAAAGACGGGAAGAATTTAGATGAAGTATATTTTAAAAGGCCTAACTTTAGCTGTTAATTACTGGAACTAGATGAATATGTTCTGGTACAATAGAATTCCACCTCTATCTGCACTCCTGCTGAACTCATTTTTGTGGCTTAACTAAAGTGTAGTTCCTCCCTCCATCCAGCTGAAACTTTTTATGTGGCCTTGCACTACTTTGAACTTGCAAAAATGCACTTAAATTGAGGTGGGGACAGAAACCATTTATATTTGCACTGTTAATTATGCAAAAGTCCACAAATATGAAAAAGGAGGAGAGCATAATCCAGGTTTGCTTTGTTGCTCATAATAATGGAGTCTCTATAATTATGTGACTATGACCTGTATCTCCAATAATATAATTTAAGGCGGCATAAATTGTAAAAGACTTTAGTTACCACCCTACCTTCCAACTATTCTTTATTAAAATAATTCTTGCTCATATAAGTAATTATATTATAGGTCCATGCAAGTGAATAATGCTTTTATTATTCAGGGAAAAAAAGAAAAGGACTAGGGTGTTTGGTAGATCTTGGCATGAGTAACTTCTGCTCTAGCCTACAAGGTGTCCTGTTTGTTCTGTGTCTGTTTGGGCTTTGTGAAGAAGCAAATGCACATATTTCAAGTGAAGAAGGGGAGTGAAGTCTGCTAATTTAAGTGACCTCTGCGAAAGAAGACGACGGGCTGGAGAAACAGGAATATTTTACGATGAAGATACACCAAAGGCGGGGTATGTTGACAACGGGGCTGAATGGGGGGGGAAACCTTTTTTACTTTCTTTCTATGTGATTTACAAGAACCCCTCCTCATTAGAACCGTCGGTTGAACTGACCCAAGCAGGATGATTAAGGTCTGTGCGGAGATAAACTTTAACCAAAAGTATGCTTTATGGAGACCGAGAAGCAATAAGAGCTTTTGGGAATGGCACAGCAATTAATTCGGAGTCGCCATCTTGCCAAAGGATTTACAGCCGGGAGGAAGAACGGATTTGTTTTCAGACTGCATTCCTAGTGAATATCCTCAGAGGTTTTGAGAAAGGAGACAGATTGGTGAAGATTAATGACGCTAAGACTTTTGATGTATGGAAGTGATGTTATATGGAAAACGTCTGGATATGGCTACTGGATAAAAAAAAAAAATATCCACGCAGGATTACAAACTGTTCTAACCAGCTTGCGGAGACTATCAGAGGTCACAAAGAGAAAGGAAAAATATATGAAAATAACAACAAGAGATGTGGAAAAATAATAAGAAAGGACTGGATAGTACTGTGAACATCATAAGGTTAGATTTGTGGACATTAAAACAGCAGCAAGAAGCAAGAAGTTGATTGGATCCCTTCGGAACTTGAAATATGGGTACTCCCAACAAAAATTTAAAATTCGGCTGTGGAATTTATGTAATTTGGTTTGATTTGATGTGATTGGTCGGTTAATAAAAAATTATTCTTAAAAAAAGAGATAGAGCTTTGTGAAGCAATAATAAAGTCACCAGGACTTCCGCTTGCCCTGTACAAAGAAAGAACGAGTCCAAGTTTCCACTTGTCCCGTGCTTTCTAGGTGGTTTTGCCTTTGCCTTGCCACTTTCCCTTGGAAAACCTGCACTAAACTAAATAGGAACAAATGGAAATCTGTGGAAAACCTGATTGCTGCTTGTTCAGATTCAGTGCTAAAGATTGGGTTTCCCCAGGGGAAAGCAGTGGAGCAAACAGAGGCGTGGATTAGGCCTGGGTGATAAATCAAAATATTACCCAGGACCAGTATGGGGAGCAGACCACAATGTCGGCTTTATTCAATAGTATATCGTTGGTGAAATTGCCACCGCTCCTGAGTCCCTCTTCTAGCAACTTTCTCAAGTGAGCATTGCTAGCAGAGGGACTCGGGAGCAGTGGTGGTTTCACCAGCGATATATAGCTGAGTGAAGCCACCATCCCACTCTGCTCTCATATTGCACAGAGGGAGAAAAAAGCTGCATTGGTGAGGCACCAATACAGCTTGTTGCTCCCTCTGCATCTTCAAACTGCTCAGCTGAGTGTGCGGTTGCCGCTTGCCTCAGCCGAGCAATTAAAGGATCCCCCAACCCGGCTCTGGCTCCCTCAAAAGTGGGGGGAGCACTGGTGATGATTCTGCTAACCGTTCAAACAAGCCACTTTGTTCCAGCCCGCTAGGAGCTGGGGTGAAAGCGCCTCAGCTCCCACGTTGAGAGCTGTGGCAGTTTCACCCAGCGCCTCTCAGCCTGAGGCCAATGTAGCTTGTTTTTTCAGCATTGCGGCATACCACCAGACTGCGATGTTTAGCTGGTGATAGACTGTGATGTTGAAAAGCTGATATCGCCCAGCCCTAGTGTGGATAAGCCTTAAGTTAGGCAAAGTTGTATCCAGCCAGAGTTTGCTGATTGTTGGATGGCACTACAGTGGCTACAAGCACTTCAGGTTACAGACTCCGCTAACCCGGAAGTAGGACCTCGGGTTAAGAACTTTACCTCAGGATGAGAACAGAAATCATGCGGCAACAGGAGGCCCCATTAGCTAAAGTAGTGCTTCAGGTTAAGAACGGTTTCAGGTTAAGAACGGACCTCTGGAACGAATTAAGTTCGTAACCAGAGGTACCACTGTAATAGAAGGTATCATCTTGACTCCTTTCAAATAATTTTTGAAACTAAGAATGCTGAGTCTTGGTTAATCACTGGAAAGTGTCGGATTATTTTATTTACTCACAGCAAAATAAGATTGCAGGAGTCTGTTTAGAGCAAATGCTTTCTCAAATACTCGTACATAGAGTAGCCTGCCAGTTGCAGTCTCCATCTTGGTGTGCATTGGACCTGCCTTGCCATCTCTTGGCAGATATCAGGGGCAGCAAGAGGGTGGATTGATTTGTGCAGTGTGAGCAACAGGAAGTTTGAATATTCCTATAAAGATGCAATGCAGCTATTGCCCTCCAGCATCACGGGATATATTCTTCTTAGGAGCATGTGTAATTACAACTGTGCTACTAGTTATGATTTGGCTATATTCTACCTCCGGGATGAGAGGGATCAATGTTTTTGAAACTAGTTAGTGAAGAACAACAGTGGGAGAATGTCCTGTATGTAGCAGGCTGGCCACGGTGGAAAACAGAAAAGATACTAGACCAGATCCAGCAGAGCTCTTCTTAAGTTCAGCTCCTACAATAGTGCATGATATATATTGCAATAGGCATGTGCTTACTCTTTTTAATAAATGTGGATGCACACAACCTTTGAATTGCCATTACTGAAGCACTCTTTGGAAACTGACATTACTACTACTGCAGCCCCTTTAACCCCAACTTACTTTGCCATACCACAAGAAGAAAGGAAGCGAATTTCTTGAAACTTGCCTCTGTCTAACCTTGGATCCATCAGACTACCCATTTTCTGCCTAAATCTCTCATCATCCCTTAGACAGCACTCATTGTAGCAAAAATGAACAAAGCTACAGTGGGAGTGATTCGAAATAGTCAGTGGCTTGGCATTTGGCTTGCGTATTTTTTTCCACTTCACTGCCTGTTTTGTAATTTAAATGCTATACACCCACTCCCTAATGCAGCTGATGGGGTTGCTTTCAGTGCTGATCGGCTGATGGGGATTGGGAGAGAGCCCCTTTGAAGTCTGGAAAATGTCTGCTTCCAGGTGCAGTTTGAATGCAAACCATGTGTCTGCAAATCACATTTTTTCCCTTCTGCAGACTGACAGAGAGAAAATTACCATTTGGAGACACAGTTTGAATCCATATGATGCCTAAAACTTACAAGGGCTTCCACTTTGCACCCATCAGCTGATTGGAGTTGAGAGCAAGGACCTTTGATGTCATACCTGACATCAATGCTCACATAGCATATAATTGACCTGCAGGCAATAGAGGGTGTTGTGGTTCAGCCTACCAGGTGGATGCAGTAGTTTCCCACTTCTAATCCATTGATTTGAACATGTCTGAAGGTCCTTGGGATGAAGATGCAGGAAAAGTATCATATATTGCAAACGGACACACCACCTTTGTAACAAGATAGAAGTCTTGACACTGCAATCCATACTTAATCTGTGAAGACATAGGATTTATTCTTGAACCAACATCCTCTGAGGTGTGTGTGTGTCTCTGTGCGCAAAGAAACAATCTTGGTTATCCTTAGATTGTTTTTACAACTTTTAATTATTTCATTTTAGTATAATTGTGAACAGTGAAAAACTTGATATTACCACAGGGTAGTCATCATATTTCTGTGCTGAAACTTAAAATATAGGAAAACATCAGGGTGTAGGTTTGTCTATAAGTTGTGGTTAATAAAAATATTGGGTGAAAGTAAATGTGGGTGGCGCTGTGGTCTAAACCACTGAGCCTAGGGCTTGCCAATCGGAAGGTCGGCAGTTCGAATCCCTGCAACGGGGGTGAGCTCCCATTGTTCGGTCCCAGCTCCTGCCAACCTAGCAGTTTGAAAGCACATCAAAGTGCAAGTAGATAAATAGGTGCCGCTCCAGTGGCAAGGTAAACAGCGTTTCTGTGCACTGCTCTGTTTTCACCAGAAGATGCTTAGTCATGCTGGCCACATGACCTGGAAAAACTGTCAGCGGACAAATGTCGGCTCCCTTGACCTGTAAAGCGAGATGAGCGCCGCAACCCCAGAGTTGTCTGTGACTGGACTTAACTGTCAGGGGTCCTTTACCGTTACCTTTTAAACTTAGTAAAAAGCTGATAAATCTTTTGGGAGGACTTTTAAAAAATCATAGAAATGGGGATGCGGAAACATGAAGCACTGAATTTCATATTGGAAAAATAAGCATCTGAGAGAAATCAGAAAACTGACAGATTCATAAACCCCTATTTACTACTTGACCACCTCTATTTTACATATAGATTAGCAAGACACTAAGAAGAAAATCTTAGCTAAGTTACCCACTCTTGCTCCTTTGGGGGATAAAATGTAGCAGATATGAAATCTTCAAGGCATCATCACTTTCCATATATCTGATATTAATAAAAGTGGTTTCTTAAAAAAGCTTGACTGCTTATCTGATCAATCCAATGCCACGCATGCACAAATAAGCAAGAAATAGAATTAGCAACTTAAAAATAACAGTGGCAATTAGTTTTTAATTACAGCATAAATTTCACCTAGTGTATGTTCTAACATCACTGAATTTTAAAATACATTTGTTTGTTTGAATAAGTAATAAAAAATACTGTTTACCTTGCAGTTTGAAGTATTGTTTACTGTTGCCTATTTCTCACCACCCTCAGCTTTTTCTGTCTTCCCTCCCTCCCTTGCCACAGAAATGCTGCAAGAACAAAACCAAATGAAATGAAATGTTCCCAATATGTAATCATTCTGGTTCAGGACTATAATCTTTTAAATTGCTCTACTATGTTACATAAAAAGAGAAATATTATTAGACAGGAGTAATTTGGTATAAACTAAATTCTGGACGATAGGGTTTCTGCAGTTATTTAGGCTTCAGGAAAAAAAGTGCTAGCAAGGAGGATAATTACATTAGTAGCACACATTTTGCAGTTCTTATGAGTCAAGCAAGCCAACATCTTGGTTTGTTAGTGTGAAGAGATGAGCAAGCCTGAAAAAAATCGTAGTCCACCCTCCCCACAAATGATTTGGAAGGGGGTAGTAAAACATTTTCATGTGTAAGAACTGCATTCTCAGGCAGAGATTCATCCTGTGTCTTGCAGCAGTTCATTCAGCTGAACAGAGAAGCTGCTTTTTAAAAGCTGAATACTTGCTTGAATATTTGGCAGCAATTGCCATGGCAAAACGTCCTACAAAGTTCCGTCTGTGCAGTTTCTCCTGTCAGTGTGCATCATTTCATTTTTAGAGTGAAAATAGTAAATTTACACATCATGTTTCACTATCATTTCCTTTGACAAATGTCCAAGTTAAAATCAACATTCAGAGCAATAGTAACACTTAAACAATTCAAACTCAACACTGTTTTATTTTTCATTGTCATGCATTATGTGACATGAGAGATTTGTTTCTTTTTACAATAAGTTATAGAAATGAAGCCCCAATGTGGAAAAGGAAAATATCTAAAAGTGACAAAAACATAAAATAATTTAGGCTGCAATCATATGCACATAATGTACCTCTATACTAGAGATATTATTATAAATTGTTTAGTACAATTGCATTTAAATATGAATCAACCAGCAGCGATCTAGATACTGAATTTTTGAACAATAGTTCATTTTAAACCCTAGTTTCTGAAGATGATACTTGAAGAAGAAATTTAACTGAAAATTTCATCTCCAAATTCTTCTAAAAGGGACAAAATATAATTCGGATGAGCTGAATGGTTATGCAGTGCGTGATTTGAGAGAATGTTATTTACAGTAAAGAAATAAAAATTCTGAAAGACCTTAGTTCTGAGTTTCCTATGAACCGGTTAGAAGCAGGCCCTGAGCATAAGATATAGTTTTGACCCCGTTTTAGCACTTTTGAAAACAATCTGAGAAGTCATAAGCAGTAAAGGGACTGCCTGATTTGGTTCAAGTTCAAATCTGGATCACAATTCAGAAAAATAAAGCTTAATGGCTCCTTGATTCACTATCATGAAGTGTGTGTGTGTGTGTGTGTGTGTGTGTATATAAAGTCTATTCACACCCCTCCCTCCCAGTTGACAGAATTGGATGACATTTGAAGGCATACTTGCCTCAACTTAATGGATAAGGTCTTCCCAGTTATAGACAAATGTTCTTTGTCATGTTGCATTATAATTGTTTCATGACAAAAATGCAATTACTGTATTTTCTTTCCCCCTTTCCCCCTGTAATCAAAACAATTGAATGGTGTGCAGAAAGGGGAGGGTTAACCCATCTCTCGTAGTGTGTGCCCTTGTGACTGTGTAGCAAAAAGAGCATGGCCCCCAGCACCACAGTCATGCTCACTGGCCCCCTACTGACTACCTACCACTGCTGCATGGGGCCATCCCCTCCTTAGAAAAATGTAGATGCCCTACTACTTGTTCCTATAAGCTCCTCCTCTTCCCGCAACATCAGTTCAGAACTCATTTCCCCAATATTCTTCCCAAGGAAAAATTCTGTAAAGTTAAGCTCCCCACCCCCACCCCCCAAAATAAGGATGTGTCTTCATTTTTTCTTCCAGAGATCAACAGCCCCTGCTTATAATTGTCATCTCAGTCTGGACTGCATCTTCATCTGTAATAAATGAGCATCTTCATACATCATTTAACTAACAGACTTTTTTCCATGTTCATTTCTTGCTTTTGAAGCTATTCTGTAGCATGTTATTTAGGGAAGATCAAATGTATGAGATTTCTCTTTGGATTAAAGCAGGCTTTGAGAAGAGGGCCATATATATAAAATCACCCTTTGGAGTTCACCCATCCTTAAGTCTTTAATTTTTTTGAGCACCCATAGATCACCATAATCCATATAAATGCCAGGAGGCAGACACTGAGAGAGCCCAAAAGATGTAATGATTTCTAAGATAATAGCACTTAGATATATGGGGGAAATGAATAAAAATCAGACTAATGATCCTTAGTAGTTACTGCACTGAAGTTTGTAATTATGAATTTGGCCCACTTGTACCGCTTGGCTGATGATACCTGAATCAAGCGTACACATCTGTACACACACACATGCAAAATGAATTTTTATCTAGCTCAGAAAAGGTAAATGAGCCAGCTGCTTTCTAGATAGATGTATAGAATTTCTTGTTAACCCTATGACTCAATTCAATTTTCATTCATTGGACTAAAGCTCATGAACTGTTTGAAATTGACATGTAATTTACAGAACAATGCCAGGTTGTTTAGATGAATTGCCTTTATGCAAGAGAAATCTTGACAGGAACAGCACAAGGCGTGCTGGTGGCCCATCTAGTCTAGCATTCTGTTCTCACAGTGGCCAATGGGAAGCCCACAAGCAGAGCAAAAGGTAGCAGGACTCTCCCACTGACATTTCTTTAGCAGCTGGTACTGGAGTATATAGTCATCATTACTAGTGGTCACTGATAGCCTTATGTTCCCTGAAATTCGTCAAATCCCATTTAAAGCCATCCATGTTGACAGCCACCACTGCATCTTGTGAGAACAAATTCTGTAGTCGGACAGTGTGCTGTGTGCATATATATATTCTCTTGTCTATCTTGAATCTCTGACCTTTTAACTTTCTTAGATGACCCCAGTTCTGTTATGAGGGAGGCAAAATTCTATCATATCTACTTTCTGCATGGTTACTTACCCCCTCCGGAATGCACATTGTGGTTCTAGTCCTCATTAGGAAGGCTGGGACCACAGGTCACTGCTGCTTCTGCCTTTTCTTCCATCTGCCTGAAGGTTTTTTTGCATTTAGGAAGGGGGTCAGGAGAAGCCCCAGAACGTGGAGGAGGAGAGCAGGGCTCTATCTGGAAGCTGAAATGCTTGCACAGATGGAATGATTGGAAGAGTGTGAGGTTGAATTCCATACTGAGTATCAATGTAAGAAGCTATTATGGTGGGATATGACACCAGCTAGGCTTGACAAGGTTTATTCAGGCACACAGTTCAAATGTTGGAAGTGCTCAGTCACAAATGCCTATCTGCTTCATATTTGGTGGGGCAGCCAAGCTGGCTTATGCTTTTTGGAGGCAAATAACATGCATTATATCAGAAATGATGGATCTAACAGAGGGACTTAGCCCAATGTTGATTTTATTTAATTGGATTGCAGAGGATATTCCAAAATAAATTCATTATTAAAGATTTCCATTTAATAATAACAACAAAAATTGTGTGGGTGCACAAGAGGAAAAAGCCACACACCACATCTATCTGGGAATGATTATTGAAATGTTTAGAGCTTGCAGAAGCGGACAAATTAACCAACTTGATTCATATGAGAAATAACGAGTATTCAGATTTTGTTTGCTGAGAGATGGACATGTTTTTGTTCATTATTGAAAATTTAAGTCTTGGCAGGATTTTGTGTTTCTAAGTAATAGAATATGTGTGTATATCTATTTAAAGTATTATATAATATAATAAAGTATAGAAACATTTTATTTTTAAAAAGACACAAAATGATGATGATGACGACGACGAATGGGGCAGCACACTTCTGCCTCATCAGCCCAGCCAGGTCCCTTAGAGGGATTCTGGCTGAGTGGGCAGAAAGAATGAAAATGGGGGAAACAAAATGATGAATGGATGGGGGAGAGACTGGAGGATGAGGAATAGGTGTTGATGGTGTGACTTCTCCCTTGTTAATTTTCACAGTCAGTTTTCAACCTGTTGCATTCCTCAATAGGGCTGTGTGGGAGTGACATACCTCTGTAGACCCTTGGGACAAGAGCAGGGGCAGGTTGCTTCCCTGACACCACATCAGCTCTTTTCGGGCACGCAGCATGATTAAATCTGTCCACTGAGATCAGTGGAGACAAAATAAATACATGGAGAGGGGCTTGCCAGACGGTTTGTTTTTTAAGCATTCTGTTGCATAATAGTGGGGGTGTCTACCTTCTAACTTCTCTTCTTTTTGCTTACAGCTTTTCCAACTAAATATTGCTGTTGATTTGAGTGAGAGAGATCCTGGTGTCCGTTGTGTTGCCTTATCATCTGCCACGCACCTCAGGAAGAGAGAGACTGTGCTCACGTGCTCTTGTATAGCTTTTCTCACCGAGAATGAGACTGTTCTCCTGATACTGCTTGCCTTGTGCCCACGGTCTGATGAAGCCTGCTTTCATGAGATACAGCCCTGACCAATGTGTCTTCATGCTTGCTCCCTGCCTCAAGAAGGCAGGCTGGCCATTGTGACCTAGTGCTGATGTTTCCTGCCTCAAGGGGAGCAGTCATCCATTGTGACATTGTACTAATGCTGTCTGTTTGAATGGGAGGGACTAACCATTGCAATCCTGTGCTGATGCTTCCTACCCTAAGGGGAGGGACTAGCCAATGTAACCTCATGCTGATGATGCCCACCTGAGGAAATAAGACAGAACCTGTTACGATCTGTAGAGCCTTATTGCCTTGATCATTTGTTTTTCATCTAAATCAACAACATCATTGGATTATGAAGTAACCAAGACTTTCTCATATTGCCAGAAATGGAGGCTTGGAATCTATGAGAGACAAAGATGTTGGATTATTTTACTTTCTGCCCTTGACAGCCGTCGAGAAACTGCATATAAAAGAGTTGTCTTCTTTCAAGTTGTTTTCATTTCTGAAGTCTCACAATTCTAAAAAACAGCAAAGTCACCAGTACTTTGTTTTACAGAAATTTGGACTGCAGCACCTATTAACTTACATTGGGTTGTATCCAGAGTTGCCCTGAAAGGCTCCTTCTCCGAAGGAAAGGGAAAAGGGGAGCTGTTTTTGCCTATTCTTCCTACAGCCTCCCCTGCCACCTTCCACACTGTCTAGAGTAGTTATGGATCCTTCTAATTCCATTTGATGTCATTTTCACACATGTTCAATCAGAAGTTGGTTCAGCCCCATTTTCAGCTAATCTTTTTTTTAAAAAGTCTTAATTTATATGCATTTTTGCATGCACTTTCCCCTAAAATAATTTTGTGCACGTGTATGTCCCCCCCATTCACATTTTTTGAACCAAAAACCATACCTCAAAATTTAGGGAAGTGTGCAATTCAGTTGTTAAACATGTCCACATTAGAATATTCAGGATTTCCAAAGCTTTCAGAGCTCTCTCCTTTGTTGCGAGTGTTCCATAAGTGAAGTTCCACTCATGAAAACTCAATATCTGGATCCATACTGATTTTGTAACATTTCCTTTTTCAAAATATGACATTGGACAGTTCCAGACACACTGGAAATTAAAGCAATCATCAGAAGTAAGCTTACTGGGCTTAAAGTAGCAGCCAGGTATCCTGGGGTTCATCGCATTTAAGCAAAATGGTCTTGTTGCGATCTCACTTCCAATGCATATTAGTCTTAATATAGTCTATCAAGCTAATGTGCCATACCTCTGAGAGCTGACATACTGTGGAACCTGCACTGTATTTCCTGCACTGGTGGATAAGAGATGAAATAAGCTTGTGCATTTATTTTTAAGTTGCCTAGATACAGGATAATCAGCCATGAATTTATTCCATCACTAACAATTAACTACCATCTAGAGAGATACAGAATTTGTCGTTAGCTTTACTGTGGATAATGTGCACATGTCTTTAAGAGCATTAAACTAAGTCAGGGAATTGTAACATTCCCAGCGTTTCATTAAACGAAATTGGTAGTATATATTTCTCTTAATGCAATCATGGGGACATTAGCTAAACACATTTCTGAACTAATTCTCAAAATTGTAGGAGTGCTGAAGAATTAAACAGGTAGCGACTCTCCTGGCATGGTTCCCATTTGCCATCATTACTTGCATAGTTCTTCATATTAATGATTCTTTGTTGCTGAGGGACCAGCTAGATACAATCGGTGCAAACAGTTCAGCATGATCGAGACAAGAACATAAAAAGAGCCTGTTGGATCAGGCCAATGGTCCATCTAGTCCAGCATCCTGTTTTCAGAGGCCTGCCAGATGTCTGTGCGAAACCTGCAAGCTGGATTTGAGCACAAGAGCACTCCCCTCTCCTGTGGATTCCAGAGACTGGTAATCAGAAGCATTTGCTGCCTCCAGCTGCGATGGCAGAGCATAGCTATCATGGCTAGTAGCCATCAGTAGTCCTCTCCTCCATGAATTTGTACAGTCCTCTTTTAAAGCCATCCAAATTGGTGACCACCACTGCCTCCTGTGGGAGCGAGCTCCATAGTTTGACTGCACTTTGTGAAGAAAACCTGCGTGAAGAGTTCCTAGTTGGATCTATTCGATTCATCCATCCTATTGACATCAGGTACAATTTATGTGAATTTTTAATTCTATTTTATTCTTTTATGTTTTTTCTCTTGATACGGTTTATTGTATGACACCAGCATCATACTGAAACTTACGGAGATGGGAAGCATAAGAGGTGTCCTTTCTCTGTGGTTGCAAACTAGAAAATGAAACAAAACTGCCTACCTACTTTGGTTGGCTGTTTTGGCCCAGTTGCCGATAAAGCAAGCTGCAAATCTGTTTCCCTCTTCCTCCCCAGCTACACGGAGTTTCTTAGCCATACACGTTAGCTGAGGCAACAACTTTTGTGGTAGAATCTGCCCCTGGGCCCTCCAAACACTGCTGGACACAACTATCAGGAGTAATACTGCGCTGAAAGCATCTCCCATGCTTTACCAACTCCACCCCACTTCTTCAGTTAGTGACATAAGAAACTACATTAAAAAAAAAATCAAAGGGGAGGAAATAATTGAATGAAAATCTCATGGATGGGATTTGGATGGGGTTTGCACTTAATGTACTTTCAAGGGAGCTGAAGGGTTTGTGAGTGTCCTTTCATGCTGCAAATATATTCACTGGGTTGTATTCTGCATCCTTGGGTGCTCCCATTTCCTGAAATCTCCATGGCATTCTCAGCTGGGCTTTCCTGTGAGTAGGAAGCTGGGGAGGCTGCCTCCAGTGAATCTGACAGCTGTTTGTTTGTCTTTTTCTATTTTTTAGGCGAGTTTATTTAACTTTTAAAGAAATCATTGCAGAAATATTTCTTTAACTAGGCTCACTTTTAACTAATTATGCATAGGATTGGACTGCAGAGCTTCTTTTAGGAAACAAAAGCAATACTAATGGCTTTGCAGAACAGATGCTCACAATATGGGAATCTTTTCCATTGCTCCAAACGTCTGCCAAAATGTGCTATTGATGCTGTATATAATATTGCAATATATAATATTGCAATATTATATACAGCAGTTATATAGATTCCCAGGATCTAGTGATTTGTTTTTTTGAAAGTTTCTTTTTGTATTTGATATTAACTACGGAAACAGAGGGAATGTGAACTTGTTGATATGTTATCTAATGATATCAAGTGCAATTACTAGTGAGAAATGAATGAAGAACAATTAATGGTGATATATTCTTTTACGTTCCACTTGTGATTTCTTTATTTCTTGGTTCAAAATGTTGTAAGGGGCAGAGATTTGTGTTATCTATGGAAATGTGGTAGGGTTTTGTTTCCTTTTTGCCAGTCTTAGGTTTCTTTGCATTTTAGTGTTATCAGCTCATTTGTGCCTTTGGTAAGGCACATGGCTTTGACTAATAATCTCTTATCTTCGGGGCTCAGCAAAGGCATTTGTGTAACAGTGATGATTAACATTTTATGAATGCAGGTGCCCGTCTGCAACAAGTAATAATAAATAATAAATAATAGCCCCGACTTCCACAGGAGGATTGCTCTGATAGAACAGCCGCAATATTGGATCCAGAAACTGCTTACAAGAGACAACTTTAGGCAGTTTTTGCCATGCTGCTTTTGGGGAATTAGGAAATCTTCTGAAAGTCACTCTCATGATTAATGTATATAAGGAAAGGCATAGACAAGCATCTACTTTGAAGGCTGAAACTGCACATTAAACTTTTTTCTCCCTTTCTGATTCTTTCAAATTAGCCTAGACAGACTATGAATAGAAGCTGAAGAATTGTAGGCAGAGAGAAATTGCTTAACCCTTTTTCCTTCTGGTTCTTATCTTCTCCATATCCCCTTCCACTGTTGCCCTGGGTGGAAAAGAAAAAGTGGTGTAGATTGGGGTTGAGCTGAAAATAACTAGAGGGAAAAGGGTCAGGCAGCTTCTCTCCTCCGAACCCACTTTCATTTCTGTGCTGCCTGTCCAGGCTGGTTTTTGTCTTGAAAGAAAGAGCACAAAAATTTAAAAAAAAAAACCACGGGGAAATTGGTGTAGATTGTTGGAACTAGGCATGTGTCTGCTAAGAAAGGTCCAGCTTCTGCATCCTTTCTTAGCAAATACCTATTTGCTTTCTTTCAGTATCATCAGCCACTGTCTCTGAGTAGTCATTTTGGGGCCCATGGGCTGTGGGGCCCCAAACTTTAGCCAAAAAATCTTGCCCTGCCTGCGCCACTGGCTGTTGAAGATAGTTCAGAAGCTGTAGCGAGGTCATATCTTGGCATGTATTGCAACAACTCCACTGGTAGGGATGGGTGATACAGCATCCAAAACTGGTTTGAAGTCCCTATCATGATATGGGTTTTCATAATTTTTAATCCTTCAAAATATTGTGAATCATGGTGTGTGTGTCTGTGTGCGCGTGTGCAGGAAAAACCATGAAGCCAACCAATGTCTCTCCGTAGCTCCATCTTTATTTCAGACATTGTGATATATTGGTATATCGTGATGTTTAGCTGGTGATGCATTGCAGTGTTGAATATTAGATATTGCCCAGCCCTATCCACTGGCTCTCAAGCCCAGTTCTAAGAGTTAGTCTGAGCCATTACAGCACCAAACAGTCTAGGACCAAATACCTGTTGGGCCACCTTCTCCACACCAATCTACCTCTGCACTGAATTTATCACCAGAGTTCTTTCTCTGGGCTCCCCTGCCATCTGAACTGTGAGAGGCAGCCTTTTTAAAACAAACAAACAAACAAACAAACAAACAAAAAACACTCTTTACCTTTGGAGCGATAGTTTTAAAAAGATGCCACAAACTCCCCAGGTAGCCTGGTGATGCTGTTACTGTCATTAGGCACCAGGTATTTTTCTGTCTAAATAGACAATATGACTGTATTGTTTCTGCTTTACTTTGTTGTGTTACATTCATGCTAAATTTTATTATTTTCTTTTTAAAGTGCTTCTATTGTTTACCCAGAAAGACAACCTGGGAACATAATTTATTTAATGCAGAAGGTATGAGATATGAATTATTTAAAAAAAATGAAGTAAATAAAAAATAAAATATTTTAGAAGTGTTTAGTTTTCTAAAAGCATAGTTGCATTTTTTTAAAACCTTGATGTACCATGGCAGCAATATTTGAAATTGTATGCATATAAAAAACTTAGCAGCTTAAAAGTATTTGTACATGGTACTCCAATCTCTGAGCGGTTAGAGACTTGAGGGGTTCCAGGTGCTTACCCAGCATTTTGTTTTGTTTTTTCATGATAGTCAGTAGACATTATGGTTTTTAGGATAGAAGGTTTTGTTTACACATACATGCAACCTGAACATAAGTTGGAGGGGCTCACAGAATTAAAACCCCAACAGATCTTGCTTCTCCATTAGACACAGCTTTGGATCCAGGACACATCAAGCATGGCTTCCTGTCTAAAGCTTCCAGCCTGCTTCCAGCTCTGCTAACACACACCACACTGACCTATTGTTCTCCCACCTGGCAGCTAGCTGAAGTGGGAGGAAGGCCCATCCATTAGCCCAGAGGGCACCACCACTTAGTTGTGACTCTTGCAAGCTAGCTTATTCTTTAGGGATCCTGATGAAGACACTTAAGTGACCAGCTCAGGTCATTGTCTTACAAAGAAACTGGGCTCCACTCCGCGCTGGAAGGAAGCTGCCCGGCGAAGCCGGCTTAGCATTGCTGGGCAGCTTCCTCCCAGCGTGGAGCCTGCTGCCCAGCGAAGCTGCCGAAGCGTATAAGAGCCCCCCCCAACTGGCAGCTGCCAATTTGGGGGGGGGGGCGTCTTACACGCCCAGTCACCTAATACACCGGAATCTACGGTAACTGGTATAATACACAAACCTGTCCCTAGGCACCCCATTTGCAATATTGTTGAGCTATTTCTCAATTCTTTAAGTTTCTTAGGAGGTCACTTGCATAACTTAATTCTGGGAAATGTAACATGCTCTCAGGAAAATCTGAAGTCTCTTTCCTTTGTTATACAGTGGTGCCTCGCAAGACGAAATTAATTCGTTCCGCAAGTTTTTTCTTCTTGCGAGTTTTTCGTCTTGCGATGCACGGTTTCCCATAGGAATGCATTGAAAATCAATTAATGCGTTCCTAGTGAATCCGACTTCAGACAAGGTCCGGGGACAGTCTGTCACCCGACCTCTTCTGAAGGCTGGGGGGACAAGGGCTTTTCTTCCCACCCCCAGCATTTTAAAAAACCCCGGGACAGCGGAGGGCTTCTCCGCTGTCCGGGGCGATCTTAAAATGCTGGCGGGCGGCATTTTAAAATTGCCCCGGGACAGCGGAGGACTTCTCCGCTGTCCGGGGCAATCTAAAGCCCCTGGGAAGGCAGGCAGGGGGACAAAGACTTTGCCCCCGCCAGCCTTCAGAAGAGGTCCTGGACCTCTTCTGAAGGTTGGCGGGGCGAAAGTCTTTGTCCCCCCACCTGCCTTCAAAAGCTGTCCAGCCAAGGCTTCGCGGACCTCTCCGCAAGCAGCGGCAGCACTGCCGCTGCTTGCGGAGAGTTGCCGGCATGCCGAGCCTGCGCGCGCTGAGATCAGCGCGCCCAGGCCTCGCGGACCTCTCCGCGAGCAGCGGCAGCGCTGCCGCTGCTCGCGGAGAGTTGCCGGCATGCCGAGGCCTGCGCGCGCTGAGATCAGCGCGCCCAGGCTCGCGGACCTCTCCGCGAGCAGCGGCAGCGCTGCCGCTGCTCGCGGAGAGTTGCCGGCATGCCGAAGCCTGCGCGCGCTGAGATCAGCGCGCCCAGGCTTCGCGGACCTCTCCGCGAGCAGCGGCAGCGCTGCCGCTGCTCGCGGAGAGTTGCCGGCATGCCGAAGCCTGCGCGCGCTGAGATCAGCGCGCCCAGGCTTCGCGGACCTCTCCGCGAGAAGCGGCCGAGCTGACGCTGCTCGCGGAGAGTTGCCGGCATGCCGAAGCCTGCGCGCGCTGAGATCAGCGCGCCCAGGCTCCGCGGACCTCTCCGCGAGCAGCGGCAGCGCTGCCGCTGCTCGCGGAGAGTTGCCGGCATGCCGAAGCCTGCGCGCGCTGAGATCAGCGCGCCCAGGCTCCGCGGACCTCTCCGCGAGCAGCGGCAGCGCTGCCGCTGCTCGCGGAGAGTTGCCGGCATGCCGAGCCTGCGCGCGCTGAGATCAGCGCGCCCAGGCTTCCGCGGACCTCTCCGCGAGCAGCGGCAGCGCTGCCGCTGCTCGCGGAGAGTTGCCGGCATGCCGAAGCCTGCGCGCGCTGAGATCAGCGCGCCCAGGCTTCAGCGGACCTCTCCGCGAGCAGCGGCAGCGCTGCCGCTGCTCGCGGAGAGTTGCCGGCATGCCGAAGCCTGCGCGCGCTGAGATCAGCGCGCCCAGGCTTCGCGGACGGAGATTTCCCTATGGGCTTTCGTCTTGCGAAGCAAGCCCATAGGGAAATTCGTTTTGCGAAGCGCCTCCAAAACGGAAAACCCTTTCGTCTAGCGGGTTTTTCGTCTTGCGAGGCGTTCGTCTTGCGGGGCACCACTGTATTGCTGTAATTATAGCCAGGTGAACTGTATGAACTGATCGCCATTCAGTATTAAAGAAGGTGATTCTTTTCATTAAACCCTTTATCTTATAAAACTGATACTCTTCTGGGACCACAGCAAATTATGATGCTTCTTTTTTGTGTTTTTCCTTTCTTTTCTCAATAACGAAATGTGCCAGAGCATTGGGAGTCAATATGTATTATATTCACAATGTGCATAAATAGAAGAATCTCCCATTAACCACAACCAGCATGGCCCATGGTCAGGAATTATGGGAGTTACAGACTAATAACATTCAGAGGGCTACAGCTTTGTTCAGTCACTGAGGGCAAGCTTGAAGGACTTGCTTACAAGAGCTCTTGGTCCTCTGAATTGTGACTGGGCCACTCAGGCCTTAATCTCTTTCTCTGGTAGCCACAAGGGAAATGATGGTTGTGACAGATTTCTCTTTGGGATGGTGATCAAGATTTCAGCTGCTCCTATAGCAACAAATATTTATTTTTAAAATTGCATTTTGCTAATAGCATCCTGAGTCACTGCTGCAGCATTTGGTGGGTGAGATGAATAGGGAGTATATTCTCCAGTGTGCGCCTAAAATACTTAAAATGCACAACGTATCTGCAGGCAAATGTAGAGAATATGCCATCTAAAATAGTTGGTTTTCTTAGATTCTTATAGCCTGAAGCAAAAGGATGCTTCTGTCAGACTTTTCTCCTAATTTACTTGTTTTAAATTGGCATTGCTTTAAATCTGCATTGTGTTCATATGGAAGGAAGAGGTGGTTTTCTTTTTAGGTTAAATAGCTTGGAATAGGCGGTTTCTTCCTAGAGAATCTGTGCTGCCATAAGGCTTCATCTAATTTTATAGTTCCATTATAAGGCCACACAGTCATCCAATTGTGTTACAGTGAACAACATGGAGAGAAACAGGATTGCAGTCACTGTCTCTACTGATTGACTGGTGGTCAGAACTTAAATATATATGAAGGGCCAAGTTCATGTGATGCTAAACATGTCACTTGAAGCAGCATGAATATTTTGGGAACTGTAAATGCAGATCAGGTTCAGAGTCATGAGGAGGAGATTCACCATTTCCTCTCATGCTACATTCTCAATGACAATCTTAAAAGAGCACATGAGTCACAGAACATGGGCCTCTCTTTTGTCTCTCACCCTGTGGTTAAAGAAAGACAAACCCATGTTCAATTTACAGTGTGACCAAAGCCCTCTGCTTAACAACCAACAGACCTTTAAGGTAGAAGGAAGAATCAGAGAGAACCATGAGCATAGTTCTGACCCTTAGGTAGCCAACATGGTGCCCTTCAGATGTTTCTGGACTCAAACTCCCATCTGCCCCAGATCACATGACCATTTGGTGGGTAACACATTGGCTAAGCCTGTTCTGTCCTTACACTAGTGGTGGTGGGGAACCGAGTAGCTAATTTTAAGCCTATAAGATCCCAGTTTGATTTCAAAATGCAAATGTCTTCTGGCTGTCCAAGCACATTGAGGGAATAGATTCTTCCCATTTATTTGATTAGAAGTCTTTTGCTTTTCTTATTTACACATTTTGGGTTCAGGGAAGAGGTGGCCCTGATACTAAGTGGACAATGGAAATGTCAAAGATTTTGACATTTTTGAAATAGCAGGCTTGTCTAATTGAGTTCCTTGCAGGTGAAAGCTGTGTGCCCACATGCCTGTCTCCCTTGCCAAGCTATGTCTCCTTTGCAGCCTCAGAGTGGTAGTGAAAGGGACAACATTGTGCACGTACCTATGCACCTAGGAAGCCTTGTATTTCAAGGCCATGTTGGTCTGAAAGAAAACATATATTCTTCCAAACATGTTAAGAATGTCATAAACATAATTCCCCCCCCCCCAACCAATTTTTTTCCAGCTTTGGTTAACTATTCTCACCACATTACCAATTTATTATAATAGGGTGCATTTTGATGCAATCTCTCCTATCTTGCAGCTCAGTTGGAGAGCACTTACAGTACTTTGAATGCAAAAGGGTTGTCAGGTTTAATCCCTGGCAAGTTCAAGTAGGGCTGGGAAAGATCCCCATCTGACACCCTAAAGAACTGCTCAATGTCAGTTTCCACAGTACTAACTTAACTGGACCAGTGGTTTAATATGTATCCTGTATAAGCTAAGTTGCTTAAATGTTACAGGCAAATAAAAATCTAGTTTCATGAAGACCCCAGGTGATTCTTAACAACTGTGTAGGCCAGAACCTATAGCATTGCAAGCTGTTTCCAAGAAATACACTGATCAATATTACGCATTTCATTTCATTTCATGTCTGAACTGCCCTCTCTTCCAAGGCAACCCAGGGTGATATACAATGGAAAAAATGAAAGAACAAGAACCATCTCCTAATGTAGATAACAAAACATAGCTTTGAAATAGGAGAATACAAAGGTGTTTTTTCATGGGGACTGCATATATTTGTTGCACAATTTGATAAGTGCATTTGCTTATGTAGTTGTATAAGACTAAATATGACATAATAGGCATCACATAATAGGCATCACTGAAACCTGGTGGGATAAGTCCCACGATTGGAATGTAATAATGGAGGGATACAATCTATTTCAGAGAAACAGACCAGACAAGAAAGGAGGAGGAGTGGCGTTATATGTCAGGGATGTGTATACCTGTGAAGAGATCCAAGATTTAGAACCTCAAAGCCAAAGTGAGAGCATTTGGGTCAAAATTAAGGGAGAGAAGAATAACAGTGACCTCATTGTGGGAGTTTACTATAGATCCCCAAGCCAAACGGAGGACATAGATGATGCCTTCCTGGAACAGATGGCCAAGCATGCAAAAGGAAGGGAGATAGTAGTAATGGGGACTTCAATTACCCGGATATTTGTTGGATGTCAAACTCAGCCAAGAGCATAAGGTCAAACAGATTCCTCTCTGGCCTTGCAGACAACTTCATTGTCCAGAAAGTGGGAGAAGCAACAAGAGGAACAGCCATTTTAGATCTGGTCCTAACCAATGTTGATGACCTGGTTAGTGGGGTAGAAGTGGAAGGATCATTAGGCGCGAGTGATCATGCTCTTCTGAAGTTTACTATACAGCGGAAAGGAGCAGCCAAGCATACTAGGACTCAATTTCTTGACTTTAAGAAAGCCGACTTCATAAAACTTAGGGAAGTGCTGGGTGAGATCCCATGGACAGTAATACTAAAAGGAAAGGGAGTTCATGATGGCTGGGAGTTTGTTAAGAGGGAGATAGTAAAGCACAACTTCAGGCAATACCAATGAGACGGAAACATGGAAGGTGCCTAAAGAAGCCAGGGTGGCTATCTAAAGAACTTTTAACTGAGTTAAGATTAAAAAAGGATGTGTACAAAAAATGGAAAAGGGGGGAAACCACCAAAGAGGAATTCAGACAAATAGCCAGCACATGTAGACACAAAGTCAGAAAAGCTAAAGCACAGAATGAACTCAGGCTTGCTAGAGAGGATAAAAGCAACAAAAAAGGCTTTTATGGGTATGTTCGTAGCAAAAGGAAGAACAAAGAAACAGTGGGGTCACTCAGAGGAGAAGATGGTGAAATGCAAACAGGGACACAGAAAGGGCTGAACTCCTCAATGCCTTCTTTGCCTCAATCTTCTCCGATAAAGAAAACAATGCCCGACCTGAAGAATTTGGAGCAAATGATTCAGCAGAGGAAACACAGCCCAGAATAACTAAGGAGATAGTACAAGAATACTTGGCTAGTCTAGATGTATTCAAGTCTCCAGGGCCAGATGAACTGCATCCAAGAGTATTAAAAGAACTGGCAGATGTGATCTCAGAACCACTGGCAGTCATCTTTGAGAATTCCTGGAGAACAGGCAAAGTCCCGGCAGACTGGAGGAGGGCAAATGTTGTCCCTATTTTCAAAAAGGGGAAAAGAGAGGACCCAAATAATTACCGCCCAGTCAGTCTGACATCAATACCAGGGAAGATTCTGGAGCAGATCATTAAGCAAACAGTCTGTGAGCACCTAGAAAGGAATGCTGTGATCACCAATAGTCAGCATGGATTTCTGAAAAATAAGTCATGTCAGACTAACCTGATCTCGTTTTTTGACAGAATTACAAGCCTGGTAGATGAAGGGAACGCAGTGGATGTAGCCTACCTTGATTTCAGCAAGGCATTTGACAAGGTGCCCCATGATATTCTTGTAAAGAAGCTGGTAAAATGCGGTCTTGACTATGCTACCACTCAGTGGATTTGTAACTGGCTGACTGACCGAACCCAAAGGGTGCTCATCAATGGTTCCTCTTCATCCTGGAGAAGAGTGACTAGTGGGGTGCCACAGGGTTCTGTCTTGGGCCCGGTCTTATTCAACATCTTTATCAACAACTTGGATGATGGACTCAAGGGCATCCTGATCAAATTTGCAGATGACACCCAACTGGGAGGGGTGGCTAACACCCCAGAGGACAGGATCACACTTCAAAACGACCTTGACAGATTAGAGAACTGGGCCAAAACAAACAAGATGAATTTTAACAGGGAGAAATGTAAAGTATTGCACTTGGGCCAAAAAATGAGAGGCACAAATACAAGATGGGTGACACCTGGCTTGAGAGCAGTACATGTGAAAAGGATCTAGGAGTCTTGGTTGACCACAAACTTGACATGAGCCAACAGTGTGACGCGGCAGCTAAAAAGCCAATGCAATTCTGGGCTGCATCAATAGGAGTATAGCATCTAGATCAAGGGAAGTAATAGTGCCACTGTATTCTGCTCTGGTCAGACCTCACCTGGAGTACTGTGTCCAGTTCTGGGCACCACAGTTCAAGAAGGACACTGACAAACTGGAACGTGTCCAGAGGAGGGCAACCAAAATGGTCAAAGGCCTGGAAAAGATGCCTTATGAGGAACGGCTAAGGGAGCTGGGCGTGTTTATTATTTTTTAAAAAATAATATTTATTACTTTTATAGATTACAAAAAGAGAAAAAGAACAAGAAAGAAAAAACAGGGGAAAAAACAAAAGAGAAAAGAAAAAAGAAAAAAAACAATACAATACAATATATAAACAATACAAAACACACCCTAAGCTCAAAACTAAACACCTTAAACTAAGCTAAACAAACCCCACTCCCTAGCCTTAACCCTAAATGAAACAAAACAAAAACAATTTAAAAACATACATAATCTCTTTTCCATACTCTATCTTTCATTCCCTTGTTTCCTCGACCTCCTCTCACTTCCCTTTTTGTATTCCACTTCTATTAATTGTTTCAGCAAATCCTTTCCATCTTTCTCCATTTTCTGTAATGTTGTAAATAACGTATTTTTAAGTTTATTTTCCATTAAAACTAAAATACTTATATATGCTTAACTCCTTATAACATTTCTACTAAGCCATAAAAAATACAAAAAATCATTCCACCATTTTTCTATGACTCATTAGTTTTACCATAAGTCTATACATAAACTTTAAATTTTCCAATCTTCTTCCACCATCTCCTCTCCCAGGTTTCGGATTCTGCCAGTCCTTTCCGTCAGCTCCATAAAGTCCATCAACCTGGTAATCTTATGTCCGAGGCTCTTAACTCTTTTCCAAGTCCCTTTCCCTTCTGCAGGTCTTCTTCATTTTATTTAATGCTAAAAAGCAAATCTCGGGGAAACTCCAACCTGTCAATCCTTTTCTTCCTTCTGAACAAATCAGCTAAATTTCCATAGTTAAAGCTACAGTCCATATTTCAGGGCATATTTCAGGATTCCTCCAAGTCCAAAGGCCCCCAAAACTTCAATCTCCTCCAGGCCCGAGTCCATGTCCCCAAAGTCAGTTAATCCCTGCATAGAGGGCTCTTTCCAACTTTCCTTCTTTAATCCAAACCGGGATCCATTCCTCAATCATAAAAGGCCTCAACTTATAGTCCTCAATTTGCTTCTGTAAAGCCACAGATCTCACTTGTATTATTTTATGTTCAACAACAGCAGCATTCTCCTTCTCCTCCACCATTTGTCCTGCCAAAATTCCTGTACCAAGTCCTGAATTATTTCTGTGTTGGTGTTAGCTTTTTGACTCAAATTGGTCACTTTCTGTTCCAAATTATCAACTTTAAAAGTCATGTCATCCATCTTCTTGTGAAGTTGTCCCAGCGAACAGCTTATCTTACATAAAACAGTCACAATGGCCTCTCCTGTCAACATTTTTAAATGGTCCAAGGTCGCTCTCTGGTTCTCAGAATCCTTATCTGCAGCTGGGAATCCCCAGTTACACTCCTGTTACAGTTTCAAAAGCTCCCTCTAGAGGGAAACAGTCTCCACTTGTATCAGTTCTTTCATACATTAAAGATAAATTTTCAGTTACTTTTCCTCTTTTTTAAGCACAGAAAAGGACAATGGAAGCAGTATCTTACTCTTATTTAGCTAGCTGTCAAATCCGTTCTGTCAAATGCACTCTCTCCAAACGTCATCTGGCAGCCCGTTCCCAGGTTCAGAGCAGTGGTAATTTAATTTTTCACTCTCTCCTGCAGGCTCACTAGATCCAAAATTTCCCCCTCTTCTCCTGCTTCCAAGGGGGGTTTTGTATTTTAAACCGGTGGAAATTTAATCCTTTGCCAAAAGTTTTGAAAGGCTTTAACTTGTAACATCTTTGCTTCAGTCTATTTACAAAAACGGGAGGCGGGCTTCCTGTTTACAACCTTCCCGTTTCAATGCCAAATTAAAGTATTTAAAAATCCAATTTTCCGTTTTACTCACGCGTAGTTGTTTAAAATCCAATTGTCCACAGGAAAAAGTCAGCGCTCTCCGGCAACAGCAATGCGGCTTCACTCCGTGAAAGAAGCAGTCGATTCAAAGCACCGAGCCACTCACCCCACGTCGCTCCGGACCCCCAAAACAGGGTTTCCCCGTGAGTAGGGGAGGCGCAAAAGGTGCCAGCCGAATCCCAGGTTCACAAGCTTCTCCCGCTTGTGATTTCAGTGGGTCTCCACCTTCGCCGTGGCGGTCAGACCCTGTTTTTCACAGAGCAAGTTCCTTCCGAATGGAGGAGCTCCGCCATTGCCGGAGGCGCCAACCCGGAAGCCCTGGGAGCTGGGCATGTTTAGCCTGGAAAAGAGGAGGTTAAGGGGTGATATGATAGCCATGTTCAAATATATAAAAGGATGTCACATAGGGGAGGGAGAAAGGTTGTTTTCTGCTGCTCCAGAGAAGCGGACACGGAGCAATGGATTCAAACTACAAGAAAGAAGATTCCACCTAAACATTAGGAAGAACTTCCTGACAGTCAGAGCTGTTCGACAGTGGAATTTGCTGCCAAGGAGTGTGGTGGAGTCTCCTTCTTTGGAGGTCTTTAAGCAGAGGCTTGACAACTATATGTCAGGAGTGCTCTGATGGTGTTTCCTGCTTGGCAGGGGGTTGGACTCGATGGCCCTTGTGGTCTCTTCCAACTCTATGATTCTATGAAGACAGTGTGGTAGGAATATGCCTTTTTAAAACAGGAAATAATGCAGTATATATTCCTAATACTTGAAGAAGCAAATACAATAAAAGTTGAAGCTGAAGTTAAGGAAGTCTCCATAAAACAAAGCAAAAACCCCTGAAATTAAAGTAATTAATTTTGAGACTTTTAATGAATAGTGTGAAAACATCTTTTTGGAGTAAAGTGTATTACAGAAAGCGTCTCATTAAGCTGGATAAATTGCAACATTAAGTGTCCATGGTTTAATAATGTGATTTTCTCTCCCTTTTATTAGAGAGAATATTTTTGAGTCATGTGCCATTACAGAAAATTAAATCAGTATCTCCAGCAACACTCAATTTAAAATCCAAAAACAACAACACATATCCTCCTTTCAAGGTTTAAAGAACTACATAATATTGGTTGGCTTCTTGATGCTTTTAATGAACTTTTTAGGTCTGATAGGAAAAACCTGGACATTTCTGTGAGTAATGATCTGTTGGCTTGAGTGGATCTGTTGGTCTGCATATTTAGTTTAGTGATTGAACTCTTAATTTTAAAATACTTCACCAACGAAGGTTAGAGCCAAGTTCACATGCTTACTGAGTGATCATCATCATGCAGTGACTAGAGTGGGGAAGGGCAATTGTACTTACTAGGAATATGTATATGGACCTCCACATGGCCATGGTACATGCAATATGCTACTGTATGTGGATAGGGGAGAGGAGGGATGTGTTTGATTCATGCACAGCTGATCACCAATACAGTAAAATCAAACGGTGTTCAAGCTTCTCATAGGCATTGTGAGAGCAGGATGCTGTGAGAACATGATGCTGGACTACACGGGCCATTGGCCTGATCCAACAAGGCTTGTCTTAAGTTCTTAACGGTTTTGGTTTGACATAAACGTTTCTCTTTCTGTTGACTGTATTTTTGTTATCTTGACTCGTCTACCCCTTTGTTTTTGTTATATTTTATTTGTTTAATTATTTGGATTTTAAATTGTATAAATTGTTATCTCAGTTGTCCTCCAAAGCAGCCAATGAGCAGGACATGGATACACTTTGTAAAGAATGAATGAATGAAATGGGCTTAGCCTTCCATGTGTGAGGTACCATAGCAGAAGAATGCTCCAGTTGACCTGACTAGAAGTCAACCTGGTCAGGTAAGAAAGGGCAGGGAAATGCTAGCGACACCAACGCTCAGCCCCAGTGGGTAAACCGAGGGAGGAAAGTGCCTTCATTCTTCCTCTTAAAGGATTCTAAGTTCATACAGGGCGAATGCCTGAAAAGCGCTATTGATATACCACCAAAAAATAGATGTTCTGTATGTTTAGTTCATACTTTCCTCTTTATACCCTGCCTTTTCACTCAACGGGCATATAATGCAGCTTACAGCCGTAACATAAAATATTCTGTACAATCTGCAAACACAAAGTGACATTTCAGTAGAGAAAGCTTGAACAGGACTGTGTGATCCCCATTCCCCCAGATGAATTCTAAATGACATGGAACAGCTTTATAAGACAAAGTATGAAACTCCACCAAATGGCTTCTTTTATGGCTACCTTAGATCCTTCAATCCAATGAAAAATTGAACACTTGCCTCATTCTACAGTTGAGTGACTTGCCTGAGTCATTGGTTCCACTTCTGGGAGCTTTGAACACAAGGCATTTTGGTCACACTTTTTCCCTCTTAGGTATCCTATTCAGTGCTAAAGTATAAAATGGATTTCATTAAAAGTGAAAGTAATAGAAAGCTTACATCGTGCTCTTGTGATGCAAATATTAGATGAAATGACACGTCGCATACTAAACGATTTCAGTTTTTCAAAGCAGTCAGTTTTGAGGCGTTGCATTTAAAGTAGTTGGAAGAAATCAATAGCATACCTGCTGCAGCAAAACATCCAGGAGAATCTTTTGAGGGAAAGGAAATCTTTTGACATATCCATGCTGATATGGATAAAGTTTGCTGCTTGTGTCAAGAAACCTAATCTGCCCATAGGAAGCTGCCATTACTGATCAGTGGTTCATCTATCTCAATATTGTGTACACTGACTAGCAGCAGCTATCAAGGGTTACAGACATGGGGCTATCCCTATCCCTACATGATGCTGGGGATTGAATCTGGGACCTTCTGCGTGGAAGCAGATGCTCTACTACTGAGCTATGACCCTTTCTCAAATTTATCTACAAAATGGTGAAGTGGACTTTGTGGTATGAGAGTCAACGTTGCAGCCTATCACTTACCATTTGGGGCAGAGCCAGAAGCAGCACATCCAGTGGGGCAGAGCCACAGTACTAGCTTCCTGGTGGTTATGTCACTGCCACGTACCACGAGGGGTGGTAGTGAGGCAACAGGGAGGTCAGAGTGGTGTGGGTGCACCGGAAAAAAACAATCCTTTGCTTCTGCTAGTGTGCCCTGCACTCAACCTCTCCCAGTAAGCAGGAACAATACCTCTGCTGGCATTGCATCTCCTCCCCACTTCTGGGCAAAGGATAGCAGCACTACCCAGCTCACCATTAAAACTCCTAAAAAGCCCCAACATCAGTCTATTGGTGTCTTGTTCGATGAATGGAGTCTGCATATACAGAGGCAGTATATCAGAGGCATTGGGCCTGTAATTAGAATTAGCTGGATTCATTAGAATTAGGACTTGGGTCTGATCCTGTAAAGCAGTTCTTGAGCATTGCTTTAGCAGATAGGCGCACGCACGCACGCACACGCACCATTTTCTGTATAAAATATGCATTTATGAAAAGAAATGTTGCAATAAAAAGGGACTTCTGCATGATTAAGTGAGCAAGATAGGCTGCAATTCTAACCCTTCTTACCTGGGAGTAAGCCCCACTGAATTAAATGTGACTTACTTCTTAGTGCACATGTTTAAAATTGCAGCTGTAGATTGTTTGTGGCGGGCCATTAGTCACATCATTAACTTTGCCTTTAAGGTGCTACAAGATTCTTCATTGTTCTTGCTGCAAATGGCTAGCAAGGCTGCCCCTCTGGAAATTCATTCACTTTGAACAGGAACACAGAGGGAAGATAACTGAATTGTAAATATTTGTTGGTGTCTGTTGTGTACCATGAAGTATTAAAAAAACAACAACATCCATATGAGTGGTTGACAAAACAAGAAAAAGACTTGAGCAACATAGACCAATAGCAGCAGAATAGAAAATATTAGTTGAAAGTGTGAATGAATATTGGAACAGACTGAGGCATTTTCATAAATTTCTGGTGGCAAAGAAAATAACAAAACAGTACATACAAATGTGTGTGTGTGTGTGTGTATATATTTATAAGATCAAAAACATTTTAAAATATTAAGAACATCTGAAAACACAAAGCCGTATAAATATTAATTTCAAGGTTACCAGGAACCGTGTCTTGCAGCCATCAAATTGCCAAGGTATAATAAACAGGCAGGTAATAAATATGGGAGAGGGGCCAAATAATCAGCATGCTCTGTAGTTTAATTTTTAGCGCCAGATTTTATTTAAAGTTCTTACAATTATTGCCAACCCCAAAACTGCTGGTGTTGCTACTTGAAGTTCTGCTAAGTTTGCTAATGGAAGAGTTGCTAGAAGAGATAAATATGTCTGAGTATTTAACATAAATATTGTGGCCAAAAAATCCTAAGACCACCTTTAATGCACCAAGAAGGAAGCAGTGGACTGCAGTTGCAAGCAAAACTAAATAAAGAGACTTGTTGAAGATGTTAGTGTTTAGTTTCAGAAGTATCCTAGGGAAATATGCTACATAGGCCAGTACTGGTGCAGCTGCGATGTGCAGAAACCATGAGGGATTGCATTATTGACGCTGAATCCATATTGAATACAACATATTTAATGTACTTAGGCAACTAAGGACCTACCGTATTTTTTGCTCCATAAGACGCACTTTTTTCTTCCTAAAAAGTAAGGGGAAATGTCTGTGCGTCTTATGGAGTGAATGCGTGGTCCCTGGAGCCGAATTGCCCAGGGGCGAAAAGCAGATCGTGCTTTTTATTTTTAAAAAGAGGGAGGGGGGTGTTGGAACAAAGCCACTTAGCAGCTGATCAGCAAGCGATTGGGAGGGGAGATAAGGGACTCTAGCAATAAAGGAGGCTGCCACAGCATGAACCACAAAAATCAAACATCCACTGTTTCGTTCAGAATATTTCCCCCCTTTTTTTTCCTCTAAAAACTAGGTGTGTCTTATGGAGCGAAAAATACGGTAATTGCATGCTACATAAATGATGTGATCTTAGAGTTTGTTAGAAATAACTTACATCTTAGAGTTTGTTAAAAACAACAACAAGTGTGTAGGGAAGTGGGGGCTAGGCCTTTGTTTCCCAGCCTCTCCCACAGAGCAATTACCATTAGAGGGGAAAACTTCCCATTGGCTCCAGTGTTGATTGCAAAGGTGCTAGGTGGTTTTTACCCAGATCACAGCTGGAAAAAAAGACTTAAACCAACCTTCCTGGCACACAGAGGTGCTAGTCACAGCCACCCTACACATATAAACACACCTGGTCATTAATTTTTCAAAATCCACAGCAGGACTGCTAATCACATCGTTCACATAGCATGCTGGTATGTTAACTGAGAGCAGCTACCTTGTCAAAAGCTTTGTAAGGAAAGGTAGGCTGAAATGACATAGGACATCTGCAGGGGGATAGGAAATCAGCAGTAGAACATTGTGAACGAAGACATCTGCTAGATTAGCACAGATGGGCTTGTGATAACTTTATGAGAGCAGCCTAGGTTTTCCCATCACACAGGAAATTATCTGATTAATTTCAATATACAGTCAGTCTGCAAATATTAGTCTCCATTCGACATATTCCTAAGTATTTCCTATGCTGGATCTTCAGATGGCTTAAATCAACGTAGTACAGAACAAATTAAGGCTACCAGTAGGGATGGAAGGATTGATCAGTTTTGATTCTCTTAGTTTCTCATTTTTCTAATCTTAAATTCAGCTGCCATGTTTCTGCAGCAATTTGCAATTTTTTTTAAACGATCATTATGGAAATGCTTCATTTTAGTATGATTTCTGCAGTTTTGATTAATATATGTATCTTTTGCAAGTAGCTTCTAATATAATGCATTTTCTATGCTATCTTCAGTAATATATTCATTTTTAAAAGCATTTCCCCATTATATATATAGTACTGTACAAATAGTTTTGAGATACTTTTTGTGCGGTACATAGGAAACTGCCTTATACTGAGTCAGACCGATGGTCCATCTAGCTCAGTGTTGTCTACACAATGGTTGTCAGAGGCTCCTCTGAGTTTCACTCTTTCAGCCATCCCTGGAGATCCTGGAGCTTGTATACAAAGCATGTGTTTAATCACTGAGAATCGTGCTTTATCAGCGTGCAAGAGTACACGTGTGACACTGCAACACTGCAAAAAAACAAAAATACAAAAATCTTGAGGCTACCATATTATGATTGCTTTAACTATCCTCTTTTTTTGGTGGGGCGCAGTGTTTATCTCTCCCTCTCTCTCTCTCTCTCTGTGTGTGTGTGTGTGTGTGTGTCTGTGTGTGTATACATCAGTGACATCAAGTGGAGGGTAGGTGCAAATTAAGTGAAGAAACTCAAAGCTGTAGCAAATTGAGCATGCTTCAATGCCAGAATTATAGAAATACTTCTGGTTAAATGGACTCTGGAAGAGTAAAAGAAGAAGAAGAGTTTGGATTTGATATCCCGCTTTATCACTACCCGAAGGAGTCTCAAAGTGGCTAACATTCTCCTTTCCCTTCCTCCCCCATAACAAACACTCTGTGAGGTGAGTGAGGCCAAGAGACTTCAAAGAAGTGTGACTAGCCCAAGTTCACCCAGCAGCTGCATGTGGAGAAGCGGGGAAGCGAACCCGGTTCCCCAGATTACGAGTCTATCGCTCTTAACCACTACACCACACTGGGTGAATTTATGGAACACAAGGAATGCAATGTGGACAATCTATTGCTAGCCCTCATTGAGGCAGTAATTGATGCAAAAGGGGCCCAAACCAAGTACTGAGTACATATGCATGCTTCTACTTCTCAGAGGTCCAACATTGCTCTATTTGCAATCCTTGTTTTGCTGATTTCATTTAATCTAATTTTCTGAGATTGTTAATCTGGGGTTTTCATCAGCTGTACGCCATCATCATCATCACAATTATAACAAATAAAGGCTTGACATATCTCACTTTGCATGTCATGAATCTATCTCATATATTAGTTTCACCTTTTAAGTTGAATTACTGAAATAAATGAACTTTTCCACGATATTCTAATTTTCTGAGTTTTACCTGTAAGACCACTCCATATACATTTGTGTAACTAAACAAATAATACCATACTTAAAAAGAAAGAAAAATCTTTGTAGCCAAGGTTTAGGCATCACATTATGCTTCTCATCAAAGTCTGCTTTGCTTGCTTACTGTCTTTTGTGTATATTTAGATGCTGATTGAGCAAAATCTGGTGAATTAATTACTAGCATAATTATGTAGCATTGGTTAAATTATTCTCGATTCCCTGATTGATGGGAGACGACTCAGCAGTTTTACCACTCACACAAAGCTTTACCTGGCTCCAAGGCCTCATTTATTCAACCATTTTCAAGAAACTCCCACTGCCCAATTTTTTCAGGTATGCTGAGGGCATGATCCCTGCTCTTCCTGTGACTGGGCTTTCTGTCTTGCCCACCACCACCATTGCTCCTAAGCTCCAGGGGGCAATGAAAGAACCAGAGATCAAAGTGGGGCTCACAATGGGTTCATTGGGGGTGGGGACACCGGCAAGGCATGTCTGAGATGAGGCCCCTCAGGCTGCCTTTGGACTGGCATGCAGTGTTAGAAACTGGGATAGAAAAGCTAGGAGCCAAATGGCTCCTGGGACTTGGGTTGTGGGCGCCAAAACAGAATGTCTAGTCACCATTTGGGTTGGAAACACTTTATATTTATTATTTTGATAAGCATGAAGCAAAGCACAATTCACCTAAGTGACACATTGTTAGTACCACATTTTCAACATAAATTGTTAATACATGTTTAATTAGGTGTTTACAATAAAAATATTGGTACCATACTTCAGTTTTCAAAACACTCTACTTAACTCCTTAACATCTATCCTTAACATATACTTTGAGGTTTCAAAACACATACGTTTCTGTAATCCTTGAGTGTCAGCCAGGCACAAAAAATGGCACCCAGACTTTTTTAGGTGCTCGCAAATGGAGAATCCTTAGGCACAAAATGTGTCTGGCGCCCTGCTAATTTTGAACCCTGCTAGCATGGTTTTCTCTTTGTCTTCAGTGGGAGCAGGATCTGAGTGAGCTGGGATCCTGACACTCATAACATTAAATAGGTTGAAGCACCTTAAACTATAAAAAACTTTATAGCATTTTTGTGAATGGGATTTATATTTTCTTTTTGTGCGCTGTTGGTGTTTGACTGTGGATCACTTCTAAAACCTTGGTTGCCCTACATATGAATTGTACTGCTTTTATGAGCACTTGCAAAATACAAATTATTCAAGCTTCCTGACTTCATTTATAGCTACAGGGGATCCTCTCCCTCCCACCCTTCATCAATTTTTCACCTCTAATCGGGAGGTCTAAGGAATAAATACAGCCCTGGTGAAATAAGAGCTTCTTCTTTCTGTCTTTAATGATTGAGAATGTGTAATACTCATTTGGAGTGTAGTGTCCTTTTAATCAAAACAAATAGAGTAATTTCAGAGACCTACACCAGGTAACCTTTAGAAAGGAGGATAAAAATCATTACTGGGAGATAATAAAACAATAAAGCAAATCCATTTCTTTTCATTTCCCTGCATCCAGTGGCATTTTTATTCGTACAAAGATCAACCTGGATTAACTTCCATTCTCTTTGATTAGCCCTTATTAAGGTGATAGCATTTCTGCAGCACATCAGTGTTGGACATACACGTACTTTTAACAACCACCGTGAAGACGTGAGTCGGGTGAAAGGGGAGCGGGAGCCTCACACCTTCTGTACGTGGTGTTAAAGCCATTTCTCAGATGGAAAGTACAATGGTGCTCCTGGGCATCTGTGGTTCAGGGCCTATTGTGAAGCTACATGTATACAGGGGTATTTAAGATCCATTGGCTGATTGTAATACGAAAAAGAAGCTTTTGGCAGTTTGCAACTTTGATCTGGGAAAGCATGCTCAGTCCTTTTTCCAGACTTCATTTTCGGCTCCGGGTTGCACTTCTCCAGGAGGGGTCAAGACTGGATCTTTTCTCAGAGTAAGGCAGGTGCTGCTGTTGCTTCACCACAGCAGCTAGAATTTTTCTTTCAAGGTTAGTTAAAAGTTAATTTAGTAACTTTCAGTTTTAAACTAATTTTTTAAAAGAATTTCCAGCTGCAATAACAAGGCACTCTCCTGGGCCATCTTACCCATAATGTCTTGCTCTAAGGAAGGACCTCTTCCCCCAGCGTAAGAAAAAGAAGGGGAGGCAGAGGATCAGACCAATGGCCCATCTAGTCCAGCATCATGTTCTCACAGTGATCAACCAGATCCCTCAAAGGGAAGCCCACAAGCAAGAGGACTCTCCCCTTCTGTGGTTTCCAGCAACTGGTATTCAGAAACATTACTGCCTCCAGTTGTGGAGGGCAGAGCATAACATCATGGCTAGTAGCTATCAATTGCCCTCTCCTCCATCCATTTGTCTAAACCAAGAGAGCCACGCCAGAGTGGTGGGTGGCGGCAGCAGTGGTCAGTGAGGCAAATGAGTAGGGCTCTACCACCCCTGCCACCCCTTACCATTTTATACGGTTGCTTCATGAAAGTACCAAGCCTGAAATTCAGAATGCTGCATACTAGTTGTAGGAAAGAACTGTGGTTGGTAGGAATACAGACAAAAGGACTTATATTGAAATGGATTGTGTCTGGGAGAAGCCAGGGAACCAGTAATAATTGTTCTACATGTAAAACAGACAGATTAAACACTGCATAATTGACAGCTTCCCTCACAAAGAAAAAAAAAAAGATTTGGTAAGAGTTGAAATATGAATGAATTTTATTGAAGGAGTGATCGTATCCCACCGGAGGAAGATTTTAATGCATCCGTGTATGTTCCGACAAGGACACTGCATTGTTAAGAGACTTAGTTTTACCTACTTCAACTTAGGTTTACCTACTTCTCAAGCTTCTTTTATGCAGATTGAGGCCATTGGGGAAACTGAATGAAATCTAATTCAAAAAGAAGGAAAAGGTAGTGGAATGATGATGCACCACTCACCTTATAGCTAGCCAAATAAAATAAATTAAAATGGACAGGCCAGTTGTTGGAAAATTTAGTTTCCTCCAGCACTGAGAATCTTGGGAGCCTAGTCAAACATCTATTGAATTAAAATGTCTTCACTGTTGCTTTTTAGGTTTGGAAAAAAAACATGATAAAGGTGTGCAAAATGAACTGTATGGACAAAGTAGATAGAGAGAGATTTTTCTCCCTCTCTCATTTCATGAGGACATGGGATAATCCAATGAAGCTGAATGTTGGAAGATTCAGACGAGACCAAAAATAAATAAATCACAAGATGTAGTGATGGTCACCAATGCGAATGGTTTTAAAAGAGGGTAAAGCAAATTAATGGAGGATAGGAAATCCAATGGCTACTAGCCATAAAAGCTATGTTCTGCCTCCGGTGTTGGGGGCAATATGTCTTTGAACAATGGTTGTTGTGAATCTCATAGGCATCTGGTTCGTCACTGTGGGAACAGGAAGCTGGACGGTGAGCCTTTGGACTGATCCAGCAGGGTTTTTGTTATGTTCTTAATTATCCAAATAACTTGAGTGTTTCAACAGCTGGGAGTGTTTCATTACCTTCCTCTCCTTATTGGGAGAATGTAGCTATATTACAAATTAAAACACAACTATTACTTTTGGGGTGGGGAGGGAATATGGATGTCTCTTGTTCTTTCTAGTCTTGTGTGGCTCACCAGTAGGGGTGCTTCTGCTTCAAGTCTCAGAAGTCAGTCCTATTGAATTCAGTGAGGCTTTCTTACAGGTAAACAGTGTTAGGATTAGCAGTCCAATTCAGTTATTTCCTGCCTAGGAGGCTTTCAAACAGAAGGGTACCTGCTCTATAAACATTGGATTTCACTGATTTTACCCCAGAGAATCAAGATGAGTAATGTTAATATAACTAATGAAAATGTTTACATTTTGAAAATACAAATTGAATTGAGTAAGGTAGATTTCTAAACATGAATTAGACCTTTGACATCTGATGCATCTCTTCCACTTATGTAGAATATTTTGTTCCAACAGATGCTTCCACCAGTGGAAGGGAAGGGTAATTTTCTTCCATGCTGTTCTGGAGAGTCCCCAACCTTCTGGAATAGATTTTTCAGGGTGTGCAAGAGGCTGCAACAAATATGGGAAATTTGTCTTCCCTCCTCTTACATTAGTAAAAGACTCAGACCACTGGCTGATGATGTATAAATATTTGTTGTTCTTCCTTAGATTTAATTTTTGTATCTGCATAAATAGAGAAGTTAGGCTTCTCTCTAATCCTGCCTGATGATCACATTTCTATGTCGCTGTGTGTACATACAGTGGAATTTGTGGGACAAGATGTGTACTTGCAGTTTTCCTAAAGGAAAGTGAGATCTTTGTGGGACACTGTAGAGTGCAATACATCATACTAATGAGGCGATGGGCTGTTTTATGCTTCACAGTGGAGTTTTTCCTTTGTTCTGCTGATTTGAATCCCTGTTGAACTTGTATCAATAAGACCAGGCATACACTGAATATATGGCAGTTTTCCTTTCGTTGGTTTGTGATCTGAAGATCATATGGGAAGAAATCAAAGGCCACAGTGAGGATTTGTGCTTACTGGAGCAAGTTGCAGGGGGTGTGGTTCTACCAGTCGTTTTATACCATGGTTATTCTTAAGGGAGAAGTGATTGATCATATGTAGCTCAGTGGTAGAAGATATGCTTTGCATGCAAAAATTTCCAGGTTCGATCCCATGTGTCTCTAGGTAGGACTGGGAAAAGCTCCTTCCTGTCTCAAACCCTAGTGAGCTGCTAATTGATCTCATGAAGATCTCTTTTACTGAGGAAGTAAATATGATTTGAGCGTGTCTGCATATTATGTACAGTAGGCAGATATAATGGGATATCCTGGACAGTGCTACCTTGGGCTGAAGGTAGTATGTCATAGTTTTGAATGATTTCCCTAATCTTTTCTCCCCCCTGCCCCCAGTTTAAATACTTTATTGAAATTCATAGATATCATACAAAACATACTAAGATGAAAACAATCGTGTACTAATAATCTTATATATGTTTACAAAAAATAAATTTAAATTAAATTTATGCAATCTCTTTTTTCCTATCTTTTTTGCTAACATAGAATAGATTTCCTATCATTTCCCGATGCATATGACCTTTCTGGTGATGAATGTACTTATCATTATTACCTTACCCTTTCTGTACTTTCTAATACTTTCTTACAACAATTCATACCTTTATGCTTGTTTTTTAACAGTTTGTTTAGACAAGGGTCATTCAAACACTGCCATAGATATTGTATTGCTGTTATTCTGTAGATATCTCTTATACATATCCCATTTTTTAATAAATGATTGTCTTGTATTACCTCTTAGCCTGTTAGTCAATTGTGCCATTTCCGCATATTCCAATAATTTGCACTGCCAATCTGATAAGGTTGGAACTTTTCCCCCTTTCCAATTCATTGAGATCAGTATTCAGGCTGCAGCCGTTGTATATAGAAAAATTTCTCTTAGATTTTTTGGAATGTCTTTACCTAAAATTCCAAGCAGAAAGGCTTCTGGCTTTTTTAAGAACGTTAACTTAAGATTTCCCAAAGCTCTTCAAGAAAACAACAACAAAAACAAACCCAGGCATGTAGTTAATATATGATTAGCACATCAGATAGAGAAGGGGTCTCACAGCTAGTGCCTGTGGGTACACATGTGCCTGCAGAGGCCTTCCCTGTTGCAACAGGGTCCTATCATCCAACTAAAATTTGGCTTGAAAAATCACCCCATTGTAGCCAATAGAATAGGGTATGATATGTACTTAATTGCGGGTGGTGTGTGAGTTCCCCATGACAGTTTCACCAGTCTGCAAATGGGCCCATGGATCCAAAAAAGTTGGTGACCCCTGAGATAGAGACCTAGCATAGCTCTCTTCTTCATATGCTTGTTTATTATATGTGCAGAATATATAATAGATAGATGAAAATTAAGAGAGCATTCACAAACATGACCTTGCGCCTCACTTGCAGTCATCTGTTATCTCAGTCTAGTATCTTTTTCTGCACAATGTATAGAAACAATCTTTGACAGAACAATATGCTCCTTTTGTGGAGTTGTTGCTTTCTTCCTTTTTAGGTGTCAGAATGCTGGGGGCTGTCATGTACTGGAGATGTTGCTAAGACAACCAGCTACTACAACAGAGTTTTGCTTGAAAAGGTGGCAGGCCAGGGACATTGTTAAGCCAGGAGCTTTTGACATCCTGTGGAAACATATCTTTCCTGACAGCAAAAAAAATGGACAGTAGTCATTATTTCGGGGAGAAGTCACGAAGGAACAGCCTCCCTTCTCATCAAACATACTTTTGTATGATTTCTACCTTGTCTCCCAGCTAGCTTTTAAAAATACTCTCCAGCTCCACAGCAAACAAAAGTTCTTGTTTTCCGAAACTCCTAAGGTACCAGAAAGCAAAGTTGCTTCTTGTAAGCAACAACAAGATTGCATTAAATGTGTCCTCTTTTAAGGATTTTTTAAAAAGCCAGCAGTAGGACAACACAACTCTTTTCCTCAGTTATCCCAGTTTTTTATTCAATGGATGTCCTTCCTTTTTCTAGGAGGGTGTGGAGGGACACGGGTATTTCATAGGGTTGTGCACTGGTTTTGACCAAGGTGCAAATCCCAAGCCAAATTGGGCCTATTCAGAGAGATTTGGGCATTGTTCAAGGTGGGTTGAGACAGCCAGAAATCACTACAGTCACTTTTGATGGCCCAGAGTGCTCCAGGGCTGCTAGGGTGTGGCGCATCAGGCAGGAAGGAGAAAGTAGGTGCCCTACAATGCTCCACCTTGCAGGATCACCACCTTCATTCAACAGCTGTTCAGCTGAGGCATCAGTCCTGTGGGGTGCTTACTTGCAAGCAGTTTCCCTGCAGAGAAGTTGATCGTAAAGGAGCATCCTGCAGAATTGAGCCTCACTGCAGGGGAGGGCAGTGGGGAAGACAAATATGTTTTCTCTCTCATGACTGTGTGGGCATCAGAGGGGCAGGGGGCATTGGAGAAGGAGGAGGGAGGTGGGTGACAAGGGTTGGAAGCAGTGAGTGGTGCGTGTGTCCCAGGACTGGATCTGCCGCCACTCCCAGGTGTGGCCCTCATGGGAGAGCCGGCCCTGCTTACCAGGCCCCAGAGTCTAGCATTCCAAACTGCCTCTCACTCAGTGCTGTAGACAGCTTCTCTCCCCGTCTCTTCAACCTGAGCCAACTGATTCAACTACCTGAGCAAGTTTTCGGTCACCAAGCCACTCTGCCTTCCTTTCAAGTCTTATTTCTTCTTCCTCGATCCTCATCCTCTCGTGTCTTCTTCTTCTGACTGTTCACTATAAACACCAGACAACATGGACTTTCACCTCAACAGGCAAATGACGTCCCCCATCAAACACATTGCAAATGACAGAATGCATTATACAAGACCCATCAAAACACAATGAATTTCTTCATAGAGGGAGCCAGGGGAGCCAGTATCCCAAGCCTCTTGTTTTCCCTACCTTGTAAGGGTTATTGGGGGAAGGAGACTGCCATGATTGTAAGATCAGACCCAGCTTCCTTCTATGTGAGAGAAGCAGTTGAGGTGGAACCAGTCTCTAAGAACAGGGAACACTGAGGTTTAAGTGTGTCATCTAGGTGGCCACTGTGTGAACAGGATGTCAGGCTACATGGGCATCAAGCGAGGCTCTTCTTATGCTCTTACGATATTATCAGAGCTGTATTTGTTTCCAAAAAAAGTCATAATATGACTGTGCTTTACTTTTAGTTCATAACTTTATGAGGTGATATTTCCCCCTTCTCTTACTTGTTACTTGCCATGGTGCGGTCACACAGATAAAGATATTCCAATTTCTGACATTTAAAGATTATCAACAGTATCTATCCTTTCTGGCATGTAAATGGCAAAATAATAATTGTAGGGGTTTTGTTTGGCATATCATTGATTAACTTATTTATAAGTACTTAAGTGCTGTCAGCTCTGTTCACAATTCATATGGAGAGCCTTCATAATTCATAAGGAGAAGCACCTTAAATCCAGCATCCAGTGGCAGCTTCTCTCCCAGGGTCAACAGCCACTTCATGAGATTATTTCCCCCAGAACTACAGTATAGGAGGAAAGGGTTAAACTGCACTGCATGTGCAGCAGTACTAAGCCTGATTTCCTCCATACAGCTGCTATTTTTAAAGGAGAGGGGACAACGACAAAGTAAATGCAGTCACACATTTAATGGATTGTCTCTTTCATCCATTAGACAGTAAGCTCCTCAGGGCAGGAACCTGTCTTCTTTACAGTTACCCTGCAAAGCAACAGGCACATCAGTGACTGGTGTTACATGAATAACAACAAGCATGGTGATTTGTATGATTTATTTGCAAGTGACGCTTTCTCAGAGAACAACTAATGACGGTAATTTTGAGAACTACAGAAGCCGATGTACCACACTTTTTCCATTCTAAGAAATAATAACAATAGGTCTGCCACTGATGAGCATGGCTGTCAATTATGAAAGTTCAAACCCAGGTTGTAATATTTGACATAACTTAGTGGGTATCCCAGATTTCCAGCCAGCATATAATCAGTGTAATATACAAGGGGAGGTTGGGAGAAGACTGGCTTGCATTAAAAAATATAATAAATTGAATGCCACAAGTGTGAAGTGAAAATGATTTGTTTATGTTCTTTTGGAGTAAAATATGTTTTAATTTTTCCATCTGCATTGCTGCAATGATTTGAAAGCCAGATCACGTCTACCCAGTAGCATTATTACAAAACTGGAATTAAAGCTCAGCCTACTCAATCTATCTGTATCGTAAAGCAGTCAAGAAAACGCTGATGGTGGTTGAACACTTGATAGTTTGTCAGGCTTTATGAACTAATGGAGTGTAGATCATCAATAATTATGTTAATAATGGATTTATGGTACTATTTTTAAACAAAGGAATAGTGTAAGGAATATGCCTGAATGACTGATTATGAAAGAACCATAACACCCCCACCCCCACCCCCCGTGTATGTGTGTGTGTTGTAAAGTCTGAGGAGTGAAATTCACTGTTATGGGAATGAATTATATGTGATTTTTTAAAAAAGTATAATTCAGTGAATATTGCACTAAAGTAAGGTAAAGGTAAAGGTACCCCTGCCCGTACGGGCCAGTCGTGTCCGACTCTAGGGTTGTGCGCCCATCTCACTTAAGAGGCCGGGGGCCAGCGCTGTCCGGAGACACTTCCGGGTCACGTGGCCAGCGTGACGAAGCTGCTCTGGCGAGCCAGCACCAGCGCAGCACACGGAAACGCTGTTTACCTTCCTGCTATAAAGCGGTACCTATTTATCTACTTGCACTTAGGGGTGCTTTCGAACTGCTAGGTGGGCAGGAGCTGGGACCGAAAGATGGGAGCTCACCCTGCTGCGGGGATTCAAACCGCTGACCATGCGATCGGCAAGCCCTAGGCACTGAGGTTTTACCTACAGCACCACCCGCGTCCCGCCACCCATGTCCCGCGTCCCGCACTAAAGTACACCTTACCAAATTGCTCTTTTTTGCTTGAAAATAGTCTGGATATTTTTGCCCCCTCTCCTTTAGGTAGTAGTCTTTGGGGCAAACTCAGAATATGGGGAACTGACTCATTACTGTTCATCCTTTCCTGCCTCTGTATTAGTCTCTCTTGGTTGCTTTTTTTTATGACCACAATAAGTACCCAAGACACATCCTTCCAGGTCAGGCCATCTAGTCCAGCATCCTGTTCTCACAGTGGCCAACCAGATACCTATGGGAAGTCTGTAAGCAGGACCTGAGTGCAGCAGCACTCTCCACACTTGTGCTCCTGAGCAAATGGTTTTCAGAGGCCACGTCGCCTGCACTTCTCAGTAACACTGTGCAGATGTTCTGAATTGGTATAGTGGATACATTGTGGGTAATGGTCATGTTGACCCTATCCTCTCTTTGGGCCCAACTTGCATTTCTTGAGACCTTGTGCATATGCAACGTTAGAATACATAGAAGTTGGGTACTCTTACGGGGTGGAGACAATAGCAATGATAGCCCGGTGTGAATATAATATATACACTTGCACTGCCAGTCAAAAGTGGCAGTAATGTTACAGTAATCAAGTGATGTTGCAATCATGGCAACAGAACAAGGTTGGGGTGGGAGGCAAGTCCCCAGAATTCCAGCCATCATGAGTTTGATCCCCGTAGCCAGGAAGAGATGTAATGCTTCTGTGGCAATGGAATCAATATGGGGCTTTGCCCAAAGAATATCTCAGGTCCCTGGGCCTACCTTGACACTCCCCCAGTGTGAACGTATTTCAGACTTTTCACTGATCAACAACATGAAGCTGCTGCAGCAAGGGGGGCGGCGGTCTTGTAATCAGTTGAAAATTAATAACTGTGAAGGAAGCCCTCATTCTCAGGTGAATTTACCATTTTCCATCAACTACAGTGGTGCCTCGCAAGACGAAATTAATTCGTTCCGCGAGTTTTTTCGTCTAGCGAATTTTTCGTCTTGCGAAGCACGAAATCCCATAGGAATGCATTGAAATCCAATTAATGCGTTCCTATGGTCCAAAAAAGTCCAAACAAAGCCAAATTTGGTACAACAAGAGTTTATTAAGTGCTCTTTAAAGTCACACATACTGTAAAGAGCATTTCAAAAATTGAAGGAACAATAAATTAAGTTTCTAAACATGACAGAAAAACATTTAAAAATCAACAAAGTGTACAGTACATTTTCTAAGACTCTGGGGGACAACTCGAAGAAGGTTCCTCTTCCACTCTTTGCTTCTTGCTGAAGAACCCCCTCCTCAACTGTTCCCCCAGCCACCCACCACACAGAAATTCAAATCCAGAATTTTTTTAAAAAAACAGCAGAATGGCCCAATGGTCACAGAAAATCATAAAAATGTAGAAAAAAACTACACAAGCTTCCAGATTCTTGCAAACCCCTCCTCAACTGTTCCCCCAGCCACCCACCACACAGAAATTCAAATCCAGAATTTTTTTAAAAAAACAGCAGAGTGGCCCAATGGTCACAGAAAATCATAAAAATGCAGAAAAAAACACACAAGCTTCCAGATTCTTGCAAACCCCTCCCCAACACCAAGTCCTTGAATTCCAAACACCCCAACCCAAAATCCAAAAACCCCCAAAAAAGTTTTAAAAGTTTAAAAGAAGTTTTGGAAAAGCTTCAAAAATCACCAGAGTCTTCAAAAACCTCAAAAAAAGGCTACCACATCGCGTTCTATGAGTTGCTCCTCGAAGTCAAGTCGCAACTGTATTAACGGTGTTAAGAAAAAGGAAGCAAACTTGCAAGACGTTTTCGTTTTTCGTCTTGCGAAGCAAGCCCATAGGGAAATTCGTCTTGCGAAGCAGCTCAAAAAACGGAAAACCCTTTCGTCTAGTGAGTTTTCCGTCTTGCGAGGCATTCGTCTTGCGGGGCACCACTGTATAGTCAGTGGAATGATCTGCAAAAGAAACCCAGGAATATTGATTGAGAAGTATGCATGAAATGAGTTTTATTAGTTGCATCTGTTTATCTACTGCACTATTGTATCCATACATAAGCAGAAATCTCCTAGATTTTAGGAGCAATCATGCAAAATTTGGTTACAATATCTAAAGTGGTGTCCAAATACATAGTGAACAAACATACAACTTTCCAAAATATGTAGTAGATTTGCTGAAAAATCCTTAACTGAGGGACTTGGGCTTCCTCCTACTTCTCCATATACACTACAGCAGAAAGGTAGTCCCACTGAAATAGTAAAATGATGGATTGTTGGCTTGGGATCCTAACTAGCTTTCAAAATTCTAATCTTTGACTGATTTCTGCTTTTTATGTGCATGAGTTTGTGAATGTTGCATGGTTTATTTCATAGTTTCTATTTTCACATTTTTTATTTGTGCTAAACCTCTTGCAGTGTTAACTGGGAACAGTGAGGTGTAAAAAAACAATTAATGTCTGATTTGTTTACATCCTTGAAAAATACCATCTTTTAAAACACAGTCTCCTTTCAAAGAAGGGGAAACCACCATCTAGCTCACCCGAGACATTTAAGATTTGAATGTCATGTTAGAAGCATCCTAATCAGACAATTCCTCCAGCAAGTTCAGTATTACACTGATGGTTAGTAACTTTTCAGTGCTTCAGGCAGTATCCAAGCATGTACTTGACCACAGACCTCTTCATTTACTTATTTTTATTTCATAACATTGGTTGTAGTAAAAGCTCAAAGCACTTTACAGCAGGAATAAAACAATAAGATTATTGGTTAAAAACCACTAATATTAAAAACATTAAAGAAATTAAAATCAACCATGACCTAATGCCAGATTAAACACGATGCATTCTGTCATGTTTATGCTTGCTTAAATGAAATGTTTAAACAGTCACTGAGAAGAGTATAGTGAAGGTGCCTGCTTGATATCAATAGGCAGGGAAATCCAGAGTGTGAGGGGCTGCCATACTAGGGATATAAAAAAGCATTAATTTCCATTCTGACCTTTGCTCATCACTCACAGCACTGCCCCATCAGCCCTTGCCTGCCTGCCTGCCTTCTTACAACCATTCAGGAGTTGGTTCTGCCGGCCATTGACTCTGGCTCCACCTATTGTTGCCCCCTCCCCCGCTTTACACCCAACTAGTCACATTGGGTACCAACCATCACTGAGGGAGGGGCTTGGGGAAGGGTGGTAGCTCAGCAGAGGGTCCTGGGTTCAAGCCCTGGCATCTTCAAGTAGATCTGTGAGAGACCCCTGCCTGAACTGCTGGAGAGCTGCTACCAGTCATTGCCAATGCTGAGTTAGATGGTATGGTTTAGTAAAATGCAGCTTCCTGGGCCCTGTTTCCTTATGACTTCTGAAGTTGTGAGGAGGAGTGAACCCGGGGGGGGGGGGATGTTTGTGGGGGCAGTTTGGGCCACACATTCTTACAAGTATGAGGTGGTGTGATGACTTTTCTTTCTGCTTTTAAAACAATTAAAAGGGAATTTGTGTTCCAGACAGCTGGAAAACTCTGCTCCTCCCACACTACAACAGACAGGTAAGCATTTTCAGCTGAGATCTGCCCATTTAATAATCAGCTGTTGCTGCAACCTCTGTGCTCTCCCTGACTTTGAAGTCAGAGAAACTTCAGAGCTATGGGATTTGCTGAGAGTAGGGAAATAATGCTTCTCAAGGCCAGTGGTCCCTGCCAGCCAAACTCAATCCTATTATTTCTCTTCACCTCTCCTTGAAAATCAATAGCCATTTAAGCATATGGTTGAGATGGTCCTGTGGTTAGGCAAAGCACTTAGTCAACTTCAGGCTTTGAATTTCAAGTATTTTTTACTATTATTAAAGGCTTTAGATAAGTGAAGAGAAGGAAATAGTAAGATACACTGAAGATAAAGAAAAACAATATTATCTAGCAAGCTTTTATGCTTGATCCTAACATTCATTTCAGTAACTTACAACTGAAGTGAAACTCCTCAGGCCATAGAGGATAAAGATAAAGCACACTCAAAGTCACCACATAAAATATTATTTGAGGGAGGATGTCCCGTCAGAAGGCAGCAAAATGGCATATGGGATGTCTTCCCTTGGAGGAAATTGGTGTTTTGCTCTTTCCGTTTGAGGATGGGAGAAGAGGAAGTGTAAATTGAAATGATCCCCATCTTGGGCTACTGTCAAATGAGAAGCAAACACTTATTTGTATATTGAAGAGGATGCTAGACAATTTTGGCCCCAGAGCTTTGTCTTGTGCATTTGCCCCCTATGTACCCTTTACCAATTTTTTTTAAGGAATGAAAAAGGCCCCTATCTTTCATCACTGTAAATTCCCCACCCTAAAAGCCAAGTGACTTTCCTTCCCATCGCCATTTGAGATGCCACCGAATTCACCACCGCTGTTGGAAAGAAAAGTGTCACCCACATGGGGGGAGCATTTGTGCCGTCCTACCTCCACTTTCTTGGGTCATTTGTGTTGCTAGCAACTCTTCCTGTTTCTCCCCGCCCCCTAAATGATAGCAAACCTAACCTCAAGTCCGTCTACTGTTCTTCTCTCTTTCCCCTGACCATGGCTAAACAAGAAGTGGTAGTAATTGCATTCATGCAATTAATCTGCACATCTTTGGTTATGTAAACAGCAGATGTGGGGAGACCTCAGCAGTCTCAGAGATCTGGAGCATGAGCAGAGAGAGTTTAATGCTTCCTCTTCCTACTACAGTCCTGGCAAAAATCCCTTCTTTTAAGTTGTTTACATTTCATGGGAAAGCTCATTTTTTTCTTATCATTCCTATTATGATTACAACTTGCTAGCCACTTGTTCTGCAAAAAGGCCTCCAGGCAACTTACAACATATTTCAGAGCATAAGTAAAAATACATTATAATAAAAACACATTTATGAAAAAGCGTGCAATTCATTAAAAAATACACAAAGCAACCCCCTGCAGAAAGCTTCAGCAGCACAACTAACAGCAATCAATATCTTTGCAGTCTCTCAAAAGCCTTGGGGAAAAGGTAAGTTTTTACCTGACACTGAAAATATGTCAAAGAAGGCTCCAGGGAGACCTCAGTGGGGAGGATGTTTCACAAACAGGGAGTCACAACTGAACATGGAAACTTCCCTTGAAATGCAAAGAGCAGCTTCTGGGAGGGGCCCTTTGCCAGGACTGTGACAGGGAGAAAAGGGTTGGAAGTTGCTCCAGCTTCCCCACAGCTGCTATATACATAACAAAATATGCACCTTAATTGTGTTCAGCAGTTAATGGTCCGTCTCGTTTGGCTTTTTGCCTCTAAGTACATGTAACATTTGCTTCTAGTTATATTATTTCTTTACACAAACATTAAGCCTGTGAAATTATATCTGTTCTTACTGCATTCAGAAAGGCAACCTGCGCACTTTTTAATAGCTACAGTTTAGATTTTTGTTGCAAGACACTTTAAGCTTTGGAGAAGGATAAACATATTTAAATGAGATTAAATAATCTGTGTAATTGAGTTTCATAGAAAGATAGGACAAGATGGAAGCTGGGCCAAATACAGACCCAGTGTGAAATTCTACTACATTCAGGTAAAAGCAGTTAGGCACTCATCTACTTGGATGCTGACAATCTCCCCCCCCCCCCCCGATCTCGTTGTGCATTGATTAACAAAGAGTCTTGTACAGGTAGCTTGCTTTCCTTGACGTTAGAAGCTTGTATGTCACTCAATCCAAGCTGCCTTGTTTACTGACATTGTATCTGTTTCTTATGGGATGATGTTTTCTGCCATTTACTTTTCTCATTCCTTCATACGTCAACTCGATTGGCGGAGCTAGAGCAATTCACCAGACAGGGTCTGTGTTACATTTTGTATTCTCTTTCAATCTTTCCTTGCTGGAAGGAGCCTTGTAGAATCAAAAGCAAGGGAAGGGAAAGAAAACAGCATTCATGTACTGCTGCCTTTTGGTAGTTGAAAAGAACATTTGCCACTTTTAGCTTCCTTTCTCTCTTTCCTCCTAAACTTAAAAGAAAAAATCTATCAAGTGGCATCATCACAAAGCACCTCAAGGAAGAAAAGCAATAATAGGGGTCAACTACAGTAATAAATTTCATAAACACCAGAAATCACACAGAAGCTATTAACATGATGATGCCAATCTGAAAACCTGTAAACGAATGATAAATTTTAATACTCTATTGCTTGCAGTTTTATAATCACAGCAGACATTGTGATTCCTCTGGGATAATGTTATTTTTCTTGTGGGAACTGGTGGTAACAAGGAGAAGGCCATCAAAATACAGGGAGAAGCACATTTGTAGAAAGAACTAAATATATGCATGTACAAATTGTGATTGGCATGATCCCATGAGAATCTATGTGATTAGGGAGTCAGGACTTGTGTAGATTCATAATCCAACTAATTAGAAATAGGCTAACCATTGAAAAACATTCAAAATAGAGGGCAGTAACAACACTGGAAGTCTGGAGGCTAAGGCTGTGCAGTGTGAATTAGAAACCCACCATTTGGATAAGTTAAATAGATGGATAGAATGGAATGGTGGGCATGCCCCAGAGACAATGGAAAAGAGATCTATAATAAAGACATTCCATTCTGTACTTCAAATTCAGGAGCAGATGTCTGACTTCTTGGAGTGTGGTGTACAGTGACAACAAGACTATATTCCCATTGGTTGTAGGGGGAGGAAGGGATGTAAACCTTTGCTTCCATGAACTTCCTAAAGTTAATTTATCTTGGGACCCAAGATTTGGAATGATTCTTACTTCTTCCAGCAGTCCATTGCACCCAATTCACATTGTTCAGCCCCCCCCTCCCCGGTTTCACAATATTCCTGACAATCACTCTTGTTGTTCTTAACTATCTTTCTGGTTCTTGAGCTGATACATAAGGAGCTTTTACAACATCCCTAGGTAGCTGGTGACAGTATCCAGTGGCTGGAGAAACTCCTCTAACCTTTCTCTTAGGAGCTGGTATAACTGCCTTTGGCAAATAGCACCACCTGAAAAATGCATACAGTGTCAGGCCAACGTATGGTCAAACTAAGCCTAAAACAGTTGAAAGGATATGGTTTTCCTTTAATCTTGTTTAAATAATTCAAACTCAGGTTGGTTGTTCAAAAGCTGTTGGGCACAAATCCTGGTGACTTTTGACTGCTAGTGTCACACCCCATATTCCTACCCCCTCCCATTCTCTGGAGAAGCAGCAGCAGCAGCATTCAAATAGCTGAATATGCTTGATTGTTTTGGGCTGCCAGCACAAGGCCAGTGAAAATCTGCCGTGGCCCCACCTGCTTGACCTGCTGCCCTCACTAAGCCTCAACCGGCTGTGCAATTCAGCTTTTCATTTACCATGCTCTATTATCCCATACTGAAAATAAAGTTGTGCATAACATTTACAAACAGATAATGCATCACATGATCTTTGATGCCTGTTTGGCATTGCTGTATGCTAAGGCTATCTTCTTGGCAGACATCTGTTTTGTCCTATCACCACTTGAGTTGCAGGGGGTTGGACTAGATGACCTTTTGGGTCCTTTCCCTTCCATCTCTACAAGTCTATGATTCTGTTTAACATTGAGGGCTTTCAGACACTAGGCTTTCTGGAAAGAGGTTTCTACTGCAATCAGCAGAATCAAGTGGGAAAGCATGGCCAAACTATTTCAGGTTTCAGGAAGGGATTGCAGGTGCGTATTTCTAGGGAGGAAGGAGGAATTCAGATTTGTTTGCATTTTAATCAGAAATGACCAAATTTACGCTTCTCAAAACAATACATGAACCAAAATTGTCATCCTTTGGAATTCACACTTATCCAAATTTTGCAGTGCCGTTATCCAGTTAATGTGCACAATAATGTATGTATCAGGGGAAAATGTGGATTAAAATACATATAGAAGTAAAAACAAAATGCATTACATTAGTGGAAGTTGCTTGCAAATATATGTATATTAGTCAAAACTTCATACAAAAATGTGTTTATTAGGATAAATTCTTGCCAAAACACTTTCAACACATGAAGTGTATGTTTTTAGGACCCACTTATAGTTGTAAGTGGGTTTTTAAAAAAATAATAATGATGATGATGATGTTAATAATGTTATAAACGGCTCTAAAACCTTAGGGCGAAGGGCAGACAATAAATAAATGATAAATTTTCTGGAGGATTCCCCCCCCCCCCCATGGGTAAGAACGTGAGGACGAAATTTGAGATTGCAAAAATGAAAAGAACTAAGACAATGAAATAGATCAGTGTCTCCACCCCTGTTATGTATGCCACCTAGAAGATGTAATGAACGTGTTCTAGATTTCTCCAGAGGGAAGGTCTAGAACAAATGGGTAGAAATAACAGGGAAGTGGAGTTCAGCTAAATGTTCAGAAAAACTTTGTAATGGCAAGAGCTGTTCAACTAGGGGACAGAAACTGCCTCATGGGGTAATGTGCCCTTAAATTACTCAAGATATTTAAGCAGATTGTGGACAACAGTCTTATCAGGGATGCTTAGTTGCAAGATTCTTGCACATAAAAAACTAGTATCTCAAAGTGAAGTCCAGACTAAAGTTTTTTCTGACTTCTAATTTTGTGTATGGATTTGTTTTTAGGGAGCAACACACACACACACACACACACACACACACACGTAGCACAGTCCAGAAAAACAACAGCAACAACAAATTTGCTAACTATTCTGCTGATTGTATAAGTGGTCATATGTGTAAAAGAGAGAAAGGGGATCAAACATACATTCGCAAACAGCAAATTTAAGAACGCATTTGTGAAAAATTTGAATTAGCATTTGGTTTTCCTGATTAATCACATGCTAATTTCAAGTCATTGTAGTACTGCATATGTGAAATAGAGGCACTGGATCCAACTCAAGCTTTTTAAAAAGTTTAAATGGACTAAGCATATATGTTTGTGGATTGGTGACAAGCATTAGACCAAGGAATCTTGATAGTTGGTTGACCAAGGCCAACTAGTGGAGCCAGGTTCACAGCTAAAGCCAGCCAGCCAGCCTCAGCACTGGGCCCCTTCCAATAAACAGTAACAAGGCTCTGAGTGTTTCATCTCTCTTTCTTGGAGATGATAGATAGAGATGTAATCACACTTGCTAGGGCAGAGATAATCAAAAAGCACTACAGCCAACATAGAGTTTATTTTGTTACAGCTGCTATGGTGGATGGTGTGCTTATGAGCCATCTTGAGTGTTTGATCCTGTGAATTAAAAAAAGGATAAACCCCCATGAGCACACAGTAAAAACTGATAAGTCTATATAAAAAAGAAGCTTTTCCACAGCAGAAGTTGGGCATCTAGGGGTTGCAACACATGAAAGGAAGAAATGAAAGTAATCCATTTAGTGTCTGTGACAACAGCTTTAGCCAAAAGGCCAATATACCATTTTAAAGGGGGTTTTTTAGTGGTAAAAGAACAGTTAGAAAATCAAAGACCAAATTAATTCCTCCTTTGCTGTTGCACAGTCTATGATTCTGAGTTGATTATATCTATTAAAAAAAAAAGATATCAATAAAGCCTGGGAAATCAGAAGCCAGTGACAAGCATACTTTTCAAAGAACTAGAGAAATTATCCCATCTTTTAATATTTTTGTCATGTTCCAGGTAGAGTAAGCATCTACAACTGGATGGAGGGCAATCTTGCACAGGGGCAACTGGAGGCAAGCAGCAGGATGCTGGGATCAAGGATTAGGGAGTGAGCCCTTGTCACTAACGAGAGCAGTTTCCTAGACAGCTCATCTATACCAGTGTTCTTCACCCTTGGCTCCCTAATCCCATTGAGTAAGCCATCTGGGAACGATGGGTGTTGCAGTTCAGCAACATCTGGTTATCCAAAGTTGAAGAACACTGATACAGACCATTCAGTACCTGGGAGAGCTCCCATGAATAGCAGCCAATGCTCTAGCAGAGCTCAACTGAACTGTCAAGTTGAGCAAGCCCACTGATGTCCCAAACTCTACCCCTCAAATGTGAGCTAGCAGGGTTTTCCAAGAGGGGAAAGCTCTGGTTTGTAACCATGCACACCCTAATGATACAACTTTGGGCTTCTCACCTGGTCTGCTGTATACATCCTGTGGTTCAGTTGTGCAAGAAGACAGTCAATTTGTACTTATTCATTACTTAGTATGAACATGAAGTTTGCATCTGGGCGGACCATTATAATGTATAGAGGTGTTATCTGATCCAACTTTGGTTATAGGCAACGCAGGCATTTCTATACTGTAATGATTTTCTGTGCTGTATTAGTCAACGCAAACCTTGCCAGACAGCCACTTTATATAGCATTAAAATGGTGACATAGTGTGAGGAAGCTAGCTACCTTTTAGGCCTGCTATAATTGATAAGATGGTCTTGCCTCTCATCACTCAAGAGCATGCCTTTGAAGATATTCACTGGCCATGCTGCCACTCACTGCTAGACTCTGCTATACATTTCTGCATTAAGGATAAGGCTGGATAGTTAAAAGGCAAAGTGACACCATTTCCTAGTCTGTTTTTGTTTTCTTTTTCTTACAATGCAATGCATTGAAAAGTTCTATGGTACTGCATTTCTCTGCTGCCACTCAGATGGCTAGAGCGGGCACTGAACCTACCAACCAAACATGATTAGGCGACTTAATGAGTCAGTGGGTCTCCATCTGCCCCTATAAAGCTGGTGACTTTGGTTTTACTCTCCAGTCTGAGAAAGTGACTATTGAGACATAGACTGAACTTCCCCCAGGCTGCCTTGTCCCCTTTCAGACCACCAGACGTTGAATCTTGAAAACCACAGGTAGCCCATCACAGGAAGGTGCCACCGCTGCTTCCCACTCTGTTGAAGCCTCACTTACCAGGGTCATGCAGCGGCTTTTGGTGAGATCTCAAGTGAGTTCCACAAGATCTTACGAAATCTTGCTGGAAGCCACCGCCAATTTTCCTTGCTTCTCTAGAGGCAGGCGGGGCACCCAGGGGGGTGCTTTCCCACAGGATTTTGTTTCCTGAGGTGGCTGACTCCGTCTGTTTCATGGGCAGGCTGACCCTGTTGATAACTATCAAGGTTATCCATTTGTGGTTGCTAACTTTTCCATGTTTGATTAAAATGTTGAAAATGCAATGCATACATTAACCTGACCTGACATTAAATCTTAAAAGAAGTTCTTTGATGATGCATTTGCTTGACACTACGTTCGTTACTATTTTTGTAAACCTTTTATTCTGCAAGGAAAACACATCTAGATGTTGATTACAGTCCTGATCTCCCTCTCCCCCCCCCTCTCTCTCTCACACACACACACCGCTTTGTATTGCATATGAAAAGCACATCATCATCTTAACAAATTTATAACACGTGGTTAACTATAGGGTATTTTCTTGGTGAGTACAAGTCTGCCCAATATATTTTATGCAGTCATTCATGAAATTTTGTGTGCGTGTTTGTGTGTGTGGTGGCTCATAAATATTTCATATTCTGCTAGCAAGGCTATAAATAAAAGACACTAAACAATTTTCTTTTGATTAACAAAAAAACAACCATTTAGTGGCAGTAATAAGTGGTGTTTGTGGCCTGTGTTGCTGAATAAAATTGCGTTACAGTGATTGGTTACCGCAGCATGTACAATTATTATTTTAATTAATTATCTCATAATTTTAAAAGTTTTCACAAAGAAACTAGGTTTCTGAAGCTCAAAGATGCTTCGCTGAAGAATATTTTTGAACTTCAGAGCAACATTTTTTAATTTCTGCAATGATCGCACACTGGAGAGGTGTTGGGTTCCCCTGGAGACTCAGGCCTCTTCCTTTGAGGGGGTTGGACACAAAGGTCTCCCTGAGAGGAAAATGAAAACTAAATTGGAAGTCAAATATACAGTGATACCTCTGGTTGCGCACGGGATCCGTTCTGGAGCTCCGGTCAGATCCTGAGGAATTCGCAACCAGAGGTGCCCGTTCTGCGCATGCACACAGCACGGTAGAGTGTTTCTGTGTATGCGCACTGCGCATAGAGTGCTTCTGCGCATGCACACGGCGCGTAGAGCGCTTCTGCGCATCCACATGCGGCGAAACCCAGAAAAATACTTCCTGGTTTGCCGTGTGTGTAACCTGAAGGATACGCAACCAGAGGTGTGCGTATCTGGAGGTACCACTGTATAACATTTCAGCAATACCCCTGCACTTTTTTTAAAGGTATACATGATTGTCTCGTTTAAATATCTACCATGGCTTAACACTGACTGTAATCTGTGGGATAATAAGCCTCATATAACTAATATGCTTAAGTCTAATTAATGCATTAAAGTGTTAAGACCATAGAGTAAGCTATCCTGCCAGGTTTAGCTTACCTTTGGAGGAGGACAGCATTTGTTTCCTCAGTCTGCCTGAGAAGCCCAACGAGTGAAGAGGTTTGAGCTGGTTGTTCCAGCTCATGCTGTATGACTCTCACAAGCCACTCTTGTGTTCCTGTGCCAGCAATTTAGGAACTTTCACCACTTTGCTTCTAAGCCAAGTTTTACTGGCTTGCAACTATCTAAAGCACGTGAATCTGATCTTTGAAGTTTGTAAATAAACTATTTTTAACTTACCAAACGTGGTCTTTTTCCATGCTAGAGGAAGAGGGAAACTTAAGAGGAAACTTGGAACGACCTATTTCCACACTATTCTTTGCTCCATGTTTTGTGATTTTAAATCCCTGTTTGGGGTTCTCCCACCAAAGAGTACTTGCCCCAAAGTTAGAGCTTGGCTTCCAGGAATTCTTCTTTCCACCCTTCCATCAGCATAAGCCCCTTATACCTTAATTGAGCAGCTGCAATGTCAGGGAATGTTTAAAAACATTCTAACAGCAAAAAAGCTGTGGGGGTGGCATGCTGTTAGCAGAAGGAAGGATGGCAGAGGCTGGTACCCTTCAGAGGCAGAAAGGCTGAGCTAGAAAGATAAATGGATAATCTGGACCCAAGAGGCAGGGGAGCTGAAGAATGAGGTATAGGATAGGATTCAGAACTGCTGAAGCAAGGGAGCAAAAAGCAGTGGGTTTAGAAGCAGAGAGATGATGCAGGGATGAGTAGAGGGAGAGAAGTACTCCACGCCCAGGGAGGAACAGAAGAAACTTGAGGCTGGGAGGAATGGCAGGCAGGGGAACTTAGGAGAGATGTGGCCCGCTGTTAGGGAGCTAGCAACACAAGGTGACAAAAACATCATTGGTGGACAGAGTTACGGTTGGCTACTGAGTTGAAGCAATCAGCTGAAAGTTTGACTAGCTCCCTGTGCTATTGAAATATAACAGAAAATGGATGTGTAACATTAGAACTGATCCAAGCTGTAGGGTCTAGTTCATGAAGATTTCATGAAAAACTTCATTAGCATCAAATGGGTGCTGTTATTTTTCAGAGCTTCTTTGAAAGGGATACACAACAATTCACTGAAAACTTCTTGCAACGACTGTCAGAAGTACTGCTTGCAGACTAAATTGCATGGTTTGCCTTTTCATTTCATTACAGTAACATAGCCAAATCCATGTAGCTCCATCAAATTCAGCATATGATCTTTGACCCCCTGACTTGCTGTGATTACTTAAGGAAGTATAAAAAAGTGAGGGTTGGTTTGGTTCCAGGGCTTCATGAGCAGTTTTCATGGGGCAGTGTGCTTGCAGATCCCAGTTCCTCTTTCTCTATGGGTTCCCTTGATTTGCTGCAGAAGGAGAAAATAGCAAAACTTGCTTCCTTTCATTTCCATTCATACACGCCTTCCCCCTCCACTTTCATGAAGAGATAACTCCTTCAGTGAGTATAAGGAAACCTTTCAATAGAAGCCATTTGCACCAAATCAGCAGCAATGATATGTGGTGGTGTGGTGTGTGTGTACCACTGATGAATAGTTACAAAAGGCAATGAAAACTATAGGATTAGTATGGGGAGGAGGCTCATTGAAATAACAATTTTGAGGCAAAAATAGAACTGGGAAAACATTTGACTCACCATTATATAAAATTCATCTCTAAGAGCTTTCTTCTGTCAGAAACTTTTCTTCCATAAATGTATATTCCTGTTGTTGAGATAGGTGCATGAATTAGCCTAACTTAATTTCAGAAGGTGATGGCAGCACAATTGTGCTGCCAGAAGCCAAAATGGGGGTTACATATTTAATATATTTAGAAATAGATTTTCTTGTCAAAAGTTTTGTGTGAGGCTGATCTCAAGCTGTGCTCTGTAGGTAACCTGGATTTAATAGGTGAGCAAAGAAATAGTGCACTAATAACTTTTGACTTTGCCTAAGGTGGTTAATTAACAGTACAAAGCTATGCCTATGATTAGGAAGATATTACTGTATCATTATTAATGTCACATTATGAAGGGTGTATTAGTAGTTAATTTGATTAATAGACTATGTATCTTTAGACTCGTTTATATTAAGTATTATCAATATGCTTAATAAAACCCAGAAAATGAATATCATTTAAGTGAGCTTTTTAACCAAGCGGTTTAATTTTTGTAAATCATATTATTTCAATATTGTCTTTTATTGGGTTGGTGTTGTATCTTGACAATTGCCTAGTTGTCACAACTGAGTTACCATCTTCTTCCAGAAATAAAGGTAAAGGTAAAGGGACCCCTGACCATTAGGTCCAGTTGTGACCGACTCTGGGGTTGCGACGCTCATCTCGCTTTATTGGCTGAGGGAGCCGGCGTACAGCTTCTGGGTCATGTGGCCAGCATGACTAAGCCGCTTCTAGCGAGCCAGAGCAGCACATGGAAACGCTGTTTACCTTCCCGCCAGAGCGGTACCTATTTATCTACTTGCACTTTGATGTGCTTTCGAACTGCTAGGTTGGCAGGAGCAGGGACCAAGCAATGGGAGCTCATCCTGTCGCGGGGATTCGAACCACTGACCTTCTGATCGGCAAATCCTAGGCTCTGTGGTTTAACCCACTGTGCCACCTGCCTCCCTCTTCCAGAAATGGTGGCTTTATTAAATATATGATTTCAGAACTGTTTATGAAGAATGCATTGGCCTGGCCATCTTCAAAATACAGAAGTTAGTACTGTGTACTAAGTCAGACCATCTAGTTTAGTGTTGTCCACACTAACTGGGAGTAGACCTGGAAATGGCATGGATTGAAATTGGGGCCTTCTGCGTATAAAGGAGATGCTGTACCATTGAGATACAGCCCTTTTAAGACAGTGGTACCTTGGGTTACAGGCGCTTCAGGTTATAGACGCTTCAGGTTACAGACTCTGCTAACCCAGAAATAGTACCTGTGGTTAAGAACTTTGCTTCAGGATGAGAACAGAAATTGCACGCCGGCAGCGCAGCGGCAACAGGCGGCCCCATTAGCTAAAGTGGTACTAAAGTGGTACCTCAGGTTCAGAACAGTTTCAGGTTAAGAACGGACCTCCAGAATGAATTAAATTCTTAACTCAAGGTACCACTGTAAAGGCATGAGAACACCAATGACTAGAATATTAGTTTTTCCCACCTTTAGCATACTTCTGTAATTTTAAGGAAATCACAGTGTAAGAGTAGAAAAAGTTGAGGTTTTTTGGGTGGGGGGAGAGCAGTTAGGATGAGTTCACATCCCCTTGTTCAGAATTTGTATGACTCAGATTGAGAGCTCAAATAATTACAGTGGGAATATATAACTGGAAAATATTGTGGTGCATATTTTATGTACTTATTCACCACTTTTGACAACTTGCCTTTCTTCCATCATGGAATTCAAGGTGGTATATATGAGATTCCAAGACTGTCTCCCATCCAGGCACCGACCAGACCCAACCTGCTCAGCTTCAGCGTAATAGCTGTATTATGTGCCCTTAGACCAGTCTTTCCCATCCTGGTACCTTCCAGATCTTTTGGACTACACTTCCCATCGTTCACAGCAATTGGTCATGTTGCATGGAGCTGGAGGGAATGTTAGTCCAAAACATCAGGATGACACCAGTTTGCTTTAGACCAGGTTCCACCAACATGTGACATTTAGAGTTTGTCTCCTGGATCATCCCCCCCCCACTGTTTTTCTAATGTATCTTGAAAGTTGGACCAGTGGAATTAGTCTGAGCCTTGAAAAGCACATAGAGCTGAGAGGGAAAGTGGGATTGTCCCTCTTTCAACTTCTTCATTCAACTCTTCCAGGTCCATCTAGCTGATTGTTATGTACTCTGATTGGTGGCAGCTCTCCAGGATTTCAAACAGGAGTCTCTCCCAGATCTACCTGGAGATGCAGATTGAACCTGGGACCTTCTGCACACAGTGCAGAGGCTATGCCCCTTTGCGCCCACAAAAATCGTATGCACAAAACTGGTTTCCAGAAGTCCTTGTATGTGCCAGTGAGGGTCTCTCAAGCATATCTGGATCCTTTAAAGTTACAGTGGTGCCTCGCAAGATGAAATTAATCTGTTCCGCGAGTCTCTTCGTCTAGCGGTTTTTTCGTCTTGCGAAGCAACCCTATTAGAGGCTTAGCGGATTAGCGGATTAGTGGTTTAGCGGCTATTAAAGGCTTAGCGGCTAAAAGGCTATTAGCGGCTTAGCGGCTTAGAAAAAGGGGGGGGAAGCAAAAAAAAATCTCAAGACTCGCAAGACATTTTCGTCTTGCGAAGCAAGCCCATAGGGAAATTCGTCCTGCGAAGCGCATCGAAAAACGGAAAACCCTTTCATCTAGCGGGTTTTTCGTCTTGCGAGGCATTCGTCTTGCGGGGCACCACTGTAACTGAAGAACCTTTTTAAAAGATGTGGGTGTGTTTTGTCATTAAATCGACAAACCTCTCCAATATGCTAAGTAATTTGAACTTTTATTTCAATATAAATTATATAAATGAGACTGTGTGATCTGTGTGAAGCCACCTATGAATGGATAAACCAACATGGAGACCAATGGAATACTGTTCCTCACCTCCTTGATTGACATGTGGGCCAAGTTTGTGCAGTATTGGGAATGGAAGACCCATAAGTGCCTGCCATATCCCCATAGATCCTTCTGTGTGCCATTGATCAGCATGGCAGTATATGACAGGCACTCTTAGGCATTCCCAGACTTTAGAATCCATGGCTAATTTCTCTGCACTTGGGCCCATATGAGGATTTTGCCATTGTGTATCTTGCTGCCCTTCATGTAAATTAATCCTAAATATTTTGCTTCAGGGTGGTTCTTTTTTCCCTTTTGTAATATGGAGATAGTAGATACAAGAATAAAAGCTAAGCTTTTTTATTAGATACACATCATATAAATGGCAATGAAACTGAAATGGTTATTGCTCATTTGTTGTCGGAAGATTAGATCGTACCATTCCACTTAACAAACGGTTCTACCTATAATTCTATGGTCTTCACCTAAATTGAGTTTTTGTAATAAAATAGCATAGCAATAACAATTCAGCTAAAATCAGAAGCACTTCTGTTCAGAGCACTTACATATGATTTGCATTTTTTAATGTTAATGTTCTGTTAATTTTTGCAAGTGTTGGTTGAGTCTTCCAAATGAAGCAACACATTTTCAGTGTTATTTTCCCTCCCCGACAGAATAACTTTAGCCTATTGGTCTGGAGCCTATACCTCATTCTATGAATGGAAGAGCATTCATGTTCATGCAGTGAGACCTTCTTACCTCCTACTTCAGGCCTCTGGGCCTCTTGAAGGTCTGCTCCTGGTGGTTGGGGATCCTTCGCTGCAGATGGAGGAGTTGGTGGAAATTAGCCCCTTTATATGAATGGAGGAGCAACTTAAGCTCCAATAACTATTTGTACTTTATTCAGGCAAGGAGAGGTAGCCACACACCCACACCCCTGTCAGTAGCTTCCCTGACCTGAAACTGCATCATCATGTAGCATTTTTCCCAGTTGCATTCAGACACTTTGAATGGAATGGCAGCTTAGCTGTTAAGCATAGCCAAGCCTCTGTTTGAGACAGCATTGTAGCTTTTGCTATTGCTAAAGAAGGAAAGGAAAAAACAACAGTGCTTGACCGCTTTGTTGAAAGTAAGGATATCACCTTCCTGAAAGTGCTGCCACTTTCACCCACCATACGAAAGTTGTCAGTATTCTCCACGCAACACTTTTACAGGTACAAATGGCCTAGCAATGGCAGGAGGAAATAACATCCAGGCCTAAGCCAGTCCTGTTCACAAGTACTATGAGGAAAGGTTTTTTTAAAAAATCATACTGTATTATGTAGATTAAGTTAAGCTTGATAAGTGATCCAAAATCCAATGGGGAAAGCGCCAATCTTTAGCAACATGAAAACCCAATCCTATGGGACATCTGTGTCAAGCATATGTGAAGTATTAAACAAAATAGTGAGAACCTGTGTAGAAATATTTAGTGCTGCTATTGAACATTACCTAAAGCCACAGTTCAAGGTGAATCTGGTGGGTCCTGCTCAGGAGTAATATCTGAGGAATTATGAAAGAAGAAAAATGACACTAATGACATTCCTCGAAGATATTCCACACATTTTTATTTGGGACCCACAGAAACTCATAACGACGGCTGTTAGTCAGCTTTTGCTTTGGTGATCCATCAGCTTCTCAACAGTGTTGGATGTCCCTTTGGAAGATCTGGGCTGGTGAAGGAGTTGTCTGTTCAGGGACCAATTTGAAGAGCCTGGATTTGCCAGCAAATTTTCTTCAATCAGAGGGATGAAGTTCCTACCATGGTGGGGCCATTGGGGAGAGAAAGAGAAGACTTGACCATTCTGAAGGAGGCAGAAAGAATTTGGGTATGACTAGCAACATTTCTCTGAGGGGTTCTGTACATCCCTAGAAATACTGTACAATATATCGTACAAACTGAATTCACTAGAAAGTCTGATATTTATTCAAAGAACACAGTATGATCACAAAAGTAGTCGTGTTGCATACATTTTTAAACACTAAAAATGTGCATATTTAAAAAGCACTTAAATACACTCAGAGTGTGAAATTACCTTACATTTGGCTAGACAGCTCATAGACGTCTCTCTAAAATATTACTGCAACATGAATTGGGGCTTTGAGTTTGGATTTTTTAAAAAAAAAAATATGGGTGGTTTTAGACTCCATATTTGCCTATAGCTGCCATAATAGAATCTTGCTTTTGAAGTAATTTCTTAGGTATCAATTACTCTTCATTGAAACCTTAGGGAACTGCTGTAATGCCAAGACAGCACAATTGAGAAATGTTGTCTTAATAAGGACAGGCACTGTAGCCAGTAGGGTAATTGTACTGAAATGCACTTAAAAAGTGTAATGCATGCCACTGGGAGAAAAGCTGAGGAAATGTTTGGTGATCAGTGGCAGGAAAGGGCCAACATTTCACAAATTATCCCTAAATAAGCACAGGGATATTACAGTTATTTAGGAGGAAAAGTGGCTTTTTTCTCATTTTAAAAAAGACCATTAATAAGTCATACAATTACTGAAGCATCACATACAAACAAATTTGATTAAAGACCAGATTCTGTTATCTGTAGCATCACATGATAATGCTTTTCCTGCCCTGCACCATTTCAAACTGGAAGTTATGGGGTGGGGTAGTGGGAGGAATTCACATGCTTAAATGTTCCTACCCTGAGAACGATCTTTATACATCGAAAACTAGCATGCAAGGAGTGAAGGGTTCTGCCAAGCAGGGAAAGACTTTCATGTCTTTTCACAGGAGAACATTCAAACATAAAAGTTGCCAACAAAACTTTGTCAGCTGAATCCACTGGTTGTATGAATGGCCTGAAATTGAACTGACCTTTTCTTCTTTTGGGCAACGTGCAGTCAGGGATACAATGCTTTTGCTACAGGAAAACCTATACGGGTCTAACTTGTTGAATTTAATGGGGCTTACTCCCTGGTAATGTTTATGTGATTGCAGCCCTATAGTTTCTTTTCAATCATGGTAGTATCAAAAACATAGAACTATATTTCCATATTAATAAACAAATATAAATAATTTAACAAAAATATATTCTTAGATATTTATCACTGGATATAAATTTCTGTATCATATTTTGGCATGTGTGTAAAATCGCATAGGTAAAGTACACTGGGCAAACTTCTAAAGAGAAACAGAAATGTTGGTAGCATTGTCCATCAAGGCTACCCAGCCAATAAATTCCCACCTTTTGCCAGTGATTTATATCTGCTTCTACTTTATGTACTAATGGAAGATAATTATTTTTATACAGCTCCCATAGTGAAGCTGATACTGTAAAGACTCTCCTCCCTGGAAGAGAGGGGAGTGGTTGTGGGCGGGAGCCCGAGCACCGCCCCTAGCAGGGGGCGGTTGCCCCCTGCCTCCACCTCACCTGGCTGGCGCCCACGCCCCCTCTGCAGGCATCCAACCAGGTGCCTCGGAGGGGGGCGTGTTCAGCAGCCTTATGCTGCGGTGCCAGCCTCTCCCTGGCCTCATTCTTCGCCGTCGTCTCGTCGTGAGTCACCCACCCTCCACTCCCTTAGAGTTAGGGCTTAGGTCATTGGCCTTGCTATGGACCTTAGGTTGGTCGCCCTGGTTGTCCAGGGGGCCTGGTAGGAGTTTTTCCATTTGGCATTAGGCTTTTTGGTTTTTTCGCCTACCTCGTAGCAATCGTCACAACTTTTGTGGTATTGGTGGGTAGGTTAGGCATTGGAATAATGTGTTGTGGTGTGTCGAAGGGCTAGGTGTGGCCATCGCCTATGCCTTCAATTTTTGGGTATTCCGTTAAAGGAATCTGGCGGTCGTGTGTTCTGTCCGATGCCTGCTTGGCGGGAGGCCATGGCACGACCCTCGGTGACATCAGGGGAGCCTATAGTTGGATTAGCATCAACAGGCTCCACCTACTGGTGAATAAACCCACGTGTTTTAGAGATCCAATGCCTAAGCCAATACCTTTTCACTGCTGTAATCAATAAAGTTGTGGCCTTTCCATGCCCATTAACCTTATATCACGTGTCCTTGTGTATTCATTTCACATCGCGGGGGTCGGGTCCTCGAACCACAACTCCCTGATATTTAAAGAGAAATATATTTTTTTTCAAAGGGATGATACGAAACCATTTTCAACTCAAACCCCCTTTTGTTTGGTACATTCAGCAGCATAAGTTCTGATTTTTAGGTATTGAATGTGAGGCTTGGCTATTTTTTCCAATTAACACACTTATCCAGCAATATTTCTGGACAGCTCATAAAGTCTGCCGCATTGTCTGTGTAAGTCATGCTGCAACGCACCAGTTCTAATTCCTTATCTTTCAGCAGTATTTATAATTAGAAATCAGATTTTTATTGTTTGTAACCAAGGCTACAACAACATAAATCACAACAGACAAACAAAAGAACCCAAGTGCAACTTAAAGCATATAAATTTTCAGAACTACAAATTATCAAAAGTTAAACTTGTAAAGTTCCCAGAATAATTTAGATTGAAATATCTCCTTGGCAGGCAACACTTTTTTGGATCAAAAATGTTACAGGCTACTTAACTCTAGTCTTTGAACACTGGATTTCCCTGGCTTTTGAAATGGAAATGTATTTAAATACTAGACTCTGTCAAGTGTGTGTGTGTGTGTGTTTGTGCATGTGTGTAGTTGCAATGTGGGGTATATGTCAATTTGTGTGTGTTGCCTACAACACAGGCCCCCATAGTTAGGTGAATCCCGGTTTAGCCACTGCACCACACTGCCATATTCTATACCAAAAGGAATAATCATTTTACACAGCATCCACTAGGTGACTCCCTTTGCAAACACTGGCACACAAGCAGAATTATCACTTCAAGATCAAACTGCACATGCACCATATTGTTCTGCCAGAAGGTGCTGTCGTATGCTTTAATGGGGCAAGAAAGACTGAATAACTTTGAACTGCTACTCAGAACTTCTCCAAACCGGTGAAAGTATCCCTTCCTCTACAAGCTTGAATAAATTACATCAATACGGTCATACCTCGTGTTACGTTTGCTTCATGTTGTGGCTTTTCAGATTACGAACGCGGCAAACCCGGAAGTGTTTACTTCCGGGTTCGCCGCACGCGCAGAAGCGATCTTCGCGCGTGCACAGAAGCGATCTGTGCGCTTCACGCATGTGCAGAAGCGCTCTATCGCGCTTCACGCAAGTGCAGTAGCGATGCTCTACTTACAGACTATTCAGGGTACAAATGGCACCCCGAAACTGATCACATTCATAAGTAGAGGTACCACTGTAGATTTCACCAAAATTGGAAAGAAATATATGATATGCCTGTACGGTATTTACAAGTTGTACTAAAAACTTCAACTTTCATTGTAACTGTAGCAATTTATATCAGAACATATTGAAATTTGACACATTTGTAGACCTCATCAGCTACCTCATGTGTGTCAGGTTTCTAGTTCTTAGCTAAACAGATACCCTTTTTTTAAACAATATAAGTTTGAGGCTTATAATGGTGTGAGCCAATTTTTTCTTTCTTGCAACTTTCCTTAGCTAAAGAGCCACTTGCATAGCAATCTCACCAAGAACAGCATATGTAGAAGTAAAACAATAACTAAAACCCAGACTGGAACTGTATGCTATCAAGATTTCTGATGTAGGATTTCTAAACATCACTTTCCAGTACAGCCATCTTGCCTGTGAGCACAACAGGAGCCTTGAGGTCAACCCTAGGCATGGGCATTCGGCTGGTGATCTGTGAGCCCAAACCAAGGGGCCCTTGCCTTGGCCCATCTCACCTTCCTTACCTTGTTCTTTCCACTGTGTACAGTGCTGTGCCACAGAACTCTCCCTTCAGATACCATCTCTTTGTGCCAGTTTGACAAATGCAATTTACCTCTGTTTTGAAACTGATTTTGAGTCAGGGACATTTCAGCTTTTGATTTGGGGCTGGGTGGGGTGCTCAGCAAGATTTAAAGGCCTGTGCTTAAATAAATTTAAGACTGAACTGCCAAAATGAACTGTCTATGAATACCATTGCAGTTGATTTTGTATACCCAGCATCTGCAACAATGATCACAGATAAAACACTCATAAACTTACCTGGAAATAAGTCCCAATGAATACAATGGTACTTACTTACTTTCAGACATGCCCAGAATTGAACTATTGTTGTTAGCATCCACCTGTCTCGAGAAGCAATGGAGTGTGCCGGGGGGGGGCGGAGTCAAACAACTGTGTTAGCCGCACCGAAATGTCCTCCCTGGGGTACAAGCCTGAGCAGTGTGTATGAAGGTCCTGGGCTGCCCAGATGACAAGATCTCCTCCTTGGCCTCACTGGTGTGGTCCAAAGGAAAACAGAGCAATACATTTGGAACCAGCTTGGCTGCCGGAAGGAGGCGTACAAGGTGTCATCAGGTCTGACAAGCATGGCCACTCACCTGGGATGATGGGAGTTGTAGTTCAACAACTATAAGAGGGTCAAATTTCCCTCCCACACCTGTGGTAGAGGCAATTAATTGGCCAACAATACAGGTGCTCTCTTGCCCTTCTTCAGTGCTTCCCGCAATCTGCTTGTGGTATGGGTCCCATCAGACCTACCCAGATACCAGCCAATTTCATTCCCACTTTTGATGCCCTATTTCAGTTGCAATTTCTTTTAGACATAGTCTCTCTCTTTTTCTCCCTGTCTCAGACGGCTTAATTTAAATAAGCACTTAAAATGCCTCTTAATATTTAAAAAGTAGAATTCACTAGCATAAGCAATTTCACTTTTCAGTCATGCAGTCAACTTACCATAATTTGTGCAACTTCATGACACATAATGACTGTTGGTAATAACTGCACCTATTCACTCCCCACTTCCCATGACAATACTTAATAACGACGGCACCGAGGGAGACTTAAAAAGACAGACTAATGATCAAGAGATGTTAAAAGTTCACCACGTGCAAAATGTGTATGCCTCGTAAGCAAAAAAGAAAAATCTTTTAAAGGTAATAGAAGTAATGAGAGGGAGAGCCTTTCATGTTTCTCCCGCTAAACATAACATTGACAAGGGCAGCTAAAAACCATCAGTAGGCTCATGGCTGTAATCTTACCCCTCACCCACATCTTCTGCACATGATCAGTCACTCTTGTTATTTCTGCTCCTTTGTATCATACAGAGATGATCTCTAGTAGGGATGTTTATAGATCCCAAAATTCGCTTTCTTCTTTTACCTGTGCTTTTAAAAAAAATCCAATCTATTTCTGAGTTGTTCTGTCTGCTTTCATTTGGGTTCCGAGCTGCTTTATATAAAGCAAAGTTTTGTGTTCCCCATACACCCTTATAGGGAATTGAAAAATAAGAAACCTTTTTTTCCTCTTGTAGCAGAAGCAGATGAAATTTGTAAGCAAAGGAGCCTTCCATAGTGGATTAAGCATGCCAAATTGCAGGGAACTAAAATACATTCACTTTCCCCCCAATCCATATTAGGGCAGCATCTTTATTAGTCCAAGTAAGCTTCAAAATTGGCATTAGTTCCACATTTTCTAGGGAGACTGGGATTTTTGTGTCTTACTCTCTATTACCTTTAAAAAAGAAGAAGTGGCTGTGTTAGGTGTACTCTTGCTTGTACGCTTTTGGGGCCTTAGCAGCTCCAATAGGCATCACAATAATGAATAAATAAAGTGGTGTTGGACACTCCCTAGCTGTAAATACAATGTGGAAACATTGTCTAAAGGCCTAATCAGAATGATCTTGGGGCTCCAGTTCTTCCACATACACACACTGATAACTGAAATACCAGTATTCTGACAACCATTGATGCTGATGAAGTGAGAACATGACACAGTCAAGACATTTCCCCCATAATTATGGATCCCAGTCAGCAAACACACACTGACACCCAGATCCCTGCAGTTGGTATGTTCTGCCTTAACTAGTTTGGGGCCAGATGATTGAATAGAAGGAAAAAATCCATTCAAGGGGAAAATTGGCTTGAGAATCGAAACCAACATCAATACCAGCTCAATAGAAAAGAATTGTTCTACTTTGTTTTTCGTTATAACAAGTTAATTCCGACAATGAGTGGGAGGACTAGAGAGAAATACATGTTGGTCCTCCGATATGATTGCTATCTGGCAGAGGGTGGGACTGTCAACTGTGGTCCATTGAGTTAGTGCTCAATGTATTTTAATGGCATGCTTGATTTGATTTTAATGTATATTAAAATCTGGAAATCACAGCCCCCTGCTACAGGGACATACAAACTCTATTCACATGTTACAATGGAGGGGGGATAGGACCATGTGCACTGTTCTAACTCCCAGCTTTCATGAGTTCTTCTGATGGTGTGCATACATACAGATAAAGAGCGCACAGTTCTTCCCTGTATAGTCAAGAATCCCGGAAAAGAGCAAGGTTGTCAGCCATGTGAAGAAAAGCATTTACAGTATTGGCATTTAAGTGCCGGCTTTACTTCAGCAAATGATCCACCTAATTTGATGTATTAATATGATCTAACATTGGCAGTATAGCCAAATATTTTATTTTATTTGCAAATGAAGAAAATAAAACTGTACACAGAGACTCGATACAGACCTCCAGCTGAACTTGCAGATGTGGAACAAGGACATAAAATGCGAACAGAGGCTGCAGACTTATGTGTCATAGAAAATATGGCTTCTCTCTCACACACATTCACCTTTTAGTGTGGAAGTACTAAAAACAATGTGTGAAATAGGTTGCTAATATGATGATTATTATATGAATGAGTCCTTTAGAGCATTACAATTAGCAGTTAACATCAATATTCTACAGATCTGATTCAAGGAAAATGTAGCAGGTGAGAAGAATGTTAGCAGGAGCCATTGAAGTAAAAGGCATTATATTGCAATGCTGCACCATTGATTATAGTGAAAGGAATGCGTGCACTTAATAGCATTCACATGCAGGATATGAACTTAAGTTTACAGTCAAATTCTGAGATCACTGTCAAAATGGAGTTATTTCCTTTCACAGTATAGCTTCATAGCCCTGATTTCTCCTTTTTGTGGCTTCAAGGAAATTGGACAATTGTATCTAATAACTATATAAAAATGAATTTATATTGTTACGAGTTTGGGATGTTAAACTGGGTGCCAGAAACCTCTAATCCCTGGATCCATCAAGTGTTAGAATTTAATCAAGGCCTCTAATTCTAGAAATAGCCAGGTTAGCCTCCAGGTGAGGTGATAGCCTGGGTGGTAAACCATTAAGGGGTATTAAGGGGCTCAGTGTGATATATCAAATGAGTGGGGCCCCTCCCTTAACATAAAAGGCCAGAATTTGGAGTTGAAGGGGGCAGTGATGTGACCTAGAAATAAAGCAGCAAGAGAGAGTTAAGAGCAACGTTTGAGAACAGTGCCTGATTTGTGGTTGTGGCTATGGAAGAAAGTCTGGGTATGGTAGATTCTATTGCTACTTTCTAAATTAGGTTTTCTAACGGACACAGTCTGGTGTGCACTGAATCCATATTTGCTATATTGCTCATTAGCTTTTATCCTGTTTCTTTCATTCCCATGAGATGCATTAACAAAATAACCAAGAGAAAATCTCACATTTTGACATTCGGGAGCTTTAATGATGTTTTAGTTTGGTTTATTTTTCATAAGTTATCTGTGCAGTACTTTGTCAGCATAATCTATGGCTTGACTATTAAATATATATATAATAAGCAGAACAAATTATGAAATGAAAAATGTACCATCTTATTTTTAGCTTTCCATCTAGCTGGCTTTCTAATGAGAGCCGCCCAGGGATCTTATAATATTTACTGAACAGAAACTTATTTAAGAATATAAGTCTATGGGGGCCTTTCTGTAATTTTGGTAAACTCACAGTAAAGGCAGGCAGAAGACCAGAGCTCTGGCCAGTTGGTATGAGTGTGTGTACAATTGAAAACAAGCAAGTCAGAGCTAAAGAGGGGGGAAAGGTAGCAAGAAATTATATTTACTTAGCTGAAGTGAGCATGGGGGGATGGTAAAGGAGGTAAAGATATATCCAGCACTGTTTCCCTGATCAGCTTGCTATCATTATCGGCTTTGAATAAAGAAGAAATACCCAAGGGAGAGACTTATCTCTGATCTATCAGATCTCATCCAGCTCTGTCCCCAAAGGAGCAAATTAAAAGAGGCAGTTTGCATTAAAGAAATTAAGTTGGCAAAGCAAAGGGAGTTCCCCATGAACATGTACGGAAAAACGTGTGTTCTACTCTTGTGAAGACTTACCGGGACCCAGAAGAGTTAAACAACTTTTCCCCAGTGGCAAATATCCCCCTCACATAGTTCCCCATCCTCTCCCCCAAGGCCGGGAAGGGAGAAAGCAAGGAAGTGACCGGCTTATATTCGGGTAGTCTTTTTTTCTCCCCCCCCCATGTCTTTTAAATGTGCGGCTTATATTCAGGTGCGGCTTATATTCGGGCCAATACGGGTATTTGGATCCATTCCATTCTGGCTTCAGGCTTGGTTATGGCACTGAAACTGCATTGGTCACACTTGTTGATAGCATTTATCAGATGAGAGATGGAGTCAATGCTGTTCATTCTCTTGATCTCTCAGCAGAATTCAGTACTGTTGACCTGCTGCTGCTACCTCCAGAAAGTAGTAATTATCCTATGTTCTCTCACAGTGTTTGGAGGCAGCATTAGGCTGGTGTTTGGACCAATAAACTGAAGACAGAGGTGTCATGTGTCCTGAGTTCTCATGTCCAGGAGATGGGGAGGTGACCTGCCCTGGATGGGGTTGAACTCTCCTGGGGAAGCAGGTTCACAGCTTGGGGTGCTTCTGAATTCAAAACTGTTGCTGGAAGTTCATGTGATCTCAATAGCTAGGAGTGGCTTTTTTTTAGTTCTGGCTTGTTTGCCAGCTACAGCTCACTTTGGACAGCAATGATTTGACCACTGTACTGCATGCTCCAGTAACATTCGGATTAGATTATTGCAAAGTGCTTGCCTTGAAATTGACTTGGAAACTTCAGTTGGACCAAAATACAACAGCCAGATTAGTGACGGGGGTTCAATTTAGATCTCATTTAACCCCTGTTTTAAAACAGCTGCTCTGGTTCCCAGTTTGTTTTCAGACCCAATTCCAGGTGCTCATGCTAGTGTTTAAAATCCATCCACACCACACGTTAAGGAAAACACACAGGGTATTTAATACTGTTTGTGGCTCCTAGCAGGATGTTTTCTGTTTTAACACCTTAGCTGTGGCTTTCCTTTTCCTGGAAACTCCACCCCTCTATAGGAAGTATGTTTGTGTTTCCTTGTTTCACAAATCCCTTGATGGAAAATTTTGCTACATGCTTCTTCTTGTGGTAAATTAAAGGTAAAGGTAAAGGTACCCCTGCCCGTACGGGCCAGTCGTGTCTGACTCTAGGGTTGTGCGCCCATCTCACTTAAGAGGCCGGGGGCCAGCGCTGTCCGGAGACACTTCCGGGTCACGTGGCCAGCGTGACGAAGCTGCTCTGGCGAGCCAGCACCAGAGCAGCACACGGAAACGCCGTTTACCTTCCCGCTATAAAGCGGTACCTTGCACTTAGGGGTGCTTTCGAACTGCTAGGTGGGCAGGAGCTGGGACCGAAAGACGGGCGCTCACCCCGCCGCGGGGATTCGAACCGCTGACCATGCAATCGGCAAGTCCTAGGCACTGAGGTTTTACCCACAGCGCCACCCGCGTCCCTTAAATTGGTAAATTGGTCCTTCATATTTTATGATACACATTAAAAATGTGGGAGCTTAGAGAGAAGCAGGTCCCACAACCACAAAAGCTTCACTATTAAGACAGTCAGAGAGGATAGCTCCTCCTACCAATTCTCCACACACAGAGTTGCTCATTGGATAAGCAGGGGTCAGCAAACTTTTTCAGCAGGGGGCCGGTCCACTGTACCTCAGACCTGGTGCGGAGCCGGACTATATTTTGAAAAAAATAATAATGAATGAATTCTTACTCCCCACAAATAACCCAGAGATGCATTTTAATAAATGCACACATTCTACTCATGTAAAAACAGGCTGATTCCCTGACCGTCCACGGGCCGGATTTAGAAGGCGATTGGGCTGGATCCTGCTCACGGGCCTTAGTTTGCCTAGCCCTGGATAAGAGCCAAAGGCTGCAAGACACAAACTACTCACAGTAAAGTAGTCTGATGAAAATCTAGTTTTGACATAAATCTCAGCTTCTTACCTTAACCTTGAAGCATGGGATTCACTGAATGCAAAGCAAATTGTAACTTAATATTTCTTTGTGCTGCTTCATCTCATTTATATTTTATGAAATGACAATAAAAGCTGAATGGCTTTTTGTTACTCTCTGTAAGAATGGCCCAATGATTTTTCAGCCCTAATGAATGAAAAAAGAAGCAATGGTGCACCTACCTCTTTTATATGCTTATATACTTCTTTACATCAAAGAGTTCAAGCGTGCTGTGAAATAAAACTAGGCAATCAAATCAAGGAGATGTAGACAGATTTTCTGCTATGATATAACAAGGGAAGGTAGAAAGAGCTGTGAGGTTTGTGTGTGTTTGATCCAATTCTGCATGATTGGGTAGATCCAAGCGTTGTCATGATTGCTCTAAGTTAGCTATAATTGGAATATTCAAGATGTCTTATCATGGGATGACTAGAAGCCCTCACTTCCCAGTGATGGCAAGTTGGTGTCTTAACTCCAGTTTCTTTGGCAGAGTAGCAAATAGTGGAAGGGGAAATCAAAGCCCACTTCTTGTGAATCATGACATTACAACATCAGCTGTGGATTAGACTTAGCAAAAATGGTATCCTGATATAGCTGCAGTCTCCTGAGCCAATTACAAGCTCAATGAACCTTGTAGGAGAGCATTTTAAGTTGGCTGTTTTCTTGCTATGTGGTTGACTCTAAATCAGTGTGCTTTCTCCCTGCAAGACACACAGGAAGTGCATCGAGCACCATCCTCATCCTTTATAGGGTAAATAGCACAAAAACCAGCCACCATAGTGACACATTTTTAGGCCTTGATGTACCTCTTCTTATACTTCGGTCCATTTAGTTTAATATTATCTACACTGACTGGCAGCTGCTTTCCAGGGTTTCAGAGAGGAGTCTTTCCAAGCCCTCTTTAGAGATACCAGGGATTGAACATGGAAACTTCTGCATGGAAAGCAGATGCTCTACCTGAGCTACAACCATTCCTATGAATAAAATAGAAAGGAATATACCTCAGCTACACCTTTTGGTGGCTATTATTTCCTCTTTTTTCCTCCATGGTGCTGAGTTCGTCTTCAGTTAAATCCTTAAGTCTGATTTTGCTTGGGGTTTTTGTGTGACCATAGCTTGTCTCTGGATTTCAACTGTACTAGAAAGCAATGATAGGAAGTGTGAAAATTCCTTTTGTGACACTATGCATTTGTATGAGGCACTGAACAGTGGTAGGAGTCGAACAGAGGTGAAACAAATAGAATGCACCTCACTGAAACCTCAGTCTTTCGGAAAAGCTCTTTAAAAACCCACCACTCTGTGGCCGAGACCTGCTGAAGAACTAACTAACAAGCAGAAGCTGAAATGCTGGGTTGGCGCCATTCCTCTTGAACTGAATTAAGCCATATAAGATGGAAGAAACGCAGCTCAATTTTGTGTATACTGTGGACTCCAAAGAATGAATTGCAAGCAAATAGTACATGAGATGGAAGAACACTAAGTAAGACCATATTTTACAATGACAGGATCACATTTTGCTCTGGTATAATATCCAAATAACCCTCTTGAATTGTTTGGAGATGCTGCAGAATCACAAGGGCATAGATGAGATGGGAACAGGTACATCGAGAAGTATGTAGCTGGAATGGGTTTATAAGGGAGGTTGTAAGACAGCAGAACACATTGGTTAACTGAAAATATTTCCTGCATAAATTTTGTTTTCCCCCAGATACTAGCATAACTTAGAAACTGATTAAAAGTGGCCTTTAGTTTTCTCAGGCTGCAGTCATACTAAGAAGTATGTTCCATTTGACACAGTGAGTTTTAGTTCTGAGTAAATATGCAAATTATTGTGATATGTATCCTGTTAAATAAATACCCTTGTCGTGCTTAATTGGGCTTTAGACACAACTTAAGTGATTCATTTGCTTATTGAAGTAATACTATGAATGAGCCTACTAACTCCTTGCAGGCAGAAAGTTAGGACACCAGGGACAAAAAGACTAAATCCTTCTCTCCCACATACTAGCTATCAATGAGCAAGAAGCTTTAGGGGAGCATTCAACCACCTAAAAATAAGATAAAACAAAATACTGTAAGTTCTCTGTGATGTGGTATGTGCATTTTGTGCACAGTTGGTGTCATATAAGTAGTAATAAGATAATAAGATAAGATGGAAGGAAGGAGAAAAATAGAATCCATGACAACAGACAATGTAAAAGCTCCATCTGTTTTGTCTTTAGCAAATGTCTAGCTGGGCAGTTATCTGTTGATATGTTTTTAGTGACTCTTAAGCACAGAAAAGTAGTAGAAGCATCACATATTCTGAGGTCTGATGAAGTTTATGTCACATACCTAGTGTAGCTCTTTGTTTTCCACATATTGTACAAAGCACATCACAAACACTTTGACATTTGCTTTCTTTTCTTTGTTTTTCTCCTACTGAATAGCTTTGACAGATAATGTTTTTAAATCCAAGTCCTAGCTTTTAATTTCCCCCCTGCAATTTCTGTTCCACATGCTACGGAGGGTTATTTACCCAGGTATCCTAGTTTTGTCTCAGAACCACTCCCAGATGAAAAACAATGCATAATCCAGATATAGGTGATGGACAGTGTGGGTTTGTTCAACTGGTAGGTGTGGCAACCTTAATATCACCTACAATCTTGAAATAGGGATGCGAATAAAATGGAAGCCAATTGGATGGCTGGTTCTGTAGCTTTTCCATTTGGATCTGCTGTATTCTTAAATTTTGGAATCCTGCCCACCATGGTGACCCCTTCCCTCCTGTTCCATTCATTACAGTCTGTTCTGTTGTGTATTATTCCACCTCGTTCCATTGTGCACATATTTGCACATAAATTATGCATTTTCCAATTCTTTCCAATGCACTTACCAGTAAATACATTTTATGCATCTTTTGCACATCTTTTACCCTTTTTGGGTGCACTAAAATGCATTGTGAAATCTGGAGAAGTGCCTAATGTGACTAGGAGTTGTGTTCTGATCTACAAGCAAATTCAGTGTGTTGGATCAGAGTGGTTCACTGTGGAAAGTGGACCAAATGAAATCCTCCCCCATGGCTCCTGAAAGCTACCTTATATTTCAAAGAAACAAAAAATATATATGAAATAAATACTTTTCCAGAAGGAAGGAATAAAAGATAAGAGAACAGATAAGCATAATATAATAAACTTCCTTTCCATTGTCTTACATCAAGCTGCAAGACAGAAAGCCTAAATATGAGTAGCTGGTCTTTTGAATTTTCCAGAAACATGAAAAAAAGGGAAGGATGCTTCTCACTGCTGAGAAGTAGGATGTTGCTTTCCTATTTCAGTGAAGCTGGTGTCACAGCCTTACTGTGCCAGGTCAGATGAAAAGCACAATTTAAGCAGCCACAGTGAATGGCTGCCATCTGTGCTGCAGATGTCACACTTTCTTTTCTCCTAAGAACTGATTTGAGGTTTTACTCATAGGAAACTAAAATTAGGAAGGTATAGAGAAAAGCAATATGTGGAGTAGACTTTTTTTCCTATGAGAGAAGTAATAATTGGAGGAACTGCTGGGGAATTTTTTCTTTATAAGCTTTGGAGATCGGTTCCACCTGGTGGACAGTTACAGTGAGCTTTCAATGATAACATTAAACTGTCACGACGACACACAAAATGCTTGTTTTAAAAACTACAACTTTATTTGATAACTGTTTTAATGCTGAGCTGAAATTGTATACTGGCACCCATAGCCCAAATGAATGTTAAACCAAAAGAATATTTATTACATTGGCAGAGTATTCTGTTAATTAGAGTATCAGCAGTTTGATTAGAGGCTAACCAAGAATTCTCATTATGCAAAGCTGTTTATACAATTTTTTGTACATCCTGATGAAAAAATCTGTACCAGGAAGCACTAATGTTGCTAGCAACAATCATGTTCACCCTTTGTTTCTCAATCAAATTGGCTGGTATGCTGCTTAGGACTTCTTTAGCACAATCAAGATCCAAAAGTTGTTTTCTCACAATTGTTATGCAGCGCTCCAGAGTACTTGGGAATGAAACAAGGCACTGTGGTGGATGCCAGGCTGCCACCAACAAATGACAACACGGAAGCAAGTGAACATGTTTTGAGGTGGAGTGGGATTGCACAGGCAGGCCTTGCCCTTGAACAATGCCTGCATGCTATGCAACCACAAGCTGTATGTGCTCATATGAATGGGTGTATGCTCATTTTCTGTACACAAAAGCCTCCTTCCATCATTTTCCCCTTTGCATAATGAGTGGGGACAAGGCCATTGGTCTATTCACTGTATCCCTGTTTTTGGCTTTATTACCTTCCATGTGCTGGGAAGGGAACTTTTGCAGCAAGAAGCCTGCTGTACTCATGAATGCTCCTTGCATGATTAGAACCCTGAATTTTCAATGTTCTCAAATCATATGAGAAGCCAACCTAAGCCGAGAAGGCTTTGCACAGGAGGAGCTCCCTTCTCAGTGTATGAAAAGTGATGGCCAGTGGTGGAAATGCAACAGATAGGGCCAGATCGATGGGCTCCTTCCCATTCTCTACCCTCATTGGGTGAGATTTTAACACCTGTATAAGGTTACATATAATATGTTTACTGAACATACACTGTTTGGGGTTGAGGATTGCCATCACAATCCTGCCCTGCTCTGTATGTTCATTGTTACCTCAGAACTGTTGTCTGAAAGGGAGAAGACCATGGAGTTAATTGGCCTGCTACTGATCACATATCTCCAGATTAAAGAGAGAGAGCTCTTGATTTTGTTAAGGGTTGTTGACTCTTCCAATTCACTTCCTGATTCATTCTACCAACTTATATGCAAATCAGAAGATGAAGGGTACTTATGTTTGCATTCAGAAGTAAGCGGACTGGGAAGGCTGGAGCCAGGGTAATTAGACACACAGTTGGCTTCCATTTTATTTGTGCGCCTTTCTTTATACAGGATAGACTGGCTTGGTGAATAGACTTTCCCTATGCTCCAATTTTGTGGCTAGATGTTATTCAGAAACCAACCGGCACCCTATGCAGGAAATGCAAGCTTAACAAGCTAATTCTATGCATATTTAGTCCTTATTCAGTAATTCGTTCCAATTTATTCCATGTTTTAATCTCACCTTTCAACCTGAAACACTCCCAAAGCCGTTTAGGAACCATGATGTATTTGAAATACAATATTTAAAAAAACCCTATGTACCTACCTATATGCATACACACACATGCACACACAGCTGTGCATGCCACAAATCCAAATGTCCAGTGAATTAAAAAGGCTTTGGCAGACATCCACAATAGCACCAGATTCCAAAAGGAGGGAGTCACTTAAAATGCCACTTCAAAAAATGTCCTGCTCTTACCAAATGTCAGCCTAATGTCCCGTGAAGTTCAGCAAGATTTACACACAGAAGGGTGGCCCATTCAAAAGCAGTTAATTCCTTTACCAACCATTATTTCCCAGAGACACAATTTTCTCATTTGAGGTTATTGCTAAGCATTTAGTTTTCACTTGGTATGCAATCCGATAGATCTGTCTCCTATACATTTATATCCCACCTTGTTTATACCAAAGAACTCAAGGCAACATAGATGGTGTTCCATGTGGTATACCATCCACGATATTGAGCATAACTAGACCTACTTAGTAAACGGGCTGCATCACGTACCTTCAGAGTATGCCCTTTCCACATAATAGCAAAGCCTTTAAAAATGGACCTGGAATGATTTCAGTCTTATCCAGTAGAGCATGTACCTTTGTTTTGTTTTTGACATTTTCTTTGAAGTAGAACTTCCACAGACATCACTAGATGCTCTATACCGAAAGGCTTTTCAAAAGTGAAACATAATAAATGAGAGAAGCAAATAGAACATTAGGGGAATTTTTGCTTTTGTAACTGTATTAAAGTAGGTCACATTTGGGCTTAGAACCTTGGCTGTGCTTGTTGCAGTTAAATATATATAAAAGCAATCATAGGATTTAGGATCCTAAAGCCAGTGGCATTTTTCAGAATCAAATTCAAGCTGGCCTGAGTCTGCTAAGTGATTTAAATTGACACAGCTCAGGGGTAAGCTGTATTTTATAGAGGTGCCTGCCAGTATGTTTGAAATCTAATTGCAACCAAGTTTTAAAGCACTGGTTCTTGCACAGTAATGCTTCATGTTCTTTTCAGGAGCATCTGAAAGGTTGAACTAAAAAACACCATAAATATTGTAAAAATGAATTCCTTCCTTGGTGTTCCTTGGATGCGGGTGGCGCTGTGGTCTAAACCACTGAGCCTCTTCGGCTTGCCGATCAGAATGTCGGCGGTTCGAATCCCCGCGATGGGATGAGCAGCTGTTGCTCGGTCCCAGCTCTTGCCAACCTAGCAGTTCGAAAGCACGCCCAAATGTGCAAGTAGATAAATAGGTACCGCTCCAGCGGGAAGGTAAACGGTGTTTCCGTGTGCTGCTCTGGTTTCAGTGTTCTATTGCGCCAGAAGCGGCTTAGTCATGCTAGCCAAATAACCTGGAAAAACTGTCTGGACAAACACCGGCTCCCTCAGCCTGTAAAGCGAGATGTTGTCAGCGACTGGACTTAACTGTTAGAGGAGTCCTTTACCTTTACTTTTAGTGTTACCTATTAGATGCAGAATAATTCTGTTTTCAAAAACTACTGTTTCTCTCAAATCTTTTCCAGAGATAAGTGTATGTTCTGTCAGTCATGCAGGGGCAAATATATTTCAAATGGAAATAGGGTGTTTTCAAAACCAAAAATAAGCATGTGTTAATTTCCAGAAAGTCATGACTGTTGTTGCCATTACTTTCTATTCAGATTTGTTTTCATTAATATGTAGATCCACAGACAGACACACACACACACACACACACACACACACACTTTATTTATTTTCTTTCCTTTTCCAAGATTAAACAGCAATAAATATACAAGTGTTTACTGGCTTTTTTATTATGTTCTCTGCTATACACAATTTCATGTATATGTGTGGTATCCGGGAACGTAGCTCCCACGTAAGTGGGGAGGCGCCTTGTATCTTTGTGCTATAGAAGACCATGTCTTTCAGACCCCACCCCACCCTGAAAATTAATATAGCTTCAAGGCTTCAACCAATGCATATTTTATATGCATGAGTCCCAGTTGTGTTCAGTTGAGCTTATTCTCAGGATAGTGTGTGACAGGCTATTATTTCCTAAAAGGACTGAGTTTAGGCCTGTAGCCACTGAGAGTGGGGCTGCAGAAAGCAGAATGTTCTATGTTCAGTTTTTGTTTTTGTTTTTTTACTATTTTCCTTTAACAGGTAAAATATTAAGGAAAAGCACAGATTTAATATTTTTTTTCTTACTGGTTTAGTAAAAATAAAAACTAATAAAACCTGTTCCTACTCTCCAATGTCCCTAGTGGCAAAAGTAACTAATAAACCTAACAAGATTTTAAAACTTTATAGAATAATTTTTATTTAATTTTATTAATAATAGTTTAATTGTAGTAAAGTATATGATCTTTCAACCCTGTACTCACTTACTTGGGAGCAAGCCCAATTAAACACAAAGGGACTTACTTTTGAGTAGACATGTATACCATTCTGCTGCAAATAGCTGAACAGTGTGCATTCCTGGACTTTAGCTATGGCACAATAGGACTTGTAAATAAAGTCTCTATACCAGACTGCACCTAGAGATTCAGGGCTTTACAGAAAGGAGGTAAATAGACATCACTCCTGTGTAACCATCAGTTCCTTACTGCAGTCAATGAAATCATACTCATTTCTTAGTATAGACTCACACCCCATAATGATGCCTTCAGCTCTCTACTGAACATGTCCAGAAATAATCTCTCTCCATAATTCTTAAAGGAACATGCACTAGTCGATCACAGGTTTATAAGGATAATTTATTTGTGCTTTTGTTAAGGTTCAGTAATGACCCCAAACAGACTTTTGGTTAAAACGATATGCAAGGTTTTAATGTCTTGTATATGATAATCCTGAAGCTATGCATTTTTAAATGCATGGCATTCAGTGGGCTTCAAATGGGGGCTGTGCTTATTTCAGAAATAGCAGAACTTATTCTTCAATATTGTGGGGCAATATTACAGCCAGACCAACAATTTGTGAGGCTCACAGAGTTTTTCTGTAAAGTTTGCTAGAGAGAACTCTGTGAGATCACTTCCTTTGTCTGTCTTGGCAGGAAGCTGTAATACTACATCCTGCTGCCTGCCTTGGCAGCCGCCTCTTTCTTCATCATGCTTCCAAGCTGACCACATGTGCGTGTCTGAGCTCTGCAGCTCAGATACCATTTTTGAACTTGCATTTTGTACTTTTATAGTTTAGATAGTAACTATAAACCTGCCTTCGTTTTGCTGCTGTAATTGCTGCTACAAGACGTAGATTATGTAAGTAAATACCACTTTTAATTTTTTCACAAAGAATGTGTGTGTTAAGGGGGAGAAAAGGGGTAAAAGCAGGGAAAATCCAGTCTGTCTTAAAGGGTCCTGGGTTATTGTTTCTAGAAGGTTCAATCAACCTTGTCTCGGCTTCCAAGTTTAAGCTGCAAATCATGGTGCTCTGCTGATCTCACTACAAGAAAGGATAATAGCTAAACAATATGTCCTCTCCTGGTGTCTAAATCCATGCCTACAGATATGTGGACTGAAATAATGGACACAGCTACAAACATTTAGCGAGCAAACGCTCATAACAAGTGGATAATCAGCAATCTACCTGGTGACTGATAATTATCATTGATACTGTTCAGTAAAACAGTCAAGGGGTCAGGAATAATATCGTGAGAATTTGTAGGATCTGAGACCAGAGAGTTTGACTCCACAACTCAAACTCCTGTGTCCCATGACTCATATAAGAGCTAATAATTTTAACCAAAGTTGGTTAGGAATACTAATTCTTAAAACCCAGTTATCTGGCCATACGCATGATTCCGTACACTGTTTAATGCTTGCTACTACAATAGATCATGCAACTGTAGATAACTGGCAGGTCATCAGTCAGCCATGATAAATGTTATTTTTGGACAGTTGTTGGGTTTTTTTAACTACTCTTGGTGGAGATTTTCAAAGCCAATGTAGTCATAGGTTCAGTTTTTGTAGGCTGTTGGACAAGAAGGTATTAGCAGGTCTGCCTGGTCCTTTTTTGTCGCTAGACATGGAGGGGGGAACCCATCCATTGGACATATATTAAGTGGATACGCAGAACCTGAGGACTTTGCTGGTGTTTGGTGGACTTTTGTGACATAACAGTTGTGCCCGTTTGAACATTATACCTGCCGAAAATGACTCTATGTGGAACTAATGATGATACCTGCATATGCCTTTATGTAAAAATAGCTTGTAAAGCCTGTTCTTTCTTTGGGTCCTCAATCCAGTTGCATGATGACTTCTTGGCACCCATCTCTAGATTCTCCTTTTAGAATAAATAAATAAAATGTACAAAGTACTTTTTCTTATCACTGAAAAGCCATGGGTCAGCTTCTGATATTAAAGGAGGGGACCCAGAGGACAAAGCTGACAATTACAGGCAGCTCTCACGTCTCTATCTTTCAGTATTTGTTACTTGCTTATTTTACCGCATCAATTTCTTCTAGTCTTTTCAGATTCGTAAGTCCTCAAAGTGTAGCCACCACTAGGGATCTCTTTAAAGATGTAGCACTCCCACTGGTGCAATGTCTTTGAAAACTGAGCTGTGAGGTTGGAAATATTGTGATACCTTTAGTACTTCCATGGAGATGTATTGTGGACCAACTTTGTCCTCTCTCCATTGACTCCTTTTAGAAACTCTGCAGGTTTATTTGAGAATCTCTCTGGGCTCTGTTGTTGTTGTTTTTAAAAAGATGTTTTCATCCTTTGAGATCATGCTTTGATCTACGTTTAAATAGGCAGGGTGAGTCTGACCTAGTTTTCCCCCACCCCTTTGAGCATTTGGGGACTTTTAGAAGCATTTTATTGAAGCAAACATATAAGAGTATCTGAGGCCAGTTTTAACACTTCAGAGGTTTGTTTTGAATACTCTACTATTTATATTTTGCTTTTACTGGCATTTATTCATTAAGACACTTGGGGACCATTAAGGCAAGAAACCTCAGCTGCTGAGGCACCATTTCTAAATTCCTTGCAATGTTAGCTCTTACTAGAATAAGAAATATATGGGTTAAATTGATTTTCAAAAATAAGGATCAATTTATACTAGGGCTGGGGAAGCTTTTCAGCCCCAGAGCCACATTCCCACCTGGGCAGCCTTCCAGAGAGCTCATACCAGAGGCAAAAGTGGGTGCAGCAATAATGTAAATTTTGTACTGCTGGCTAGTTTCTACACACATTCACCCGTACCTTTCTCTATCCTCTGTCCAGGCAAACTAGAGGCATTATCAAGAGTTCTAGAACACATTCTAGAGACAGGCAAAAAACTGACTAGACCACTGCTCCCATATGGCAAGCCGCATCACTACAGCATCTCCATGAGAGTTTTCTAGACTGATTCCATCCATAGTGGCCATTGGCTCCTCCTGGGCAGGAAGAAGTGTAAGAGGGAGATAGTAAGCAGCCTTATACTCGGTACTGTCTACTCTGACTGCCAATGGCTCTCCGGGGTTTTCGATAGCAGCCTTTCCCAGCCCTACCTGGTGTCACTAGGGATTGAACCTGGGATATTATGCATGCAAGGCAGATCCTCTGCCATTGATCTGTGGTCCTTTGGTTTGTCCTCTGATCCTGATAACACTTTGCTTCTGATTCTCAGGTTCCCCCTTCTCATTTCATTCTGCAGCCCATAGCCCATAATTGACTATTACACTGATACCTTGTATTTCCTCCAAGGTGTTCAGGCGGCACACATGGTTCTCTACCACCCGTTTCATCCTCCCAATGATCTTGAGGATTGCTTGAGCGAAAATCGTTCACCCAAGGATACCCCGTGAGCTTGAAACCTGGGCCTGCCAGCACACTGACTCCCAAGCCCTCTCTAGCAAACGGGAATAATTTCAGAATGGGGCAAGTAGCAGGGGTTCTTTCTCACACTCTACTCCCATCAGAAATGGGAAATACATGGATAAAAGAGATTGAAAGAGGTGGGCTTCTAAAGAAACCCTCAACATGGTGTGGGGGGAAACTAGAGGATTAAGTGTCTACATTACTTTGGCATGAATCAGTTTTATTATATTTCTGCATTCATATGTTGTTGTTTTTTAAAAAAAATAAACCCATATTTAGAAGAAATACATGTTTGTTCAACACACTTCTATACATGTTTAATCAGAAGTCTTAAAAAATAAATCAGTGGCTTTACTCCCATGGATCGGCTTACTCACAGTTCAGTATGCATAGGATTAATGTCTTAGATATTTTGAGAGAAAATATATCTATTTCTAGAAACATTTTCTCTCAAAATAGTCATTTTAAAACTCATCTCGATATCTTTCTTCAGCTAAGAACTTCATCTAAACATCTTGGAAGTGTGAAAGCTGGTGGCTTCCTAACTTTCAATTCACACTTTGGTCAGCAAGGTATGGGTTAGGTCAGTTTGTACTGGAATTCACAAAGACTGAATTCCTGAAGCATGCCTAGAAAAAGCTTTAAAACAGGAGAAAGAAACGGAAAAATCAGGCTACTGCAAAAACAGACTGAAAATCAGAGCAAAAGAACTGATGAGGAATGTCAAGCAGAGGCAGTACATGAAAGCAAACACACCTGTCGCTCTACTGGCCTACAAGGGCTGCTTTTTCTTGTGCCTTCTGAAAGCCTTATAAGCTGTTTTTTCTCCCTGTGACATTATGTCTCCATGGTGTGAAGGAGAAGAAGCTGATCAAAATCCTAGCTATAAAAGTCATCACAAGAGTAGGGGAACGCACATACAGGTTATAGAGGAACTAGGAGTGATAGCCAAAGGTATACATAGGAAACTTTTGAAGAACAGATAATACATTCTCAAATGTATTGAATGGCTGTGAATTTTAAACAGCCATTGGAGGGTAGAAGAGAGAAAAGAGAAAGTAACCAATGTGCGGTTTAACCCTCCCCCTCCACAACCCTAACAGATAGATTTCTAAAAGCACCAGAGACAGAAAATTCAAATCAGGGAAGACCAAGTTTCATGGAATTTGGCCCCCTCTAATTAAAGCAAGGGATGCTTACATTTTTGAGCACCCCTGCTTTGAATAATTGCCCCAATTCCGGATGGAAGTCATTACAGTGTAGGGAACTGTGTGAATTCTAGATTCAGTTTGTTGCATATAGTGTGTGCATATGTGTCTATTTCATTGTGTCACCAGTAACTTTTTGTGTAAAGGATCCCCAAGTATGTAGCTTTCACAAAATCATAAGAGCTGGATGATCAAGAGTTGTAAAATCATAAAGCTGATCCAATCCCTTGCTCAGTACATGAAATCCAGAGCTAGAACATCCCAACAGATGACTGTCCAAATTACACTTGAAGACCTTAGCAACGAAAAGCCCTCCAAGTAATTGGTTCCATTGTTGAGCATTCCTCTTAATGTTCAACTGAAATCAATCCTGCTGTAAGTTAAACCCATAAGTTGGTAGGCCCACCACCTGCCTCCTTGATCCGTGCCTGTCTTGGCTGATTAGGGAGTGTCCAGATGTTGTGCGGACCCCCCTGGTTGAAATTATCAATTTGTCCCTTGACACGGGGACATTCCCAGGGGAACTGAAGGAAGCAGTGGTGTGTCCACTCTTAAAGAAAACTTCATTAGATCCCTTAGACCTATCCAATTACCGCCCAGTTTCAAATCTTCCATACCTGGGTAAGGTAATTGAGAGAGCGGTTGCTGAACAGCTTGGTAGGTTTCTGGAGGAAACATCGGCATTAGATCCATTTCAGTCCGGTTTCCGTCCTGGTTTTGGGACGGAGACGGCTCTGGTTGCCCTAACAGATGATCTCCGTAGACAACTGGATCGAGGCGGGTCAGGACTGCTGATCCTTTTAGATTTGTCAGCAGCCTTTGACATGGTCGATCATGATCTTCTGGACCACCGCCTCGCAGACGTGGGGATACAGGGCATAGCCCGTAACTGGTTGTGCTCTTTTATCTCTGGTCGGGGACAGAGGGTGGCACTAGGGAGGGAAATGTCGTCGCGCCACTCCTTGGTGTGTGGAGTGCCGCAGGGCGCAATTCTCTCCCCGATGCTTTTTAACATCTTTGTGCACCCTTGCCCAGATTATCCGGAGCTTTGGGCTGGGCTGTCACCAATATGCTGATGACACTCAGCTCTATCTGCTGATGGATGGCCACACCGACTCGGCCCCGAACACACTGACCAGATGCTTGGAAGCTGTGGCTGGATGGTTTCGTGGGAGCCGATTGAAACTAAATCCTTCGAAGACAGAGGTCCTATGGCTAGGTCGGGATGGCATGGGGATGAGGGACCAACTCCCTTCTCTTGCGGGGCCCAATTAGTGCCATTGCCTTCCGTTAAGAGTTTGGGTGTAATCCTTGACGCCTCCCTTTCCATGGAGGCGCAAGTTACAGCAACAGCCAAGGCGACATTTTTCCACCTTCGCCGCATCAAGCATTTGGTCCCTTACCTTTCCCGCCCCAACCTGGCCACAGTGATCCATGCGACGGTCATCTCCAGGCTTGACTACTGTAATTCGCTCTACGCGGGCTGCCCTTGAAGCTGTCCCAGAAACTCCAGCGGGTACAGAATGCTGCAGCGAGGCTCCTCACGGGGTCTCTGCCATGGGAGCATATTCACCCAGTGCTTTTCAAGCTGCACTGGCTCCCGGTGGAGTACAGGGTCAGATTTAAGGTGCTGGTTTTGACCTTTAAAGCCCTTCACGGCCTAGGACCCTCGTACCTACGGGACCGCCTCTCCCGGTATGCCCCACGGAGAGCCTCAAGGTCCATAAATAGCAACACCCTAGTGGTCCCAGGCCCTAAGGAAGTTAGATTGGCTTCAACCAGAGCCAGGGCCTTTTCAACTCTGGCTCCGGCCTGGTGGAACGCTCTGCCTCATGAGACCAGGGCCCTGCAGGATCTGATTTCTTTCCGCAGGGCCTGTAAGACAGAGTTGTTCCGCCTGGCCTTTGGCTTGGAGCCAATTTGATTCCCTTCCTCCCTCTTTCTTTTTCTTTTCCTTCTCCTCCTGCGATGAGGCTACATTTTAATATTTTAATGTTCCATTATTTTAATGTTGTATTTTATTTTTGTTTTTAAGTTGTAATCATTCATCTTGTTTTTATTATTGCTTGTAAGCCGCTCTGAGCCCGGCCTTGGCTGGGGAGGGCGGGGTATAAATAAATTATTATTATTATTATTATTATTATTATTATTATTATTATTAGTTAAACCTGCCCTCCAGGGCAAAGAAAAAGTTTTTGTGACAGCGCTTCAAATATTTGTAGAGTGCTACTATGGTCCCCCATCCCCCCCCCTTCTTATTTTCCAAACGAAAGCATTCCAAGATTCTTCAACCTTTATTCCTAGGACTTTTTTCCCATACCATTGACCATCTTGGTTGCCCTCTTGTAAACCTGTTCTAATTATGTCTAGATACTTCTTAAAGTATGGCACCCAGAACTGGACGTAGAACAGCAGAAGAGGTCTGACTAGTGCAGAATGAAGTGGGCCCTTTGCTTCTCATGATTTGGAAACTTGAATTATGTTAGTGTGGCCTAAAATCATATCAGCCTCTGTCTTTTTTCCCCAGCCACATCACGTTGCCAACTCATATTCAGCTTCTGATAGACCAAAATCCTGAGATCTTTTTCACATATGCTGCCTTCAGTTCAGGTATCTCCTACCCTATAGTGGTGTGCTTGATTACAGGAGAGGGGGCAAAATGGAGAACTTTGTCCCTATCAAAATTCATTTTGCTAAGTTTCAGAGCAGCTTTCTAGTCTAGCATCCTTTTATTCCTGTCTATTGAGGTGTTAGGTGTGCCTCCCAGTTCTGTGTAATTGATCACATTTAATAAATAAAGATTCCCTCCACCCTTCCATCCACCCTGTGGCCCTCCAGATATTGCTGGACTACAACTCCCACCATCCCTAATCACTGGCCATACCATTTGGAGCTGGTGAAAGTACTTAATAGAGCAGCAAGGCCACCATCACATCCACAAGAGTGCTGACTGTGACCAAAGATGGGGCAGGCTGGGGAATGCTCCCCACTGGTTGCTGCCGCGATAACTTCCACCCATTCACCTGTTTGGTGGTTGAAAAGGGAAACTTCATGCTGGTGGAGTCGCACTGGCATCACTCCATAGGGAGATGTCAACAGGGGGTGGGTCACTTCCACCCAATCCACACCAACACCATTCCAATCATTTGGATTCCTCTGCCAATCACTGGAAAAAACCAACCAAGTCCCCACCCCCATTACCTAGGATAGAGTCCAGCCATGCCCCACGTGAAACTTCCCTTCAGTTTGAAAATAGGTTTCTAACAAGGATTATCTCCTTGGAGAGGGAGTGAGAGAGAGAGATTTATGCATCCAGTTAACTGTTCCTCTCCCCACTCCCCAATAATAGTCCTTGGCTTTCAGTTCATGCCTACTCTTCCTCTTCAGCAATCAGTCATCCTGTAAGGGGAGTTCTTTCTTTTTGTGACATTCAGCTTTCATTCTTTTATTATTGCCTCTTTTCTGTTGTTGTTGTTGTTGCTACTGCTGCTGTGCCGTTTAACTCACCCTGATTATTCACATTGTCACAGACACAAGCAAACTAATTGAACTTACCTATGTACTGTCAAATGTAGTTGCCGACAATGTTTGCATTGTCTCGCAAGCAGAACTTCTGTAAAAACCAAAACCATTATTCAGCTAGCAGCCTTGGTGAAAAATTTAGAAATGGCTTCTTTGGGATTTCAGAATGCTCTAGTAAGGAATAGGGATGGGGGAGAAATTCAGTACAGTTTACATTAAAAGGGAAACCTACCTAATTTGCACTTTCTGAAACAATATGAGAACCGAAATGCAGTCATCCTTCAAAATCCACACTTCTGCAAATTTTGCAGCACAGATTTCCAGTCAAATAATGTGTCCAAAAATGCATATGCTGAAGTAGTGTCCATAAAAATGCATATATTGCTGAAAATAATTTGCAATAATGCCTTGTTTTAGGGGTAATTGCTTTGCAAAAATTTGTATATTAGGCTAATTTGGATACTAGGATGTGTATATTAGGAAAAAATCACATCAAAATACTGGCGGGTTTTCATGAGGGCTTTAAAAAAATAATAATAATCACAAGCAGATTTGGGGATGTGGAGTACTGAATTTAAGATCAGAAAAGTAAGAGGTTGAGAGAACCTGAACTTGACAGATTTGCCCATTCCTAGTCAAAAAGACTCTTCCGCATCTTCAGAAGAGAAAAACCATTATTTATGTGTAACTCACGGAGCCTGCTTGAGGATGGTTGATGTACATGAGTGTATTTCCAATTGCCTCGCTGGAATCTCCTGAAGGTCATGGGGATTAAAGAAGAGACAATCTGCAGATGGTGACTGAATAACTTGAAGTCTTCTAGCAGTACTGCATTTATACAGAGAAGAAAAGAAGCAGAACTGTTAGTCCTTTCCGCCTCCGTATACTTTGCTCACAACATGAGTAGTGCTGAGAAACCTCTGCTAGAGATGCTTTGTTTCTTTCATAGAACTTGAGTCTACAAGTTTTCTTGCGGATGACGAATGATGGTTAGTGCTATTAATTATGCATCCCCTATCTATGAAAACAGAAAACTATTGGAAGGAATTCTGTATCTAATCTGTGGCTACTGTACATACATCCTGGATATTAAATGAAAGAGTTCAAGACTTTGCATTTTAATGTGATTACCACATGCATTTTAGTTTGTTTGCACTTTGGTTGAGATTGGGGTATATATTTCCTATGTGATCTAAAATGTTCCAAAGACGCAGATAAAATTATAACCTAGTATTTGAACGTAGAATGAAAGGTGGGTTTTGAATAACTACATATTATATAGTCCCTTATCCAATAGAGAGTGTTGTACCAAAGGAGAGATGAGCAGCAAGAAGATAAACAGCTCCAAGCCATAGGTCAGAGAAATTTGGAGGAGGATGAACAGGAAATTCAGTATGCTATATGCAAAGGCTGGATAACCCTCTTGATTCCAAGGGCTAAATTCCATGATGGGGGTGTATACAACTGGTGGGCAGGACTAGATGCAAAACTGGGGAAAGTCCTGAGGGCCAAACTGAGAGAGCTGGAGGGCCACATTTGGCTCCTGAGTTTCCTACCTATGCTCTATTCTTGACAAGGCTTTGGTGTGTTGTCTTGAATAGTTGCGGCACTTGCTGTTCAAAGGGGGGGGGGAGCTTGATCTGCAATGAATGTTTTAACATTTAAAAAGTTAATTTGAGACATGAAAAGATTTCTGAAGAAGTGATCCCTGAACCTATGCACTCATAATTCGTTAACCCAAATGCCATCTACTGACAAATTTAATGAAGGCCCTTTTTCCTAGACAAATGAAATGCCAGGAGTCTCCCAAGAACATAGCAGTTACAGGAAGTGTGGAACTGGCAAGGGATACCTTTATGCTCACATATTCACAGGCTATGATATCTAAAAAGCACTGAGAACAACTTTGGATGTTACAGCCAGTGATAATAAGCAGCTGAGTGAGTGGGTTACACTGACTATCATTTTTGTATGAGTTCTGCTTGGAACATAAATGTGTGAAAAGTGGAAACATGAGTCATGAATCCGTTTAGTCCTTTGCTTATTTTTTGTGATATCCACTGCATTCTGATTTAAATGCTTGCAAGCCAGTGGGTCACAAGGCTGTCATGCCTTGGCCGCATCTCTCCTATGCCTTTCATGACAGCTATCTGCCCCGTTACAAGAGTAATAGCAAAAAGAGCTGTCATGAATTTTGCTTAAAGCACATTTTCATGTTAAATTTGGAGGCCCCTCAGGGAATATCCAAGGAATTTTGTGGGAAACAAATCACATTTTGATAAGACTCATGCAACTTGTAAGAGGAGTGGGTGTTCTCACATCCTTGGCCCTATCAAATTTCAGAGAGGTAACTGTATTTCTCTATATCATTCCTGGATAAAGAAGGAAGATTTCTTGCCTTCCTGCTCCATTGCTCTTAGTGACAGTCTGAGGATTGATGAACTGAAACAGAATCTTTTCAGAACATAGAAAATGTCTCCCAAAAGAAGTGGTGAAGTCTCACTGCTTCATACATTCTGAAACAACTTTCTAAAAATACGGTACAATTATAAGCGCAGAGTACAGGCAACATTGCAACAGACTGAGGAGACTTAATTTTTTTGGGTGGGGGGCACATTCCTTGCCTTATGCTTTGGAGCATGCATACTATGGGGTTCCCTTGGCTCACGAGATAACAGTCCACCACCCCTGCTATAGTGGGCTTCCTGCAACAACAAGAGTTGTTGGACTAGATGACCTTTGGGTCACGTTCCAACTATGAATCTATGACTTCCGTCACTGTTAATAATTTTAAAGATGCCTGATTGAGCAGTCACTTCCTTCTTGTTTTTCAAAACTGCCGAAAAAAATAATAACTTTGCTTAAATAATATGTTGGAAACTTAATCAAAAAAATTACAATATTTGTTTCGCTCTCAATGACTTCCCATTGTCTTTGTCTTGCACCACAAAGAGGCTAGTTATCAAAGCTTGCTACATATGTTTGGTTTCTCTTATATGCCCAGGTGGTTGGTATTTGATGGCCTTTTACCCCAAGAATTCAGTTTCCTGAAGCAGAAAATTAAGCTTTTTCCTCTTTTCTGTGGAAAAGTCAATGTGTCCCTAATATTCACGCAAGACTGTGCTGACATACACCTAGCAAAGAAAATATTAAGTACTATTCCTAAATAGCTGGTACAGCAAAAGGAATGGTCTGAACAAAGACATAGGGCTGGATCCAGACTAAGTCATGCTTTGGCCTCATTGAAATCAAGGAAGCTTAAGTTAGACATGACTTAGTTGTCTCCTTGATTTCAGTGGAACTAAATAAGGCATGACTAATTTATCAGCACAATCCAATCCAGAAGTGAATCTCATTGAGGTCAATAGAGCTTACTTGCACATAAGTGAGGATAGGATTACAGTTTTTGTCTAGATCCTTCCTTGTGTTCAAGACAGTGGCCAAGTGTTTTTCCCTTAGCTACACTGAAGCTTCTCTTAAATAGGACTGAGATCCCTTGCTTCTATTTGCATTTTTGCAATGAGGTGTCAAGACACAGTGAGATTTATATTTTAGTTGTGTTAATGAGAACCTGTAGATAGTCTAACTCAGATGTGGGAATGCTTTCAATAAATGATTTTGACCTTCTGAGCTTTATGGGGGGCGGAAAACAAAACTTTGTTCAGCACTTTTCTCCTGCAATACAGGAAATGAAATCAAGAGGTGTGAACAGGTATATATAATTGAATGTTATTGAAAAGTAGACTTCGCCGCAGAAACTGCAGATCCAAAATCTGTTCCTATATCGTACCACTGTAGGCTCTTTTCCTATACCATACCACTTTAGGCTGCAGAGAGCTATGTGTTTATCCCCACCCCTCCTTGATACATTTATTTTGCATAGATTCATTGAATTGTACACTTGGAAGGGACCACGAGAGTCAACTAGTTCAGCTGCCTGCAATGCAGGAATATTCTCCCCCAACATGGGATTAGAACCCACAACCCTGAGAGTAAGAGTCTCTTGTTCTACTGACTGAGCTGTCCCGCAGGTCCATAGTAAATTAACATGTCAGGAGAGGGGGCCAACCTCTCTTTCTTACTGATATTCACCTGATAGATGAATGAGCTTTTTTTCCCACATAGGGAAGCATTCAGACATATATACGCACCAGGCAGTCCAGGATTTTACCATAATTTTGCCAATTAAAGAAACTCAACCTTAGCTTAATAATATAAATGGTGTTATTAAGCAATTAGCCTGGCATGGTTATTCTGAGGTATGGCCCACTGTTTTCAAAGGGCTCTACTCCCAGGAATGGTGTGCCTTTTGAGTTCCTTCTTTCCGTGATCATGCTGCCACCTTCATTTCCTTTAGATGGGGAGCTTCCAGTCACGCTGTAGGAGGACTTAAGAAGTTGTCTTATACCTGCTGATCCATCTAGCGCTGTATTGTCTACATTGACTGGCAGCAGCTCTCTATAGAATTTCAGGCAGCACTACCTTGAGATACCATAAACTGAATCTGGGAACCTCTTCATGCAAAATGTGTACTTTATCACAGCACTACAGCCCTTAATTTTGTTTGGTCTGCATTTTAAGTGACTCAATTTGCACCTCCTGAACTAATACAGATATTGGAAGACAATTATCCTTTGGATTTTGCACTTCTCCAGATTTTGAAATACAGCTATTGCCTTGAAAAAAATGTATTAAAATGTAGAAGGGGGAAAATGAATTTAAGGGTAAAGTACATTTAGAAATGAGTACATTGAGATAAAATAAGTGTTTAAATAAGTGTTTTGTGCTCAAATATTTAAATACAAATTTCCATCTGCTTAAAAAAAAAACACCCCACAGATCATTGTAAAAATGGGACTGAATGGAGTTATGATTAAACACATGCAAAACTGACATGCACTCAAGATAGAATGATGAATAATCAGGCTGTTTGCTGGAGCCTTGTGACAAGAGGGTGACATGGCTACATTGTCTCTTTATTTGTCAGTGTAGAATTTATTGAAATTCACTTTCATGGGGGGGATCTCAAGTTCTATTATGAGAAAAGAAGAAAATATCTGTCAGATTTCTTTATTACCATTCATAATTTTGTAAATCTCTATCAAGTCCCCTTCCAAGTTGTAAAAGGGTCCTTTTTAAAACTGTAAAAGCTTCAGCTTTGATTATTGTGGTTTGCTTACTATTCAGCAGTGATATCTGGCCAGCTTGTTCTGCCCTTTTAGCTGTTCTTTCTGCCCATCTAATGGCTTTATAGATATAATTATAAGATGTTTGGCTGATGTACTATTAAAACCTAATTAATTTTCAGTTTGCATGAATTAGCTGTAATATGCATAAAGACACACATTTAGAAGTGTGATTACATGTTAACTGAAAAGTTGACTTTGAGACATTTGTTTATATATTATAAAATGAAGTAGCTCCAGGCTTAGTGTCTTAAAAATTCTTGGTTCATTACATTATGGCTCTTTGATTGTCTGAATGGTCGCCTGGCATTTCCATAGGGCAGAACTACATATTACAAGAAAATACAGGCAACACAGAGGAGATAACTGTTTCTGTCTGTATGCAGAGAGGAATATTTGAGCTCAATCAAATCACATGTATATCTGAGATAATTTGTTGTTCCTGATGTTGATAGATTATAACGGATCAGTCTTATATCAGAAACACAACTGAATGTAACAGGGTTACTTCCAAGTAGATGGATAAAGATTTTGGCTTTTTGCAGTTTAGTAGCGCAGAGAGCTTGCTGGGGAGACCATGCATTAAAAAGGGACTCAAAAATAACTTAAACAAGGTTTTAATTACAAAAACTCCTTTTACACTAAATACATTAACAAACAAACATGACCCAACCACCAACCCATCCCCCAGGGTAATGGGAGAGCTAGGTGCTGCTCCTTATATACTACACCCAATTGCCAACACAGCTTAATCAGTACAACTCAGCAGCACCTGCTATGTTTCACAGCTAAAAAGCTGGGTCTCGTTATTTTGCTCTGGCCCTTGCTCTGGCCCCTTAAAGACATACACATCGGGTGGAACAATGATGAACCTTTACATTTAAAGTAACCATTCAACAATAGGATTAAAGCCTTACGATGCAATCCTGTGCATGTCCACTCAGAAGTAAGTCCCTCTAATTTCAATGAAGCTTCTCCTATGTAAAAGGGTATAGGAGTATAGCCTAGATAAGCAAGCAGGTACTGTTATTGTTGTTGTTGACATTTCTCTGTCTTAGGAGACAATGGAGGAGTGTGCCTTTGGGGGGTGAAGCTAAACTGTTGGAAGGTTTACAGTGCCTGCTGTAACCGATGCTGGAGAGACGTGTTTTGTTCCAGCTGGGGCAAATGGAGGCATTTGGATGTGCTGCTATAGCTGCCCCATGATGTTTCTTCTCTCTGCACTTCTCCCAGCAGTCTCACTGTAAATATGATCAGTAGTTTGTAATTTGGAAACAGTAAGATGATTCAGATAACCTACTAAGCTAAACCTTGGCTTGCTGAGATGACACAAGCATGAGGCCTTCCAGGGAGGAGCTCACAGCCACTTAGCCCCCCTCCCTGCTCTTTTGCTGCCAAGCTGTGCCATACTAACCCAAGATTTGGCTCCGCGTGTCATCTGAACTGACACTTGTAGTTTTGGTCTCTCTCTACTACTCATACTCAGCTAGAGATGGGCAAGAAATTCAGTTCAGTTCACATTCAAAGGGGAATCTTATCAAATTGGCACTTTCTGAAGTCATGAGTGAACCAAAATGTATTTTTGCCTTATGTATAAAATTCATTGCTTTGAAATAAAGCAGGTGCACTTCCCTTGATTTTCAAGTCAGAATTGCCTATAAATTTTATTATAAGAAAATAAAAAAATATTATTTCCTGACACCTTTAATAAGGGTGTCTGATGACCCACTCTCTCCTCCCTGAAATATTGCTTGACCTTTCCAGGTGTCTTTTGGCTATTGTCAAAATTTCTTGAACATTTGGCCAGAGGAGGAATTTCCAGTTTTGATTTGGACCCTACTTGAACTGAAATTTCTCTTGGGTGTACTGCCAAACAATTTCATTGAGTGACGCCAAGTTCTAGTCTTATAAGAGAGGAAGAAACATTTATCTCTGTCCCATTTTCTTCACACCATTCATGATTTTTATAAGCCCATTTAAAGCTGTAAAAATGTTGCTTTTAAAACTGTGTCTGGGATGGAGTGGGGACCCCTCTTGTTTCTGAAATCTTTTCAGAGTGTTTCCATCCCCAAGTGTTCCCCATCCAATTTCACTTCAGGCTAAATTGCAGGGCCAATTCTTCCTTATATTAACACCTCAGTATTAATCCTTTGGAGCAGCATAGTTGACAAGCAACTGATAAGGCAGGGTAGGGACAAGTATTTAACTCTGCCTCCATCGCTATTCTTTGTGGAGGGTGACTATTTGCAGGAAGTCTCCACTATTTTTCAATCGATTTTCCCAGAGTTCTAAGATGTACAAGAAGTCTCAATGGTTACAGGACGCTCCTTGCTTCAGATGATTGCCTTTCAATTTATCGAGGGCAATTGGAATGGTGACAGGGCTGTAGATACTCTTCCTCATGGTTCCTTTCACATGTTTACTGACATCTGAAGGCAGCCCTGTTTAGGGAAGTTTTTAATGTTTGATGTTTTATTCTGTTTTTAATCTGTTGGGAGCCACCCAGAGTGGCTGGGGAAACCCAGACGGATGGGCGGGGTATTATTATTATTATTATTATTATTATTATTATTATTATTACTACTACTGAATGTTTGAAGAGGGTTTTAGTCTTAGATGTGTTTTGTCTAGTATGATATGTCTATATTCAGATTCCTTGTGACCCTTACATAACAAATCTATTTGTCATTTGCACACTGGTGTTTGTGTAAGGTGCAGAGAGAAGTTATTTTGAAATTTGTTTTTAAACTATTCAATCTGTGCATATTCTGGAGCTAACAGATCTGAACTGTACCTTCCACACTAATATGCAGATTGGAACATAGCTATCCTTCAGATTTTGCACCTCTCCAAATTTTGCAGTGCAGTTCTTCACGGACTGCCTTAACAACAACAAAAACGTACCATCTTTTACTCACCCAAATAAATAAATGATGATTTAATGATGGCAGGAGCAGATGAATGTGGAACTGGGATGAGACTGGTGTCATGGGCCAGAAATAGGAGAACCTGTTCAGCAGGGGGTTGCAACTGGCTAGGTTCTCCTGTGCTTTCTTACTCCAACATGTATCTGCACTTCATATTACACAGTATTTGCAAGGAGCAGTCCACCTGCTTGGAGTGGGGGGTGGGGAACCGTGGCAATAGCCTCCCAGCTGCAGCATCACTGTCACTTAAAGTGAGGGGTGAGACAGTGGTGTGGTTGGGGTGTGCAGGTGCGCTAACATAGCTTATATGGCAGTCTGTGTGCAGCCCCAATCTTGCCCCCCTTTCCTAGTATGTGGCAGTGATACTGATGGGGGGCATTGCTGTAGCTATGCTTCACGAAGCAAGCTGCTCCTGGTGTTTGCCACTGCTGACTCTAATTTATATGTAGCATTTATGGTGCATACAGTTCAATTTGTCCGTACTGGTGCTGGCTCAAGACATTTTGATGGCTAAAGTAGCTTTTATTTACTATTAGATGTGTAACACAATCAGTTTGAAGTCACCTTGGTCTTTCAATATATTCTATAGCTCAAACATACACTCTGCTCTTTTGCGAATAACACATCTGTGAGGTGGTGTTTGTGTGTTTTGGGAGTTTCAACCAGGAAGGCCCAGGTTTCAGTCTCTGCTTAGTGTGAGGCTCAGTGGGCAACTGTGGGCCTGTTACTTGTAGACTAGCCTAAAAATGGGTAATCTCCATGCCCAACACACTAAGCTCCATAGAGGAAATGACAGGCATTCATTCATTCATTCATTCATTAAATCTAGAGTTTGGACCTGCTATTGTCTATATCATATGGGCAGAATTCCACCTGGGCACCCCACTGACAGAAAGGGAGGGAGGGAATATCACCTCCTCCCTGAAGCTCCCAGTGCCACCTTTTATACTTCATACTATGTCATACTTCATACTATTTTATACTATTTTGGAGGGTCACCCGACCTCCCAGAACAGATGGGAGGTATAGAGAGCTGCAGGGAGTGGGTAAATCATGAAAACCACCCCCTTCAGCATTTTGCCAGAAGAATTCCTCTGCTATATCATGTGCCTTTCTATCTGCAGGAAGCAAAGTCTGGCTCCATCCTTGTGAAACTCATAAGTAATGTATATTTTTCTAGAAAAGCTTGGGTTTCCCCCCCTTCTGCACTGCAGTCTCTATCAGAAAATTGATTGCTTTTGTTTCCTTTTCACTGATGCCAGTCACATCTTGAACAGAGCGTTTAGTGATCCCATTGAAGATATCAAAAATAGTGAAAGTGATGTCAAAGGAGAATACATGTTAGAAGAAAGAATCAATTTTTTATCCATTCTAATTGCTTATATTATGAATTTCATTACAGCCAATTCCATTATATGAATCCATTCTCTCATGATAGTCAATAATTTGAAAGTTCAAGTAGATTTAATAATTCATTCAGTGAGCCCTTAACATATTTCAGTTTTCCCCAATACCATATAACAATTATCACGAGAGGCAAATTTAAACTTGTGTGCTCAAAGATTTTTCTAAGTATGACATTTTTGGTCTCTGCACATTCTATAAACTCCCATAGGAGAAGAATTCATGAACAACTAATAGCAGACCCAGTCAATTTAGAGACACACATTTATTCACCCAGAGCGCTGTGCAGTTAGTTCAGGTTTGGCTGAGCTAAATAACAGTTGCAACAGAGATGTGTGCTACTGGGTTAAGAAAATGGATCTGATGCAGACATAAGCTCTCTTCAGGCATTCAAAGTGAATATGTGAAGATTGCTGTGGCATTGTGTGCAGAAACCCTGCCTGCAAAATCCAATTCCAAGAGGACACCTTCATGCACTGAGTGCAAAGGTCTGAAGGGGGCTCCAACCATATTCAGCTGAACACAGTTGCCTCTGTGGGACTGGGAATCCTGTGTTGTCAGGGTTCCCAACTGCACAAAGGCGTCAGTGCAGAGATCTCCTATACCAGGCATGGGGAATCTATGGCCCTTCAGATGTTACTGGCTTCCAACTACCATCAGCACAAGCCAATGTGGCTAATGATCAGGGATCATGGGAATGCCACAGGTTCTCCACCTATACGTTGCATATTTTACCCCACAAACCAGCCAGGTGTGGCTTGAATGCGCAAATAGGGCCATGATATTGCATTGTTCTTAAAGTTTTAAAGAAAAACAGCGGACAACATGAACTCTTGATGTGATGTCAACTTTGGCCATTGCTGCTAATATGTTGGATGTTGAATATGAATAATGGGTTTAAGCTCTCTATGGTCATGAACTCACCAACCTAGTTGGGGTATGGATTTTCAAGCTCAGTTTCAAACAGCTTACCCCTTAGGTATGCTGGAGAATTTAGACTCATAACAGTTAAATGCTAGAGCAATATTTAATAAAAAATGAAGGAGTACAAACCAAAGTAAGCACTTTCACCTGTATTTTTAAAGGTATTTCTGATCAGTAATGGTGTGTATGATGAAGAAGAACCATCCTCCTGACATTAGCTTCTCTGCTGCCTACATGAACAGGGCCTGGGCAGGGAGGCAGCAAGTTAGGAGCACCAGTGTATCTGCGCAGCCCTGGCCCTGCCACTTCCCCAGCCCCACCCATGTAAGGAGAAGTGATGCTGGAGATTCCACCCCACCACGTGTGGCACAACTTTTAATATATTTATAGTTCATTGCTCTGGGCACCAAAAGTTTATTTAAAAATTATAATATACTTGTGCAACCATATATAAAATGACTTCAGCAGAAGGAAATGTCCACAGAACAGAGTTCACAGCAATGCCCTTCACTGGGGGGAAAAATCCAAAGAGTCTGTAAATCATTAAAATGACAATCTGCACATGGGGGTGCATGAATTGGGGTTGGGGTCAGTGAATTTAGGATTACTGACTAAAAGGTTTTTAAGACTGAAATGCTATGGATGTGTGGGTGGGTGTGAAGATTGTAATGCAGCACCAAAATGTTGCAACATAGACTTCAGGGAAGCGTCTTTGGGGAGGGCATTCCATAACCAGGGTGCCAGCCCAGAAAATGTCATGTCTCTAGTAAACTCCCATCATAAGTCATTTGGTAGAGAGACACCCAAAGAATAGCCTCTGAAGGTCCATGTAGGTAAGGTAAGTTCCAGAGGAGGCGATCCTTCAGGAAACCTGACCCCAAATGTTTAGGGCTTTAAATGACACTTTTAATTTGGCCCACAAACAGACTGACTAAACACTGGCATAATATGATCATGTTCCAGCTAGCAACCTCTCTACACTCTTTGAAACTGCATAGAGTTTCGTCCATAGGAGAGTTGAGCGTTCACTACTATATACCAATGGAAACAATACGGCTGACAGTCTGTATAAAATAAATGCTTTCCACTTTGATTCCAGATATGTGTTTGTGAAATTTAACATCATCATCATTCATCAGGAATCCACTGGAAACCACCTGAGGGAAAGAGGAAGCAGAAAGCACTTAGACAAAGTAAGTTTCAGAACTCTTAATGCAATATTGTACTTAGCTTTTCTTAACTCATTCTTGAAACAGCAGTGGTATTCGTGTTCAAAAAGCAACAAACAAACTTTGTGACTTTGGACTTTTGCACATTTTGTGTGTTTATATTGTTTATCTGGAAAAATGGGTTGCTGTGTATCAGTAAAGTTCCCCTTCATCAACCCCTCTGCTCATAATCACACCCTCTAAACACTGCCTTGTAGTGAAGAAACAGGACATCAGCCTGTGCTTGTGTGCAACATTCAGCTACACACTTTAAAAGTGCTTTACTGTAGCCTGATTGTACCTACTAATCATGATGATCACCAGCAACAAATAATTTCCACTCTTTTGGTACTCAATAGGCACTTTACCAACTCTTTCTAGCTGCTGGAGGTGGTGGTGGGCTAATGGAATCAATCCTTGGTTGCAAGCTATTCTCTCTCATTGTATGCCTTTTGTAGACACTTTTTACCCAAAATTTATCAATTATTTTCAATACATTGAGCCATTAAAAAAAAACATATTTATGTGTTTACGCACCAAAAATGCACTGCAAAATCCAGAAAAGTACATAAGCCAGCTGGGAGTTGTGTTCCATTTCTCAAGCAAGTTCAGGTACATCAGATCATGTCAATCCCCTGTGAAAAGTGGACCAAATTTCATCCCTAGATGGAGCCAGGTAATTTTTCCCTGTATTTTTCTATGTCATCTGAGTGAAAATCTGTACATCCATCCATCTACCTATTGGGGGGGAGTGTTTGTTGTCTCCAGACCTCAGTAAACCCTGAAAAGGTAATCACAAAGTTCTGTAACTGCAGATTGACATTATAAATATGAAATGAAAATCAAGCTTGAAGCGTTAAAGCTCATGATGGTGTATGAATATTCATTCATTCTGTGGCACTTCCATGAATTCTTTTAATTACCACCTTTTCATATTCCAGTTTCTCTGTAATTCGTTTGATAAACAATTCTGCAAAGGGGTTGCAAATGACACTTTCATTTTGCCAATCTCGGAGGTTATTACTTGAAGAAAATACATCATCAGGATTGGTCATTTTACATCTTCTACGTATGAGAATCAGTCCTAATTGCATTTTTGTTTAATTGGTGATGCCTAAATCCATGAAGTAAGGGAATTCTATTCTTACACATCCACAAATAATTAAATATGGATTCATAATTAGCATTCACAGAGCCTTTGACGAGTTTTGCAGCAAGGTCCAGGGACCAAAAGGTCAATAATTGAAATCTATCATATGTGTGGGTATTTAGTGGCTGAAATGCAAGCAGAATCCATAGCTGAACAGACCCAGTTATGTGTATACCAATTATGTGTATCTGCACGATGGATTTAATTGCTGCCAAAATGTACAATGACCACTAACAAGGAGCTAGTTAGTTTGGTAAAAGTTAAACACTTTTAGATCCCCCTGGTTTCAATAAGAGAGATTTAAATGCATGCAAAGCTCTCGTATTTAAATTAATGGTCTTTGCTGGATCATGAATTATGAAATTATAAAAAACAAATAATAAAAACACATTAAATCATTTGGAAACCTTCAGCTGATTTCAGTAAAGCCACATTTGAAAAGTGGTGAAGGGGTTTCAGGGCATAGTGATTAGAAGGAAACTCCAACCCCCTGCACTGCAGGAATCTCAACTCACAGGTCACCCAGCCTGTGCTTTTAGGTTTATTTTACTCCTATGCAGTTGCTGTATACCATTTCTGAAATATATAAAGGAAAACATAAATATATGCTTCTATCAAGGATGTGTACCATGGTGATGTTCAGTATATAGAGAGCTGCTGATGGGCTGGAAGTGTGAAATAAATAAATAGGCAATATAGCAGCATCTCAGCTACTAAGGACAACAAGTTGTCTTGTCTAAAAGTGTTTATACTTTCATCAGTCCTTTCCAGTCTGCCTGCCCGATGAGTACTGTGAACTCAGTATCTGTGCATAGTCCTTCAGTAGCATATATTGGTCGAATGAAGATTTCACTTTTTTCCCTTCAGTTGTAAAAAGTGTCACTGCAGATGACAGACAGACAGATGCTTAGGTGGAAGGAGCTCCCCACACAGCTGGCCAGGTATCCTCTTTACATTTATTTGCTGGAGCTTTGGTGGTGTATACTGCTATTATGTCACTATGGATAAAGAGGAATCCCACTAGTACTTTGCACCAATAGAAGAGGTTAAGCACCAACAGCAGGAAGAGAGAAAGGCTCCCTCCAGATGCCCTTTTATTGCTTATGATGATCAGGAATAACGGGGGTTGTAATTCAACAACATCTGGGGGGCCACAGGTTGCTCCAGCAGTAGGTCATTTGTAGGGGGAAGGGGAGGACAGCGGCATCCAATTGGTGACGGAGGCACGTCACTCAATAAAATGGGGCAGGGTACCCTGGGGAGCTCCAGGTTGGTGGTGGCTGCAGCCCTGCATGTACCCCACCCCCAGTGGGGCTACCAACAACCTAGAACTCCCCCACAATGACACTGCCTCACCCCGCCTTCGCTCTAGTCAGCATAGTGCTGCCACTGGAATGACACCACTTCTGCTGTCCTCCCCCTTATGACCCATCACTGGGTTCCCTATCAGTGATATAAAGTGAGTCTGCTCAAGCTTTAGCTGAGACTAGTTGGGGAGCTTTCCAAGTATTGTCAGGCCAGACGTGGGATTGACTTTGCTGTCAAAGCATGGGAGCCTTTTTTATTTGTATCCTTTGGGTAGCTGGGGCTCAGGGACTGCACTGGTCACTGGAGTCTAAATGCCAGCATTTGGGGGCTTTTGCACATGCTTTTTGACCATCCGGAACTTGGATGAAAAGTAGCCAAACATGGGGACTATGTCTTATTTAAGTGACTAGCACAAAAATTACCTTGCTGGATCATGCCAAGGTCCATCTAGTCCAGGGGTCAGCAAACATTTTCAGCAGGGGGCAGGTCCACTGTCCCTCAGACCTTGTGGAGGGCTGGACTATATTTTGGAAAAAAAATATGAACGAATTCCTATGCCCCACAAATAACCCAGAGATGCATTTTAAATAAAAGCACACATTCTACTCATGTAGAAACACCAGGCAGGCCCCACAAATAACCCAGAGATGCATTTTAAATACAGAGGTACCTCAGGTTAAGTACTTAATTCATTCAGGAGGTCCGTCCTTAACCTGAAACTGTTCTTAACCTGAAGCACCACTTTAGCTAATGGGGCCTCCTGCTGCTGCCGCACTGCCGGAGCACGATTTCTGTTCTCATCCTGAAGCAAAGTTCTTAACCAGAGGTACTATTTCTGGGTTAGCGGAGTCTGTAACCTGAAGCGTATGTAACCTGTAGCGTATGTAACCCATGAAGGAGACAAATCCACAACCTGCAGCATTCACATTCTGAAGCACCACATCTGCGCTGGCGCAATTTGGCGCTTTTGCACATGCGCAAAGCGCAATTTAGTACTTCTGCACGTGTGCAAGCGGCGAAACCTGGAAGTAACTTCCGGGTTTCCCGCGGTCTGCAACCCGAAAACACGTAACCTGAAGCATCTGTAACATGAGGTGTGACTGTAAAAGGATGCATTCTACTCATGTAAAAGCATGATGATTCCCAGACCATCCGTGGGCCAGATTTAGAAGGTGATTGGGCTGGATCTGGCCCCCGGACCTTAGTTTGCCTACCCATGATCTAGTCCATCTCCAGCATGCTGTTTTCAACAGCAAACAGCTAGGGACTTTGGGGGAAAGAGGATTGACTAGGATCTGGAGATGAACTCTCAACTCTGGTTTCCTAATGACTTGGTACTGCCTTGAGCTAATCATAAGTAGACATGGGCAGGAAGGCTTAATCACACTTTTATGAGTTTGTGTCTTCTATGGTTAGTTTGAAATATTGTTGAGCAGCACCAGGAAGTGGGAAAGACACTTTGAGAATTACAATATATTGTATTGTCTGAACAACCTGGTGCTTAATATAGTACAAATTGAATTGGCTGTCTTGCATGAGTCATCCAAAGAGCATCATATTATTATTATTATTATTATTATTATTATTATTTATTCATTATTTGCAATGCACCTATTTGTTGTTTGAGGCATCCAGGAATCGCTATTTGTAGGGCTGGAGCAGGAGTTGATGGGCGAAGACTGATTCTGCTTTGATGCAAAGGGTCAGCCTTTTGTTCTTTAACAACTCTACCGACAAAGCAGATTATCTTAAAATTTTACCTTTTTATCATATAAATCTTAATGCCAATGCAGAGAGAGAAAGAGATGACAAATCCCTCAGTAATACTAATCAACAGTGCATAAGGGTCATTGTTTGAAGGAAATGTATTTCATTTTTTAAAGTTTTCTCAACAAACTTGACCTGTTCCATCTTTGGAGCTTCAAATCTCATAGTAAATAGTACATTGGCCTGTGGGTGTGCTGCCGTTCTTTGGTATGAATTAACTGACACACACACACACACACACACACACCCTGAGCTGCCCTTTACTATAGCTACTCATTAGTCGACGATTGTGTGACTATGTGGAGGAATGTTGTCTTGTACAGAAAGTCACTGTGGATTTTTTTTATGTCATGTACATTCTAATTCCCTTAAATACATTTGGTTTTCCTTTGATGGTGATTATGATAATCTATGACCAGAGTTCACTTGAGGCATCCTCCTATGTCATCTGTTGGCAAATGCTGTGGAAACTAGTAGGGTAGTTGTTTTTTTTAATAGTTTTGGAGTCACCACAATTATTTGGGTTATTTTCTAAGAGGCCTTGAGAAATGCTAGACAGCGGCAGAAGTTAAGGCTTGTTTTATAAAGTTGTTTTGGTCCTGTTATCCCCACCTTGAATCCAGATCCTCTACAGATGCATTTACCAGTACATCTTCAGGAACAAAACTTGGATCAGTACTTTGATTCACATTATTGCATAATATATTAATTTGATTGATGTTGATCAAATTAACATATTAACTTTATTAGATATTAGAGTCTGCATTCTTTTCTCTTACTTCATAGAATCATAGAATTGTAGAGTTTGAAGGGACCATGAGGGTCCAACCCCTCAATGCAGGAATTTTTTGACCAGTGTGGGTCTTGAACCCATAACCCTGAGATTAAGCAACTCGTGCTCTACTGACTGAGCTATCTTCATTCAGGAGCATTGAACTTACATGCAGGCTTCAACATGGTGCCCTCCAAAGGTTTTAAACTATAACTCTCATCACCCCTGACCATTTGGCATGCTGGCTAGGACTAATGAAAGCTATAGTCCAAAACAGCTGGAGGGTAACAGGTTGAGGAAAACTGTTCTACAGCTCCCTTGTGCCATTGTTAGGAGGCTTAAACATCACTCTGTCTATCATGTTTTAACATATAAATGTGCTTCAACCTTTGAGGTATCCAGTGCCATGGGAACTGATGGTTGAAAATATTTTCTTTTCAGCTTAGCATAAAATTGAGTAGACACATTGTTCTGTATTCAAACTGATTCTTTCTCAGCAATATTGCCAGTTATTTATCTGCTCATTCTTTGTATGTATAAAATATTTAAATACAAGTTTTAAAATGCAAATATATGTACATACTGTAATAATAATAATAGAAACACAGAGAAAATAAAAGCATATATTATTTACATTTTTAAAAAGAAAAAGAAATATAATCTTCCTTACACAGAACAGCAAATATTTAGCCTGATGCTGAACAGAGAGCAATGTTGTTCTCAGGCAAACTTTCCTGGGAAGCAAATTTCACTCATGGGCACCATGAACCATAGAAGGCCCATTTGGCAGGGTCACCTGGAGGAGAGCCTCCAAAGTTGACCTCTGCACATAGACAGGTAGATGCGTTCCTTCAGAAACTGGGTCCCAAGCTGCATCTTCACTTTGAATTGTGCTTGGAAAAGCACCAGTCCTCTAAACCATCTGTTTTTGGACTGCCACTCCCATCATCCCTAGCTAGCAGGACCCAGTGGACAGGGATGATCGGAACTGTAGTGAAAAAAACAGCTTGAGTCCCACATTTGGGAAACCCTACTCTAAACACTCATTTTGATGTACGATTAAAGGGCCTTTTGGTTAAACATGCGTAGAATCACTTTCTGTCTTTGAAGACAACCAAAATTGATTCAGACTAAGGTTGCCATATTTCAAAAAGTAAGAATCAGGACATCCTGAAAGTTGCTGAGCTTTACTATAACGCAATTTTTTGATCCAGGGCAAACCACTTCCTTTCAGAAATCCCCCCCCCCCCAAACGTCAGTTCCGCCTTTGAGATCCCGCTAATGTCTGGGAGCATTTGGATGTATGGCAGCCCTAATTCAGACTGAGGGCAATGAGTTCTGAATAGGCAAGCACTTTCTAACTCTTTCAAAGCAACCACCCTTTGACTCATTTCTAACATCATTTTACTGTTTGGTTTTAAATTGTTTTTAAGTTGCAGTGACAGCCCTCATAAAATAAAGACATAAATAATAAATACTGGAATGATTCATTGTATATTTACACTTTGGTCAAATATTATCAAACACTGTTGGTGTGTAACTAGTTTTATAAATACTGTTAGATAATGGAGACTGACAGCATGGTTGCTATATATTTTGTCCATGTGTGTAATTAATTCCCCCATCAGATTGCTAGGACTTTACTACTTTCCTACATTTTATCACAGCAAAATATATAGACTTCAGTATGTGACTGCCTGCAGACACAGCATGTAATGTTTTGTGAGTTTTTTGTCGTGGCTACAGTGATGGACGTTGAATACCAGTCACTATCTTGACAGTTAAGGACAAACTGACAGATGGGATTGAGCCATCTTTAAAATACAGTAGGATTGGGGGGGGGACCCCAACTATTCTACCCACTAACAGGCATACAATCCAGTAACTGAATAGTTGAATATTTGTTTTCTGGAACAAATGGTACTAAGTAGCATTAATAGAGATTTTTAATAAATTCAATGGATTCTTATTATTATTATGAAGGGGTCACTGGCTGTCATTGAGCGTGGAGGAAATACTGTCGATTGAAGCACTAGGAGAAACAGAAATACATGCCAGGTGGTCTCTTTGTTCACTGCAGAAGTGGCAAGCTGCTTTTGTAAATTGAAGGATTGCCTTTTCAGCACTGAGCTGTTTGAGTGAAAAATCTTTAATTGCATATACATTTCTTCCTGCTATTTACAAGTAATATATGGGAAATAGTTTAGGGAGAAAGTGAGAACCTGTCAGTTTGCTTTTCAAAATATATTGTGCTAGTAAAGTTGGTTTCTGTTAGAGTCCTACGGCATATAAAGCATGAAAAAGATTTTTGGATTTTAAGAATGATGAATATTAGGCAATAGGATCCTAGAAAACGGGATGTGGGGTTATTGGTTTATGGATTTTTTGCTCTTGTTTTATTATGGATTTTGTGTTTTTATTTTGTATTTTTATGCTCTGAACCTCCCTTAGACCCTGCAGATGAAGGGCACTATTCAAATTTAATAAATAATAATAATTAAATATGAAGACAGTAGCCCAGTCACATTGTATATATCCACCTTAAGGGTTGTACATATTTTTTCAGTATCTCACTCCTGTTCTCTAAAAAATTTGCAAATCTTTCAATTTTGTGTCATTTGCAGATAGAATTGGCCTGAATCTTATGCAGGGGTTTAGTTCCAGGGGTAATGCATATGTGTGAAAATTCCATATAGACAAAATCGTGTTCTCCTTGGAGCCACCCCATGACTAGCTAGCCGGCCTTATAGCAGTCAGGGAGAGGGAGAGCATCCCTCCTAGTCCCAGAGCCAGCACACCAAGCAGGCCCTGCGCCGGAAGCAAGTCCAAGAGCTCAAAAGTGCATTTCGCCCCAGGGGGTATACTGTACACACAATTCTTCAAAGCAGAGATGATTTGAAGAATTCTGAGACAGTAATTTAGGTGACCAGCTATAAGCAATTTTTTTAAAACGTAAAGTGAGGTGTCCCTTATTGTTCAGTCCTAGGAAATGGAAGGTTAGGAATTCAAAGGTAGTCCCTTATCTTTATTTTAGTTCACAGACTGGGCAAAAGGGAGAGTGAAGAACTGGAAGACACTGGATCCTTGCCCAACTTGCTCCCTAACACAGCACTCTTTTGGCCCTACCAATGTCAAATCTTCAAAGTCTATAGCGTAAGGAGTAAATGTTGGAGTAGTGGAGGGATGAGAGATCTGATGTATCTTTCGGTCCCTGGAAAGCCATTGATAACCACTGCCTCTCCCTGTCTATTAATATAATAAAGTTCCCATGGGAAGGAAAGATTGTGAATTGAAAACACTAGGAGATATGCAGTCATGATTGAGCACTTTAAAGGTCTTATTCATTTCAGCAGGAAAGGGTTAAGGACATGCTAAATATTCCTGTTGAGTTTGATGAAATTTGAAACTGGATTGTATGCATTGAGTAGGGAAATATTTATTAAGGGGGGAGGATTGGAAACTTGATTTTTATGATCCAGTGTTATTTCTTTTGTTAGAATTATAAAATTTAATTGCTAGCTACATATATCTATGTCATTTTGAGGTAGACTGGTAGACATACGTGTATGTGAGTGCGAGGATCCCAGGGGGTGCAAAAAAGGAGAAATATGGCCGTCAACACATCTTTTCTTTGGGTTTTGATTGCCAATATATTACTTTTACAGCCTCCTGTAAATCTCACCCAGCAAAGAAGCTGCATAACGAAAACATCATGTTTCATCGTCTCCATTCTGTTGATCAGCAGCTTAATACATTGACAGAGCTGGGTGCCAATGCAGGAAGCTGAGGGTTGGATCCAGGTCATGGAAGGGACAAAGATGTTGACTCCGTGTTGACTCTCACAGGAAGGATAGAGGAAGCCATTTTTGCCACTTTCCTTACCCCTGCAGCCTCAGCGCCACCTCCGTCATTGTTCTGGAAGTCTTGCCTGTGTGTTTGCACCATGTCTAATGCCTGTCATCCTTCCCCAACCCTCGTGGAAAACAATAGCAACCCACCTGCTGGGAAGCTAGTGTAGCAGCTCTGCCCCACCAAGAGAGCTGCTCCTACTACTGGGGAGAAAGGGGAATTGGTAAAAATCTCCTCCTACTAGAAACATTGTGCCCATGGGAACTCTGGATCCAACCCCATATAAGTACTATTCACTTATGTGCTTGTAATGTTGGAGCTGGGTGGCAGGTGGGTGTTACCCCTACAGCATTGTTTCTTCTTATGAATAAAGAGCACTCATTTACTTCTATAAGAAGCTGAATCACTATTCCGTTTCTTATATAACTCAAGGACACCATAGAAGTAAAGCCTGTCCTGTGTAATTCCAGAGCCTGGGAGGAGGCTCAGGTTTTGCCCTTCTGAACTGTGTCCCAGATTACAGTCAGTTTACTGTGCCTACTGGAACTCAACATCAGGGACTTCAGTAGTGGACGGTGGGGTGGGGTGGCAGTACTAACCTGGCTGAACAGCTTACTGCTTACTGCTGCTGCTTACTGGAGGGGAGCAGGGGAAAGGGGAAAGGCAACAGGGAGGTCAGCGTGGTGCAGATGTCCTGGCAGAGCCAACCTGCTACTCTGCTAGTGTACTTGGTTCACTATCAATGGCCACCAACTTGGATGGCTTTAAAAAGGGAGAAATTTATGGAGGATAAGGCTATCATTGGCTACTAACTACAATGGCTGTGCAGTGATTCCTATACTGGAGGCAATATGCCCCTGAAAACCAGTTGTTGAAGACTGCAAGTGTGGAGAGGTCTGTTGTGCATGTACCATATTTTTCGCCCCATACGGCGCACCAAGTTTGGGTGGTGGTGGTGGAGAAATAAAGAAAAAAATCTGGATATCTGCCCAAAGCCCGGGGCATGCTTCTCAGCACGCCCCGGGCTTCGGGATGCAGGCAGCTCTCCGCAAGCCTTGGGAGACTGCCGGGAACTCCCGCGGGCTCCCAAGGCTTGCGGATAGCTTCCTGAAGCCTGGAGAGCGAGAGGGGTCGGTGCGCACCGACCCCTCTCGCTCTCCAGGCTTCAGCGAAAGCCTGCATTCACCCCATAGGACGCACACACATTTCCCCTTCATTTTTGGAGGGGGAAAAGTGCATCCTATAGGGCGAAAAATACGGTATTTTTCTTGTTAGGCTTTCTGTAAGCATCTGGTTGGCC